CATGAGCTCTTCTGTTGCGGCGATCAACTCTGCGGTTTCGGCTCGGGAGGCGGAGAGTTGGGAGAGGAGGGAGACGTTTTGTTCCGTGGAGCTGGCGAGGTTTCGTCGCACGGTTTCAAGCTCTTTCTCCACATTCGCGAGCTGTTGCTTCTGCTCATCAAGACGTTTTGCTTGCTTCTCGAACTCTTGCCTCTGTTCTCCCTGGTGGGCCTTGCTCTCAGGACTTGAGGTCGCAGCGAAGGCCCCGGGCTCAACCCCTGTCATAGTTGCATCTCTCCCAATCCTAAGATCATCATTCTCTTTACTCAACTCCTCGATCTTATTCTGCAGATCTTTCATCCTTTTCTCCCATCTGTCCGAATAGCTTTTCTTCAGCGCAGTGACCTTGGCCTCATGCTTAGTTTTGTACAAACCATGTAGCTCTTTTGCAACTTTGGTCACCGCAGCTTCGACTTCACTGTTTGTATTTACGCTGCCGCTGTCCGAGGGCGCAGTAGAGGATGAAGAGGCTCTCATACCGGCAATCTTGCTCTCGGCTTCCACTGCTTTTGATTCTGCCTCTTGGCGCTTATCTTCTGCTTCGCTGACTCGTTGTAACAACTGGTCCTTCTCATGATCACCCCGGATGATCTCCTCTTTCACGTCTTTCAACACGGTTTGCATCTCTTGTTGCCTTTTCTCCCAATCAGCCTTCTCCGCCTGCAACCCCTCTTTCGCATCCCGCTCCTCGCGAACTTGCTCTAGAGATTCGCCAACCCGCCTTTCGGCATCGCCCATCGCATTTTTAAGGCTGCTGACCTCTGCTTCCTTACCACTCAATTCAGCTTTCAGCGAGGATATCTGCGACTGGAAGGCTGATTTCATGGACTCGAGTTCTCGGGCGGAGATGCTGGGTATTGAGCGTGGTGTGGGTGCGGGTGGAAGATCGAAGTCGAGAAGGTTGGCTAGATGACGCGATTCTGAGGGCGTGCCGGGAGGTAACGCTTGTTTTGCCGGTGATGGCGTGCGGCGACTTGACAGATGCGAGGCAAGGTCTGACTGCGTATGGTATTTCTTGGGCGAGAGGCGGCCATTCCTGCTGGGCGATCTTTCAGCTGCAGGATTGAATCGGCCTGTGAAGTCGATGAGGAGGTTTGTGGTATCATTGTCGCGAGATGGCTCTTGCCGACGGGGTGTAGGCGATGAGTAGCTATCGTCGTACTGGTGCCGATTTCTTGATGGTGTATTCCTTCCTGTAGGCCTCGGGGTTGGAACTTCTTCGAACGGAGACTTCGCTGGGCTACCGAATGCGCTTTTCGTAGGAGATTGACCCAGCCGCGCAAACCGAGTCATGTCTGCGTTGGGGACGGCGGAGAAAGCCGAGAACGCCGTGTCGTCCATGCCAGCATAGCCAGCAGGTCCGTCTACCGCAGAGACTGTATCATCATGTATAGTAAAGTCATGTGTCCTCATAGTATCATCTCGCACTGGCTGAGATGCCCGTGTAAGGTCCTCATTTTCTCTCAGCGCGTCCTGGGTAAGCTGCCTGGGTTCGTATTCTTCTGACCGCTCCTTGATCGGCGAGCTATTCTTGCTTGTACTTTCAGGTCTCGCTGGCGACGATTCGACGTCTGCAACGAAGGGGGAGCTAGGAGGGTCGCCTGGACTGTCGGTCATGTTCTCATTGTCTTGCCGTTCATAGGCGTATTTTGTTGGAGAGTGGTAGTTCGACTTCCTTTCTACGGTCAGTGGCGCGATACGATTGGTATTTGAGGGAGACAACGGCGAGAGTGGTGTAGCCATTCCAGCTATAGTTCAAGTTGTACTATGTGTGATGGGTAACATTGGTTATGGAGCTGCGCGCAAGAATCCGCGAGTAAACATTGCCAAGCCTCTAAGCCACTAGTGCGTCTTGGGCTCGATTGTTCTAGTGGAACAACGAACCGTCTGCAGTCACCACGGAATTCGTGCTGTCCAATTGTCTGCCTATGACTCCTCATCTGATGGGACTTCTACTACGTCCGTCTCAGCTTCATGTATCCTTCTGTAGTTACGAAACGCTCTCATCCACATCGGCACGCTTCTGCTCTGCCACACACCAGTCCTTTTCCTTGCTTGACTGAAAGATTCTCAGTCGTTCATACGAATCCGAGAAGCTACCGAAAGATGGTCACAGTAAGTGACTCGCCACAGCGCTGGCGCAAGACTTCCTCCAATTGTTCGGATGCCGAGTATTGCAAGCACATGGCAAGGTCGAAGATGGTCGTCGTAACCCTTCTGCAATTGACGTATTTGCATGAACACCTGATAGCCCGGTGCTGATACATAATTGAATTCGGCGCTCCTGCATGGTAATATACCAAATTCGCTGAGCTCTCGCATGTCCACCTCCCGATAGAATCTCTGTCACTTGAGGAGTTTCTTCGACAGACGAGACTGACGCCAATGAAAATGATTTGAACCGGGCGTGCCTCTGTATGGCAGACCCGAGTATTTGGAAGACTCCGCTACACTACTTGCTGAGATTAGCCACTCGTCGGATTACAGACCATCGAGCTGTTTGACGGCTGCAAAGTGCCCAACTTCAAATCCCGTGCCTCATACACCATCCCCGAATTAGGTAGTCACAAACGTTGTAGGTCGGATGGCCGAAGATCTGGGGAGCTGGAGTCGGTGGGCAGACCGGTGGGAAGTAATTGGCTTGAGAGAATGAAGGGATGAAGGTGAGGACGGACAAGGCAAGGAAATTTGAAGGAGCCGTTGCCGAGTATCCAGAGTCTCCAAATTTGGACATTGTCATTGATCGACGAGATTCTGGAATCGAAGTCTTGTAGTCTGCGAAACAAAGGCATGTCGCTGACAGCATCTGATGCCGTGCGCTGTGGGTTTATCAGTGCGTAGACATTATATCTCCTACAGGTTCTCCTAAGTCATTGGCGGATAGCGACATCAAACCGGCAACAGGCAGTAAAGGCAAAAAAGAAATATCGATAGCTTTGCGGTTTCCGATAGCTCGATTGAAACTCCCCACTACATAGAACAGAGCCCCTGTTTCTCAACGTCTGGACAGCCTGAACTCGGACAATTAACCGCCTTTCCCATAGGATTTCCCTAAGGATCGCAAGATCGATCGACGAATGTATCGAGGAAATTATACCTACTCTCCACTGCGGAGCACTTGCTGCTACCTTTACGTGAACTGGGTTTGGGTTTGGGTTTGATTGAATATTGTCCCGCTTCCTGCCGAGATTTGAGACTGGGCTTCAAGTTCTTGGGCTTGCTCAACATATACTTCCCAATCTCCATTCTCCCTGATGCTACTACTCGAGCGCTCGAGATACAGCAGGGTCACTGATGGACTTGGTACTATATTGGAAGGGCGACATTGGTTATGGAGCTCTGCGAAAGAATGCGCATGTAAACATTGCCAAGTCTCTGAACCTCATAAATTTGTTTTGGGCTCAATCTGGTATCTTGGGCGTGGGTTTGAGGCATCAGGAACACTGAGATTTTTCCCTCTTGGCCACCAATAATGTTATGGCACAACGGGAAATCTCTGACACATCGGCGTATATATTCGAGGTCCATGTCCTTGTGCATGTATTCAGTATGCAGTCCAGCCACGAACCTGCCGCAGTCACATGGCGTTCTTGCTGCGCCGCTGTCTAATTGTCTGTCTATGACTCCTCATCCGATGGCACTTCACCTATGTATCTCAGAAAGCACACGAGACGCAAAACGTCACGCGAGAAGCAAGACAAGAAGGGCAAAGGAAAAGCAGATATAGAAAGAAGAAGCTAGACACAGCAACCACACGTCGTATAGACTTCATCGCGCACGCTCATTCCAACATCGAAGATGAAGATGATATTGCCGAACAGGCTGTATCCTTAACAGCGTAAGCCTTGAAACATGTAACGGAGCACACAATTGAAGGGAGAGAGGAAATCACATAGAAATGAAAACGAGGTCGTTTTACTTCCACAGAGCCAGCTGCTGCATCAAAGTTCAACCCAAATCCCACATCAGACCCGACGGATCAAAGAATTGCAAAGACAAGTCCGACAACTCAGCAATGCCCCGCCTCACTTGGCTATCCCGCCATCCGCCCCATACCCTTAAACCTATACACCGAAGCGAGAACCGAACACGGCCATCATCCCTCCAAAATCCCACTTCTCACACACGGGATCATCCTAGCTGCATGACAGACCCGTACGGACAGGCGCAGTAACCAACCCTGAGCGACACCCAATGCCCGGGATGACTGTCGTCGAAGTACCCGCCACCAAGCCTGCATCGCCCAGTGACGGCGCCGTGCCGGAGGTCGTCCGGGGCTGGACGACCACCGGACCGCTATCGTCGCGCCCTTTTGCAACGACCGTGGCGTGGTTTGAGCGGTTTCTGATCCCACACACCCTTCACAGCGGCCGCCGGGTTGGGTGGTTTGGGAGTGGGCTGGGCGCTTTGAATGGATGGCCTGGGCTGCTTGTTGGTGGGCTGGGGGGGTGGAGTTTGTGAAGGGGTCGGATGATGGTTGGGGAATGTAGATGGTGGTTTTGAGTACTGGGTGCGAGGACGAATACCTAGGTAGGTAGTGGTGGTAGGATGCTGCTGCTTTTCTGCCGGAGGAGACATCACTTTTATCTCGTTTCATGATTTCTGGTCATGGCTACTGTAGACAGGGACGAACAAAGGGGAGGGCACTGAAGAGAGTAACTACCAATTAGACATCTTCAAAGACTTGGATTTTGAGAGAGTGACTTTCTAGTTCTAGGAAAATAGAAGCTTCTACATGCTTTGAGTTCTCTAACGCCTCATAATCTAAGCACCATCAGCCAGGCTAGCCAGTCTATATGCAAGTAGCCCCCCAGATAGAGCAAATGCCCTGTAATATCTAATCGTGAAACCATGAACGCCCTTGTCGTGCAAAAAAAATCGCTCGCTGGATCGCATGGTAGAAATATATGTGGAAAAGGATGACGATAGAAAGTGACTACTTCCACCTATTACACTTACACCTACACCTCGTCCCTGTCGGTGACAGTAATGTGTACCACATCCTCCTCCCTCTCTGCAGGCATTGCATTCCGCATGAAGCTAGCCATTGGCCTGATCGTAGCCGTCTTGTTCTTGGTCCTTTGGATTGAGAGAATTTGGAAGGCTCCTGCAATCGCCACAATGCCACTTCCCCACCAAGCGAGTCCTGTAAAGCCGATCTGAGTGCCGACCCCGTAAAGATAGCCTGCGATAGGAGGTGCAATAGTCCGGCAAGCTGCACCTGCCGAAGCGGCGAGGCCGTTGACCTTTCCAAGTACTGAGCGGGATGGTGCAGCTTCTTTGAGGAGGATGAGGAGGACCGGGTATCCAAGTATGCTGAAAAAGTTGCGAATAGCCAAGCAGACATAGATGCCTGGGTACAGCGAAGTCTCCGGGAGAAAGGCCAGGTATGGAACGATGAAGTAAGCAACAGGATGGAAAACCGTGACTATAACGAAGGTCTTCCAAACCCCAAGCCAGGACGCGAAGAGAGGGAAAATTATAGCCTGGATGAAAAGGGCGATGATACCATTGATACACATGATGGTCCCGACAGACCGAATTGCAAGGCCGAGGCCGCCGGGGATGTTGAAAGGCGATTGAGAGATACTGCTGGTGGAGACACGTTCGTCTTGCAGGAAAATAGGGAGAAGGTGGTCGTAAGACATGCTGTGGTAGGTGAAGATGCCGAGCGCGACGACTATCATGGCTATTTTTCTAGTGAAGACTTTGGGCTTGTCTTTCAAGGAGGTGGATGCTGGACGCGGAGTACCATCGGCATTCAGCATCCATTCCTTTGATTCGTTAATGTTAACGGTATTGAATGTGCCATAGGTGTCAGCGCGAAGGTCGACTCCATAATCAGCTGTAGCTCCAGCAGTCATCAGAGGCGTTTCCGCGGTGGTATGGTCCAACTCTTCTTGTGTACTCCATGGCTGCATGTCTGGGTGAGTCTCAATTAAAAAGAAGTAGCCGAACAAGATGCTAATCAGAAGTATAGCGGCGCATAGAAGATTGGGGAGGAGGTAAGGGAAGTGGGCAAAGATGCTAGCCGGAGAAAAGACGGAAGGCATGGAGATGGCAGGTCTGGCAAAAGTGCCACCGATTGCAGGGCCAATGATCGTACCGATAGACCAAACGAATGGCATCACTGCAAACGCTCGTGCTGTAGTGTGTGAGCGAATATCAAGTGCGGTCAAGGCAGGAGAGGCTTACGTTCATGCTCAGGCTTCTTGACCAACTCGCCGACCATGGTCTGGATGACTCCGATGTTTCCATCTGCCCCCGACGTCAATCAATGACCATACGTCTTGCAGTACCATCCATACTCACTCAAGAGTCCACCCAAAGCTCTACCAGCGAGGGCCATCCAGAAGTTGGTTGAGAAGCCAACAATGAGCAAGGATATGAGTGTTCCCGCACATCCTATCAGCAAGACCGGCTTCCGCCCAATCCGATCCGATACGCTACCCCACGCGAGGCCGGTCAAAGATTCGGCGAGGGCGAAGGAGGAGATGAAGATGCCAGCCCAGAAAGATGCACTGGATCTATCGCCGACGTGGAAGTCTTTCACCATGACCCATGCATACGGAAAGCATGAGGCCAGGGCTATTGGTTCGGCAACTCGACATATTGCTGTCGAAAGGATCAGCAACGGCTCGTCGACGGGTAGGCGGCGTTGGAAGAAGACGTACCTAGGATGAGGAGTTGTATCGTCGGGAAGCTGTCCGAATTGGGCTTGTTTCTTGAAGCATTGGTCAATACCATTTCCTTAGGTAGATCTATGATTCTCACTGTACACAACCGTGAGCTTGTTCTTTCAAGATACCAAGTTCAGCAGTTGTGTTTGATTCGGCTCAACCTGAGCCTCAACGATATGATGAAAGCGGGTGGATGAAGGGCGAAGTGGGTCAAAGTGAAGTGACGGCGTGGTAGTGTGGTGGTGTGAAGTTGGAAAAAAAGGTGAGGGTGGAAGTTGCACTCCTCGGCCGTTGAATGAATTGTGATTCTTTCCGAAATTACTAACTATACCCAAAAGAGTCACCATCATGAGGCTTTGCGAATCTGGCCAATCAGTCTTCATCTTCCCTCCATCTTCTTATCATCAGCCTCCACCTCCAAGAAACCGTTGACTCTGGTGACTCCCGATGACGCTGCCCTCAGAGAGTAAGCAATGCGACAGCCTACACATAGACAATGCACAATGTACCTGTCACACTCTCTGTCCGGAGAGGGGTCACAGAGATCCAATGCAGCAAGCTCCTAAATATCTGTACGGTAGAACATACAAGTACGGAGGACTCGCATTTCGTACCGGCACACACAGGGCATATGTTGCCCCTCGGCCCGAGTCGGGACCTAGACCTGGACCCTGAATGCTTGATTTACCTTACCTTACGCCTTACTCCATCAACGGTCAGAGCACCGCAAAGGGACGGCATGCAACCATGTATTCATGAACTAGCACCTCTGAATCATCTCGTGCATCTGCTTCTACAACCATCTACTTACCCAGATCAACCCCTTTCATTAAGGTATGGAGTCGTGACTTCGTATAGCATTGATGATACAGGCCTCCACGGGCAGTTCTAGCACAGCTCCTTCCCTAATCACTCATATATCTATCATGATGGGTACATGTGAACGAACGATGTGTCCGGAGCTCTTATTACGGTAGATGCTCGACCTCACTGCATGGATTGTTTCGTGCTTTCCAGTAAGCACGAACAGTGGGGCGGCTCAAGGAGCGCTTATGCCGACCCCCCCCCTTCATCTCAAACATCGCATCCCGCTGAGACGGAGCATGCATTGTCCCACCTCCTGAAGAATGCATTATTCCGGATCCTTTCTGCCAGTGATTTCTCTTCATGTGAAGTACGGCGTGCTTGAGGGTCAGTGATTGGGGCTTTGTTTGTCTCACTGTCAAACATCTCAATCTCAAAGGTATGCATGTGATAGTCCTTGTCAGCGGACACGGAGATGAAGAAATCTCAATGTCATACAAATATTTCGCAACAGCATGAAGCTTCCTTCTCGATGCGGCCCGTCATCTTCTCACGCTCATTGTTTCAGTCACACTCGTAGCTTTGCTTTCGAAGTCTTGCTGGCTTCTTACACTCTTTCTGCCACTGCAAGACGGTCCTTTCTTCTACATTCATTCTTTTGAACACAGCACATACATAATCGCACGTTGTTTTATTGCTTCTTGTAATGATGTTGCTCGATTTGGCCCTGCTCCTATCGGCAGCCTCTCTGGCCACCGGCGCCAGTATTCCCCGTCAAGATCCAGATATCCTCAATGCCCGTCAAGACTCAGGCGACCCAGGTCTCCAAGACATTCCTACAACAGCCAAGCCCGACAACACATTCAGTAACGGTGCTGCAATGATCGCTGGCTCGGGCACAACAAATGAGACTCCGCCAGAGGTTTACGGCAACCGGAGTATTGACCTTCCCTTCGGTCGTCTTTACGTATGTAACTTTGGAGTTCTTCTTCTTTTGTTTAACCATATCTGGAGCCTTGAGACAGGTCGACCGAGTGTCTACTCCGCAGACTATTCTCGAAGCTCGGTATCCCATCACGATCAGACTATACTGACTTCGAAATCTTTGTCCAGCATGGCAACATGAAGTTCTTCTCTGCGGGTCAATTGAACACGCCGACAGGTGACACAGACGAGTGGTTACCTCAAGGGACCGACTCGGCGACTCAGAGTGCTTGCGGAATACCCGATAATGCGTACTCGATTAGCAAAGTCGCTATTCATCCTTACTTCCTCAAATACGTGGACCTCAGCCGTAAGTTTCCAGATGGGATGCATAGACTAATAAGATAAATAATGACTTTTGATGACCAGGCTACTGCATGCAAGATGTTTGCATTTCGTTCTGGAATGAAGATGGCTCTTCAGACATGATGCTCAAAGTCACCGACATCTGCTCCACCGACCCCAACGATCCGACCAGCTGCGCGACACCAGCAGACATCAAGATAGATCGGACCAAGGCAAAAATCATGGAAAAGCTTGACAGCGCTCCAACGGGTGACGTCTACCCTGAGCAGATATGGTGGTTCTTCATGAAATGTTGGGACGATGTAAGTTTGGCACTTCTTAATCTCGAAAGTTAAACTACACGAGGAGCAACTCTGTCATCCATGTCAACCCTTGACTGACGTTCTCGCCACTTCCCAGGGCCTCGTTCAACCCGCCTACGCGGACAATTGGTTCGCCACACCCGCCCTCCCCAACAACCTCGAATGGGCTCAAGCAACTCAGCATCAACAATGGGTAAACAACCAGATTTCCTATCCGCAACAGAATCCGCCGTTGCCACTTTACTTCAATGGTGCGTATGACACTGTCCGCGACAACACCACCTCGCCACCGATTGAAGATTTCGACCCGAACGAGACGTACAGCTGGACACCTATCGCTGGTGGCAAAGGTTGGGGCAACCCGTCCGGCACAGCTAGCGGGACGAGTAACAGTAGCGAGGCAGTTGCTTCAGGCTCCTCTGCTGTAGCTACCACTAGCACTCAAGGAAGCGGACAGGGCAGCGGCCAAGATGGTGGAGTTACCCCTACGACCTCCGCCGCTGTTCCCGCACAGTCCAGCTCTTCCGGTACAGATAACGGATCCGAACAAGATGACTGCGACGAATTGTGATTTTCGGCAGTCACCCATACCCGAGTATTCGAATGACCTTGGTAAGGGCATCTGAGAGGGACTGTATCAGCTTGACGTCAATAATGGGATGGGGATGTTCGGAGGACTTACGAAGCTGAAGATATGCTGGTCGTATCGTGCTGGCTCTGGGTGGCTATGCGTCGCAGGATTGTAGTCTTAATGTCACAAATTCGAATCCTTGCGCAAATGTTTGTCCCAATCGTTGCCCCAGCGTTTCCTCTGCCGGACTCTCTCTTCACACCATATTGCACGAAAATATCCTCACCGGAGGATAAGAATTCAGCCTCACTTTCGTCTTGTCACCCAGGACCGCCGACTTCCGTTTCCTGAGCGTCTTGCAAGCCGAATAGACCAGTATCGTCAGTCCCAGAGCTATCATAGCCAGTGCGATCAACCACGGCGGAGAGATGACCACTTCGTAGTCTCCGCTCCAGTAAGGTAGGTGCCATGGTGACGCTGGTGGTGCATGCGGGGCCGTGGCAGGGGGGCGGGCGATTGTGAGTTCGACGTTCTCGCCGACCTTGGCCACCAAGGGTACTTTCCCCATCTTGCGTGCGCTGGGGGTTTGAAGCGGAGTGCGTCAGTCGGAATTGGAGATGTAGTCTCCGGGTCGTAGTAGAGCAGCTAGGGGCCGGTGGTCGTGCAACCGCGCCAAGAGCTGCAGATGTTTCAAACGCACATATGGGATTTCGCGCTGAAGAGGAAAACGTCCCGATGAATGATGGACTTTCTCTGAAATCGTGATGATGGATAACAAGCGATTTGTGGTAACTCGAGAACTCCGAAATATCTTCCGAAACGCAGGTGAAATAATGAGAGGCATCATCCCGCTACTTATCTTTCTTTCCCCACCGAATTTCCCATCGCGCGAGACACGCGGCGGTGCACAATACTAGAATTTCGTATTCATGGTGACAAAGTCGACCAAACGGCCCGCAACCAACACGAGACGAAAGGCTACGACGCTTCAAGTGAGGGGTCCGCCTGACTTCCAACAGTTCAATGGTACCCGCAAGGCAGAAAGTTCGGACTTGGGAACTTTGAAGCATATTTGTCGTGTTTACCATTTCACTGTGGAGTAGGCCGCAGGAACATACTTAGATAGGATTGTAATACCTAGGTGCGGTCCGTTGGTATAAGATTCCTGGAGAGCGGGAGCGCCCAAACCAACTCGAAACATGTGCGCGCGGAGTATTTGGGAGTTCTGGGACAGAGGGTCTAGACATTGGATTTCTTGCGGCGCGGTACAACATAGAATAGACGGGGAGAGTGGGGAAATAATAAGCCTCAGTACGAGGTCTTGGCAGAGGAAATTGGAGTGCGAGTAGGCGAGAGATCTCGGAATCCGAATGTTGTTGGGGGTATTTAGTTCGTATTAGGTTCGATTCCTAATGGCGCTGGTACAATGGTGTTGCGGTGCTTCTTATTTTCTCCGAAACACTACTTTGTTATAAACGACCACTCTTATTAATGATGTGATGAGCGTCGTAAGCTGAGCCATGGATATAAGATGCGGTATCATCTTCCGGGACACGTGATATATTTTCGTTTCATTTGGAGGCTGTTAAGGACCAGGTGACGCGCACTTTCAAAAAAAAAAAAACCTCGCAATTTCTTGTCGAAACGACCTCGAAGCGCTGGCAGGAAATCACAGAAAGTGTTCTTGGAGATTGGATCAGGGCTCATCACGGCTGACAGAGCCTCTACCTACTCTCGAACTCAGCCCCACGCCGTTGACACTGACGTTGTTGATCGGTTGAAGATCTGCAGATTCGTGCAAGGTATCCGCCCTGAAAAGCTTGGATAGCCGTTGAGCAGACTTGCCAGTACCACACGTGCCAACGGCTATTCCTTCCCCCGAAAGCCTCAATGACATCGATTACATCCTTTCTCATACGACACTACTACTGCACGCTGGCATCATGAGGCTATTCAAAGACTTTGATAGCTGCCAATTTCTCTTTGTCTGGTTCCCCTATTGAGTCTCCAAGCGAACCTTTTTCACTTCCCTGGCCTCCCACATAGTACATCCCCTTCAGCTGAGCAAGGGTTTTCGTCGTTAGCCGTTAATCGCTCATCTGATTTTCTAAGCTACTGCAGGCCTCAACCGTTTATACATGCGCGCGACTCGAACGAGTTATATGTTTGTCATAGTTGATGTCACAGCATTAGTTTTTATAGGGATGCAGGCAGAAATGCTAGTCAGCTGTCAGGTCGTCGGCGCGACTATATCCATATAGGTCGTTCTCTCCCTGCTCTATATACGCTACGCTGGCCCTGGCCTTATGTCAAGAGCCTATTTCGGCAAGGTGCTTCTGGCAACGTCCGTGCAACGGTGGAAGCTTCTTTGAGTGCCGGGCGCCTCTTCCAGGGGTCTTAAGACCATCGATATACCTGAACGAAAACTAGCAGGGTATGAACAGATTGAATCTCTGAGCAGACCTGTATTTGGGAACCCCAAGGGCAGGTGAGAGCGTCCACGGTGAGGTGAAGAACCAATTTATGTGAGGAAGAGGCTTGAAGAACTTGAGAAAGAATGTCCTGAGGACTATACCAGCCACGAAGTCGTAGTGGCATCATGAAGCACATTTCACAGGGTTTTCCTCTACTTCGAAATAGCCGTTGAACTGGTCGACAGCCGTGGTGCAGAATGGCCGGACACAGTCAACTCAATACCCCACGACATAGGCTTGGACGTGGCGAGCGGCGCGAGCAGGGTTCTCCTATACGCGCTGGCGATCACCTCATCTCCTTTGCCATCATCGAGCAGCGGCACCCTTGTTTGAGCGTAGTATGGAGGTCACAGAGCAGAACCATGGCTTGCTAAAGGTGCGGCAGCAAGCCTCAACCACCAATGCCTGCAACCTCCGTCGATCCTTCGTCATGGACAGAAGCTTGGTGACGGTGGTAGCTGGAGACAAATGTGTATATAAAGTCCTCCATCTGCCTTCATTTCTTATCAGCATCTCTCCGTCACCCACAAGCATCAACACCTACATCATTACCAACCCTTCACCAGACCACCAAACATCAACTTTCCTCCCAAAATGAAGACGTCGTTCTTTTCATGCTTGGCTCTGGCCAGCTCATTCGCTTTCGCTGCCCCAGCTGTTGACAGCGCCCTGGTCGACCGTGCCACAGTGTCTCCCTACTATGCTCCTTCTTTGGCGATTCTTACCAGCCTCTACTCGGAGGTCAGACAATACACTGCGGTAATGAGTAAGTCATTATGCCTAACAGCCTCCCCCAAGTACCTTACATATCAAAATGGTTTTGCACTAAGTTGCCCTGATCAACTCCAACCCATGTACGCAAAAGATTGACATGTTCTTACTCAGACGCTACTTCCGCGACTTTGAAGCCCCACACTGCAGGCCAAGATACAGCCGCCGTCAATGCCACGTACAAATCGAACATTGCCTCTATCAACACCGCCATCACCGGCGCTACTGCCGACATCAAAAAACTTCTTGCCAGCCCGGCTCCTGCTAAACGTGAACTCACTCTTGTTTCGCGACAAGCCACCGTGAGCCTTCCGGGTGAGCTGGCTATGATTATTGAAGAGATTGGTGGTACATTGACTGAAATTGTTGCCACCCTCGGATTGAGTAAGCACATTTTTCCCCTTCTGATGGTAATTTCAGAATTAACCGTCAAACTTCCAGCTACCACTCTCTCCTTCCTTGGCCCATTGGTCACATCTTTGGGCGAATTGGTTGCATCTCTCATCCCTGTTGTGAACAATCTGTTGGCTGTTGTGGAGGAATTGCTCGATGGAGTTCTTGGAGGGTTGAGCGCCGCTTTGCTCGGGCTTACTTTGTGAACAAGTGCGATTCAATGAGAACACCAGGGGCGGGCGACACCTCCTGCAGTTTTTAAACGAAAATGTGTTTTCGGCAATGGTCAAGGGTAGAATTGGATTGTATCCAGATGTGTATCGGTACATACTGCGAATATTGTCATTTTCAATCCAAACCTGATTGTACATATTACATATCCTTAAAATTTCTCGATAATTGCGATTTTTGTCAAAGGTTGAGCTACCTGCTAATTTGAGACCTGCAACCCCTGGAAATATTTCCCGACTAGGAGACCTTGGTAGCCGAGGCTTGTCGCGTCTCACCTATCGTCAGCCTCTTGTATGGAACAATTCTTCCCATTGCATATTCACAGAACTCGAGATGGTTCAAGGATTAACATTCTTGTGACTACCAAAAATGGCACCCTCAGATCCCTATCCCTCTCCGCCACCATCCCCCGCCCAGATCGGAGCCGACCCCATCCTCCGCAACGCGCTCCGCTACACACTCAGCGCAAAAGAGTACAAGACTCTCCACCAATATCTCATATCTCGCTCACCGCCAGCCGTAAGGAAACGAGCACTTCCACCACCTAAGTATGCCGCATTGGTGCAGAGCAAGGACGATTATAACGGGGCTGCGATAAGAGCTTCGTTGCGGGTGTTCATCGCTACGCAGACGAGCTTGAAGCTTTGGGAGTTGACGAAGGGGAGTTTCTTCGCTGGAGGGAACCCCCAGAGGTAGGTGAACCTGTCACCGGTACTTCAACCGCTGATATATGGCCACAGGATAAAACCGAAAACCCCCATCCTCAAATCCCCCAACCTCCGGCTCTCCCTCTCCCTCTCCCTCCTCCTACTTCTCCACCGCCTCCTCTTCCGCTTCTTCTCCCGTCTCCGCTCAAATCTGCTCACGAAGGACGCCGCCCCCTTCCGACGGCGGAATCCTCGCATCTCCAGATCCCTGACATCCCGCCTCGCTCCGGCAATCGGCGCAAGTCTGGCAGGCTTCGCGCTCGGCGTTTATCCGGGGGATCAATTAAGGATCACGATTGCTATATATGTGGCGACGAGATCATTGGAGTTTGCGTATATAGCGTTGGAGGAGGATGGGTGGTTTAGGGGGAAACCGTGGTGGTGGGGAAGTTGGTTGTTGATGCCGGTGGCTACGGGTCAATTGCTGCACGCATTTGTTTTCGATAGAGATTGTTTCCCGAAGGTATGCATTCGTCGACTTGAGACAAAAAGAATGTTGCAGAAGTTGACGGTTTCAGGCCTACGGTGACTTCATCCTCGACCACACGCCCAATTACGTCCAACGCAGACCGGCCTCCTATCCCCCAAATCTCTCGTGGCCAAGCACAAACACAATCGTCGATTCGCTGGCCGAGATGTCGCGACTCAATTGGCCGTATGCTCCCTTCGCGGTCTGCTCCGAGAAAGTCATTCCGCTAACAGCCCCTTCCAGACCCTTCATATCCCCGATTCTTTTCCCCTCAACCCAAACCCTCCCACCCTCTCTCACCCAACTAGCACCCATAACCTCCCCCGCCCACCCGTCTCACACCTTCCTTTCATGCGCAACCCTCCATCCATCCACACCCTCCTGCCTGACAACTTTTGTTCGCTACATCCTAACCGCATTCCCTACCCTCGCCAAATTCTTCGCCGCCTACTACACTCTGTTCGCTTTGCCGAAGTGGAGAATGTTCGTGGAGGAGCCGTCGCACGAGCTCAATGCTCTTGCGAAGCGAGTGCTGAGGACGTCGGCTTTCCTGACCGGCGCAATCGGCACGTCCTGGGGCTCCATCTGTCTGTTCCAGAACCTTTTCCCCCGGACGCTCACGCCTTCATCGCGCTGGGTCCTCGGGGGCGCACTCGGCGGCATGTGGGGCTTCGTCGATCGGAGAGGAGGACATGGCCATTTCCTGTATAGCATAAGACTTGGCATCGACAGTTTTTGGAAAGTGGGCAAGAAGAGAGGTTGGTGGAAGGGTGTTCAAGGTGGAGATGTACTGGTGTTCGTCGCGGGATTGGGCATCGTCAACGTTGTTTATGAGAAGAACAGGGGCGCGGTCGGAGGTGTAGGGAAGGGCGTTGGTTGGCTGAGGGGAGAGGAATTGTTTTCCGAGACGGTGGAGAATGACCTCGAGGGGAAAGCGGAGGTTAAGCGGGATTGAACCTCTCCGTGATGTTGAACGAACGATTTCTTGGAACGGCTCGCATGAAACGTTGATGAATCATTCAATGACTCTTTGGAGTCGATAGTTCTGCATCGCTCTTTCCATGCATGCTCCTTGTCCTCTTCCGCTCGAAAATCTCGACATCGCTCACGGGGTATCATCCAGACCACAACGCCATCGCTATGCATTCGTCAAACCACCTCACTCCTCCTCGCCGCACAGATCCTCCAACAACACCATCATCCTGCCCCTCAACTCCGCCAGCTCCGCCTCGGATACCGTCCCCTTCCTCTTTCCCTGCGCCTTGCCATCCCCCTTCGGACTCACCAGTCCCTCCACAGTACAGAAGAACGGCACCTCCAGTTTCTTCAATTCCTTCACGGTAGCGGCCACCATCTCTCTGCAAGCTTGATACACCTTCCTGTCATACATTTTCAGCTCTTCCTCCTCGGAGAACTCGTCCGTCTTCGAGGCGTTGACATGACCGCCGAGTGAACCCAGGACGCTGTCCAATTTCTTCCTCCCCTCCTCCCTGCCCGCTAGCCGTTTCTTCAAGTCCTCGCGCCCGTCCCACCATTGCCGCTCGTGGTCGCGTTGGGTCGTGATGAGATGCCGCACCCTGTGCCCGAACTCGGGATCCGCCGTCGTTTGGCCCGTGACGTGCCGGAGAGCGGGCGCCCAGGTGGTGATCGTGGCGGGACGGTGGCCGGGCGGCGCGTGTGCCTTCTTGGGGCCGGGGGTCGAGGCCGGTGGTTTGGCGGCCGGCGTGGGTTCGGGAGGTGGGCGGGGATAGGACGGAGTGGTCTTTTCTAGGCGGTGGCGTGTTTCGGGGGTCGGAGGAGATTGCTGGGGCTGTGCGTCTGGTGCTTGGGCGGGAGCTGCTTGCGGGTGAGGTACGGTGATGAGAGGGAGCGATGGGTCGTAGGTTGAAGGGTCGTATTCGTCTTCTTCGAGATCGGGGGTTTGAGGTGGCGCTTGAGGTTGGTGATGGGCCCGAAGAGCTTGGGATTGGTAAGTCGCTTCAGGGGCTTGCTGCTGAGACGGGGCATAGGCTCGTAGAGTCTGCAGGATGGATGCTAGATCTGTCTGTGGCTGGTAGTTGGATTCCATCGCTGCTCATTGAGATTCGTAGACACAGGCAACACAGGCCAGTACATGGGATTAGGCTGATTTATTGAAGAGGGGAGATAGGGTGGGCAAGAAATTTGGCAGCACAATGCTGATCAGCGAGGCAAGACTGTGAGCTGGGTTCAGTATCGAATGAGGTTGCCATTGACCCATTGGCTTATGGACTCTTCCTGCTGCTCATAAGCAATAAATAAATGGATCAAATGCCATCTATGGGATTGGCCCTGAGTAAGACAGAGGGTTTAGGCGAATACATGAGCGCTGCTTGAAGACATTCATGCTCGTCATCCCGCCGCGGAGGGTGCTTCTAAACCTCAGCCAACGCTAGTGTACAGTACCGGAGAGCCATTAGGCCGACCCAGCCACATTCCCCTGATTAGTAAGAGATTGCAGTAGTAAATAGGGGACACGTCCTGGCTGATCTTACCGTCTTCCCCATACCTCGCTGTCGCCACCTCTACCCTCCCACCCCTCCCACACCTCGCTATCGTCAAATCTTCGCGTATACCATTCCCAATAGCCTTAATGTCGTACCCCCGCCTCGTACGCCAGCCCCCACAGTATGAGGGCTTTGAGGATATCTAGGAGGAGCTCGATTGGTATGGTAGTAACCCCGAGGGTATTGATCGAGACCGCACCCCGGTACTCGAACGAATTTTTACTACTCAAGGAAGAAGATAGTAGCCCCAGCGATGGCGAATGGAGCAGGCCCACCTATTCTGACGCGTCCAGATCACCGTCGCCCCCCTCGAAGCCCTCTACCTCCCCCTCCTCCCACAAACGTAAGGCGTCTACCTCCTTAGACGAGCGGAAAGAATACCCCCGGAGCTGGCGTCAACAATGCTGAAGTTACCCCCTTATACCCCAGAGACGCGTCAAGCTGCTTTCTCGTTAGGCACACCTATTTGCTGGACAGTTGAAGAATTCGACGCGTACTGGCCTTTGGTAGACAATTTCTGGGTATGCAATAAGCCTATGATGGGCATGATATAGCCAGAATAGAGGTGCCTCCGGGGTGGTATCGCATGGAGGATGCGGAGTAGATAGCCCCCCAATGGAACGCCCAATGGAACCCCTCTGTGGCGACAGCGAGGTGTCCCTGAACCCCCCATAGTAGACTGCCAACTCCGCTACATCCCCTATATAAATTCCGCCCTAACAGGTAGCAATACAGGCGGACTGCGATGGCTAGCCTAAAAGCCTTCCCCGCTCTATTCCCCGCCCTATTGTAAGTAACAGCGAGGTCGCTAACGACGACAACGATGTCTCGGCGACGTCGCGCCTTATTTTGGTGTGGCGCCCATACAAATATGGCGCAGCCACCCTGAAACTATGCTAACGGTATTTTATTTAGCATTGGCTGAGGTATAGAAGCACCCGCCGCGGATCTCGCCGCGCCAGACTTTTCCTCCATCTTTTTTCCTCAATCCCATTGACCGTACTTGGAGCTGATAGCTCATGCATAATAGCAATCAACCCCAATTCCACAGCTCCCTCACCCACCATGTCCCGCTCCGCCGCCGACGCAACCCGCTTCACCGCCACCTCTCCCCACGCCTACGCCAGACCTACCCCCATAAATCGCCCCGACCCCTCGACACACTCCGCCTCCGGCACGCCCCGACCCAATGCCAATGCCGCGCTCAATCCAAATCCTCGCATGCCCCCACCCCCAATAGATCCAAAAAAAGGTGCCCTGGGGAGCGCGCCACCGGGGGAGACAGCAGCGGAAAAAGTAGCAAGGCTACGCCAGGCGAGGTTACGAGAGAGAGAGGCGCAGATAACGACCTGGGATAGAGTCGTGATCAGGGGGAGGGTGTGGGCGGATCGAGCACACAAGGTTACGGTGGTCAGTCTTCTCGGGTTCTCAAGTATGTATTACCCCCTTTCGCCGACAGAGCTTCTTACGTTCCTCCCACGGGGCATCTGCTGACCGTAGTGTGTGTACGACAGTCGTCGCAGCGGCGATAACAGGCTTCGCCCTCACCGACATGATCCTGCACAATCGCCGCAAACGTTCAGCCTTCTACGCCGAACAACGCGCCATCTACTCCCAGCGCCTGATCGAGGCCATCGAGACGGAAAAATCGGGCATGCCCCTCGACGAAGACCAAACGCTCGTCATCAACCGTGAGAGAGCACGGGTGCAAGCTGAAGAGGCGGCGAAGGAGAGATCTTGGGGGAAGAGCATCAGGGGGATGTTGATGGGGGGTTTGAAGGGTGATGAGGAGGAAGGGGAGAGAGGAGGGAAGGTCGCAGTACCAAGTGAGGAGGAGATTCTGAAAAAGCTCGGCGTGACCCAAACGTCGATACTCGAGCGAGCGGCGCAGGCGGATAGGGATTCAGCGCCTAAGACTACGGACTTGGGCCACAGCAGTGAAGAGGGCAGGAGAGATGGTACCGGTATACTGCGGGCTGTGGCGGAGAAGAGGAGGGAGGGGGAGAGAGCGATGGAAGCTGCTGGAGTGAGAGGGGGACCGTTAGATCGGATGGCTGAGGGGCCGGTCCAGGCCGTTGGGGGTACGATACATACCGCTGAAGAGAAAGCTGGGAGTAGAGGCGGTTGGAGCAACTGGTGGGCGGGAAAGTGAGGGGTGAAGAGTTGAATGTACCATATATCATTGGGGTTGTACATGGTCGATGGCATAACTTTTGATGAGCCTGGTGTACCAGAAGGGACACTCGCCCTCGCAGACTGCCACCTGCATGATAATCCGCCAGCCCCAAAGGCTTGAGATATTTGATATCATGATAAAAGTGCCCTCAAATGAATGGCATGCGTGATTTGGCCTCTATGAGGACAGGGACGGATGCCGAAAGACGGTCAATCCTGTAGGTGTACAGCCGTTTCATAGTCACAATTGGCGAATTGGATCATGAATGCTATGTACAATAAGTAATGCTGCATGATCGTAACTAAAGTATTTTCTCATTCCACCAAACCATCCGAACCCAAGCCTCGTGGAGGTAAATCAGCATTGTCTTAGAATCGAAAAGAAGTTCTCCGCCAAAGAATAGAACAGGTGAGTAACACAAGTACGCCTTCGATAAAGAGGACCGCATGAGGGGTATCATACCATTATACCATCATGCACCGTTACGCCGTTGAACGTGGACCATGTCGTGGCCTCATCTCATCTACCCCTACCAGAAGCTGCACCAACCGATATAATGCTGGCACAGATTCTCCACATTCGTCGCCTGAGCCACCAATTTTGCGACCTGTCTCTCCACATTCAACTCCTCCTCGGGTCTGAAGTCGCGACCCATCAATTTGTCCTTCACGCGTGCTAACACCTGCACTGCTCTTGCATTCTGCACTTCTTTATCTGCATCGTTGAGATTGTTGTCAAGTACACCAGCTTGCACTGTCGACATACGGCGGGCACGGTAGGAGGCGGTGCGTGGACGCTCCAGTTGAGCAGTTCCCAGGTCACCGACAATGGATTGGCGGCGCTCGGAAGGGAAGGAGGGTTCGTCGGGGGCTTCGCGGTTGCCCAGGCGCCAATTGAGAAGAGGATCATGAATGAAGGCTTCCAGTACCGCCATCAAGGACTCTTTATTGTCGCGAATAACACGCATGACCGCCTCGCAAGCAATCTTGTAGCTGCCGTCGATGTTGCTGACTTCCATCGCAAAGGTGAGCATACGAGTAAGACGGAACGGAACACGTTCAGGGTATTTCTCGCGGTGCATGGCTACCTCGAAGCAATCACCGAAATCGATGTGGATGACCTTGCCCGTAATGCGGTCGAGCATCAAGTTGGAAGGGTGGCGGTCGCCAAGCCCCAGAATGTAGCCGACCATGGACATTGTTGCGAGGGAGCGTGTGAAGTTGGTTCGACGGTCGAGCCAAGATTCGGAGCTCTTGCTCTTAAGCCAGAGGACACGGTAGAGATCTTTACCAGTGGTGTTGTCCATTGCGTAGCTAAATACTTCGACCTTCTGCATGAGAGTGAGATTATCGTAGTCTGGTGCCATCTGCAGCATAATTCTGTGCTCGATGTTGAGCAAGATACGACGGTGCTCACGGTACTCCTTGATCAGGTTGTGCAAGGTATCGCTATTCTCAACCCAGCCCAAAAGGCCTGATTGCTGTGACAACGGTATTGCCGGGTATCTCTGGATATTCAAATGGCGTTTGAAGCTCTCGGTATCAGCGTTCAACAGTGTGTTGATGAGGCCAAAGAGCTGCATTACACGCTCATCTTGACGGATGTCCTCATGCCCTTTCAAGCAGAACTCGTAGATTGTACCGTCACTGCCATACATCCTCATTCTCCGAGGACGCTGCTTCGATTGGATGACGCTCATATGGCGATCAAAGCCAGTGATACTGACGACGGGTTTCCCGCTCCGGTACGTCCCTGGCACAGCCAGATCCAGGTTCTTTGCGTCCTTGAGCTTTGGTGAAATGTAGGCTAGGTCGAGGCTCATGATGTTCAGCAGTTGTCGCGAGATTCGACGAAATACTGAGTAATATAGATCCCATGCCTGGTTTAAATCACCATCCTCACCAGTCTGGCGATAAATGTTGCACCAATGCTGAGCTTCCTGCAAATCTCGCCCAAATGATTGAGCAAAAGATATCTCTCGGAGTGTTTCGGCTCCCTGTTCATGATGAGCGATGGCTGGCCAAGTGGAATCGAAGAGCAAATTACCTTGGCTAGTAGGTCATGTAAAGGTCCGAGCGTTGCAAACATGCCTTCGATATCTTTATCTCCAAAGTACCTAGAAACTTAGCACGCTTTTCAAGCATTAAAGAGGTACCTGTAGACGTACAATCGCGATGCTTCCTCCAAGCCTTCGTGCCAAAGCTCGTGCCATAATACGGCAACTCGAATAAGCTCCTGGCTCACGAGATGCGCTTGCTCTACTAAGCCCGGGCTGTGCTCCCGCATCTTCTCCATGATCTGCGTAGCAGACTGAGAGCGTCGAGCGACGTGAGATTTGATAGTGACGGTCAATGGATACACTAATGCTTGCGGATGAGCTTTGCCAACCTCGGCGAGGAGACGATGAATTGATCCTCGAACACGGTTGTTAGGCTGATTGATTCGTGCAATCAGTTGCGGAATAACCTCGAGCCAGGTATCGATGCTGACATCGTTGAGACCTTCGAGCACAGCCGTGTTCACTTCCACGTCTCCACCATGAGCGAACCATAGCGTCAGCAATCGAAGCGTATCTTGTAACGAGCTGGAAGACGCCAGAGCGATAGATTTGAAGAAGCCTACGATCGCAGGCACCACATGGCCGGTTACCATGGAGAGAGGAAGGGCACTGCTCTCGCGCTTGGCTTGTGCTGTCAAGGCTGTGACGACTTCAAAATTGGCCAGCGCCCACGAGTGCCAGGCTTTGTACCAGTTCTTGTTGTGTGAAGTTGCATGGGAGTAAGCGTCGATGATTTCGCGGACATGGTTGGATTCCCAATTGCCATGTATCAGGGCCGTCATCCAGTCGCCTTGCCTGATGTAGCATTTGGCTAACAGCTTGCTGAGACTGCTTATGTCGCTACGAGGGAGTCTAGGACCTACACCGTTTTGGCTATTTAAATCCAGCATAAGATTTGTTGCACCAAAGTTGCTGTTTCCGCTCGCTGTGTTTGCCGCGTCTGAAGCGTTGAGCACTTCGAGTTGATGAGACAAATCGGCTGTGAAGGCTCGAAGCCTACGGAGAGATTGTTGTTGTTGACCTGTGGACCAGCTGTATTTAAGTTGTGCATACAAAACCTCCGGCACGGCAGTAGGGCCTTGAAGGGTAGCTTGTGCGGACAGGCCGCTCTCAAGCTGGGCTTGGCCGTCGACAGTGTGACCACTAACATCATGCAGCAGGTGAAGGGATTTCTCAGCTAAGCCTTGGCGGCCGTTCTTCCGACAGAGATTGGCAAATTTGATCCACATGTCGATGTTCTCTCTGGGAGTGAGGACAAGTGCTCGCACTTTTAGCATTTTCTGCCAGACGTCAATATTGGGTTGACAGCCTCTGAGACGCTTGGTCCAGGTGTCCCTCATCGTTTGTCGCTTCTCCTCGTTGCCCGCGATCTTTTTATAGACGATGATCTCCTCGAGTTCAGCGAGCATCTGTACGCGAACGACGGTACCGTAGGCTCGGTTATAGGACTCTCCAAGCAATGCGCATAACTCTGCATCGAGACCATCACGAGCTTTCTCGATATGTACTGCAGCCTGTTCGAATTGATTGCGATGGATCGAAAGGATGGCAGTAAACCAGGCCCGATCAATAGAGTGGGGCTTCATGCCCTCGAGATAGGTATCCATGCGTTCCCACTGGCCTTGACCCCAGGCGGCGGCAGATGCCAAAGGGGCAATGACACGCCGCTGGTCACTAGTAGCGAAGTTCCATTTCAGGTCAGCGAGATCGGCTAAGATATCCCATTCACCAAGAGCGTGGAGACATTTCATCTTGCCCATAGAAATCTCAAAAGCAATTGTATCGTCTGTAATGGGCTGCTGCTCGCGTTTCTCGTATGCCGCCAGAGCTTCGTCCCAGCGCTCAAGCTTTACGTACCAACCTTCCTTGAAGTCGAAGTCGCGGTACTTTTGAGCATTGCGCAGGATCCCAACAGCAGCATCCGTTTGTTGCAGCTGGTTGTTGATGGAAATGAGCGCTTCGACAGTACTGGGGGTCTTCTCTTCTTCAAACTCCAACTCCTTGTAATGCAATGCTTTCGCAAAGGCGTGGTTCTTGGCGGCATATGCGCCTAGATTGCGAATGTCGATAGGAAGCGCTTTGTCGTCGTGCTCCATGAACTCGCAGAGATTCAACAGCACCTGCATGATCTCAGGAGGAATATAAGTTGATGACAAGGCTGTCTCAATAGATCGTAGAAGCTCTTCCTGATATTGTTCGTAGAGCTCAGTCCAGCATGATGCAAACGCAGAATTGAATAACTCTCTCGCAAGGGGCTGGTATAGGCTGGCCAAGCCAGCGCAAGCTCGCAGCGCGTGAGATGGTGACTCTTTGAGCAGTTCGACACTGAAGCGCCGTATCCACTCGTGCCAGTCCTCGACTGTGGATTTCTGTGAAGCTTCCCAAGCATTCTTTAGATGTTCCTGATTAACTGGTAACTTCTTTTGGCCGACCTCTGCAACTCCAGAGTCATCGCCGAGACCCCCGTAGTGCTCATCTGGGCTGAGATCTTGGGGAAGAGGCTCTCCCTTCCGTAGCTTCGTGATAAGGATGTCATAGTTGTGGTGAGGGACATGATTCGCAACTAAGACTTTGTCGACAGTCCAGACATAGAGTAGGTACTCCTGTCCAAGCTGGAAGACGTAAGCGCAGATGCAGTCGAGCGCTGCTTGTCTCAGGAGCTGCTCCTTCCCAGCAAATAACGCCGTCAAACTGTGTATGATCAATGATGCATAATCTGATATATTGACCAGCCTCGATATCTTTCCAATGGTGTCGATAGCTGCCTTTCGTATAGCGACGGGGTTTGACTGATTCTCGAACATACGGACGAGGGATGGAATGATCATATGCATATGTTCTTCGGCGCTCTGACCAAATACCAAAATGGTATGTAATACCCTCTCGGATGCGGTCCTACGGACTGACACATCGTTGTCAAGCACGCCGAGCATAAGTGGGAGAATCGTTGTAATGCGACCCTTGAACTCACCCTCCAAGGCTCTTGACAATGATTCAACTAGCGAGAGAATCGTTGCTTGCACGGAGCTACTCACAGACCAAAAGTGCTCGACGAGCTCGACGAGGGGATTCGCGAAGTTTCGTATATGGACGCGGACTATAGATACCAGAATTGCTAGCTGATTGAAATAAATCTCAAGCCGCGTGTTTGGTGCGGCGCGTATAATTGTTAAGAAGCTTGGGATGATTTCGGGCAAGAATGGTATACACCGTATTCCAAGGGTTTTGAAGATGGTCACAATGGCCTCAATGACCGCAGTGTGGTATTGGGATAAAGAAGGATCGGCTAGAATAGTCTGCGTTAGTATGTTGAAGACGACCTTGGGATAATAATCCTCGTTTGAGGGCGTCATCCCCTCTATCACAAGCCCAACGTCCGAGACTAAATCGGCAGCATTCCTCAGACGAGCTTCAGAAGATACTTCGAGGATCTCTTCATGCTTGTAAGGATCCTGAGCGCCCAGGGTTCCTAGGAGCTTGATAGTCTCTTTTCGCGACCCTCCTGGCTGTTCTGTCTTAATGATGTTTATCAAGATGTCAAGCAGTTGGGGAAAGTCTTTGTATGGTTCGATAACATATCCTGCATGTCTCCCAAATTGGCCAAGAGTGTGTAGTGCGGCATCTCTCTTACGCTGAGAGCTCAGATCTTGAAGGGCCTCCACGATCGTAGGCATGATAGTTGGAAGGTATGGCACTAAGACGGTCCCACCGGTAGTTGCAAGCTGTCCAATCGCTGTGATGGTCGTTGCTGCAATTATGGCATTCGAATCTTCAGCGTTTGGAAGAAGGGTCTTGACCAGGACGTCACAGTACGGCTTGGCAAGCCGAGATGCATTTGCGATTACCAGTCCAACAAGCTTAGCTCCGTCCTCTTTACTCTTGGGGCTTTGGGAATTCTTGATGCTCATGATAAGATTCACAAGGACCTTTCGTAATGACGGAAAGACGTGTGCTGGGTTGATAGCAGTGAGACGACCCACGATGACAATGGCGGCTTGTCGAACTTCGAAATCGGAGTCGTTAACTGCAAGGAAGACATGACGAATATTCTCTGGCTTGGCAAGGTGCTTGTCAAATTGGTCGTTGAGAGCTTGGAGAACGGTTCGTCGAATGTCAGGATCCATGTCTGCCACTCCTAATGCCAACAGTCTCTCAATGACGTCTCCGACAACTCGGATGGCATGGAAACTGGTCTGGTAGATGATGGGATCATGTACAAAAAGCTGGCAGCAGGTCAGTGCCGCTGCTTTTCGAACCTTTGGATTGTTGCTTTCGGTATATCGCATGGCGACATCTCGCACAAATTCATTAAGCCCATGACCAGTGAAGTCGAAACCGCCCAAAGTGACCAAAGCCAGTACTATCTCGGAATCTTTGTGTTCTGCCACTGAGAGGTTGAAGTCCTTGGCAAAGGCAGGTAAAGGCGGAATCTTATTCTCGGGGCATCCTAAGGGTCTGAAAGGACGGCCTGACAGTACAAGACTGAGTAGGTCGAGAAGCTTTTCTTGGATCTGATGCTTGACTGGATGAATGTAGTGCGCCATATCGACCAGAGCTTGCGTAAGGGCTTCACTGAGCCCACAAGCAAACACTGGATCCAGCAAAGCTTCCATATATTTGGTAAGAGCCATGCCAACTGCGATCGAGAGCATGCTGATACACTGGAAGACTGGTCCTTCATCAGTACCAATGCGGTTTCGTCTGTTACGTGGTCAGTATAGGGGAAAAGCCGGAGAGGCTGAAAGGACCTTACGCTTTGAGACTGAGACCCTCCCTTATGTAGAGGACAATGCCATCGAGGTATGGTGCAATAGCGCTTGAGACCGCATGTGCGACTTTTCCGATTGCCACGAAAGCTGCATTTCGCTCTTTATCCTTCTTGAGCTGACCTTGTAGGAAAATCATGAATTTGTGTAGGTACTGCGAGGAAAACGTCTCTGGTGCGTATCCGGCAAGTATTGGAATCATTATCACAACCTGAGTGCGTATTCGAGGCTCGCGATGGTCTTTGAGACGAAGAGTGATATCTGCCACATCTCGATAGTGTTCGCGCATAAACATGTTACCTTTGAGGAGGAGCTCTTTCATGATGAGCAGTGATCCATGGATAGTGTCTTGACTGGGTGACTTGAAGCCTTGAAAAGCATCATCGTAGACTCGTTGAAACCATTGTTGACGGAGGTGGGCGTCTCTAGCAGCAATTATTTCGAAGCAGGCACCTACAGCTTCGGCAGCTGTTTCACGGATGAGCACTTTCGGATCTCGGAGGGCGACTAGAATGCAGTCGAAGATTTGTGGTACAAATGCGTAGAGCAGGGTAGGAGAATTCTTAGCGAGCTGTAGTATGATCAGCACAGCTGCAAACCGTCGAGACTCTTGTCTATCGGACTGTAGCCACTCGAGGGCTGAGGAGATTTCGGCCTCGACAAGTTCAGCTGTGAGTGCCCCACCAGGCACTGCAAGGCGACCCAAAGCTCGAGCTGCGTATACGAGGACGGTATTATCATTGCTTCTTAGAGCTGCCTTGAGGAAGTTGGAGAAGCGTGTCGTCTTCTGAGCAGCATCGTCACCATCGAAGCTGATGAGCTGCTCGATTGCCAGAATCCCGCTTATTTTTTCGGAGGTGTCGTTGCTTTGTACAACGAGTGCAGATATCTTGCTGTTGACAGTATTGTAGTACTCTTGGAACTTGTCCGAAGGTAGTGCTGTGATTATGAACAATCAGCCCGTGCAAAATGAGCAGGGTGAGCAGAAGGACTTACCTCTGGCGGCCGAAACAACTAGGTCTCGCAAATCGTAGGAAGCTCGCAGCCGGGATTCATCGTTCTTTGATTTGAGCTCGATAAAGGCCCGGTTGAGAGCCTCCATAGCCTGCGCAGCCATGACCTTGGGATTGGATTGTATTTTGTCGAAGTGGTCCCAGACGAAATGTAGTGAGTCGGGGCTGCAAGGCTTACATTCATGAGAGCTGCCTGGGGGCTCGCCTAGTGCATGGCCTTCTGCAGGCCGCGATGACTCAAGGTCGTTATGTGTGTTTGATGTATATGTATCGGAGGTAATGACAGTTGAAGCTGGAGTAGAGGGGGGACTTTCACCGAGCTCGAGATGGAACTGGAGCGCATCCTCTTCACCGTCTGCATCATACTCGTGGGGCTCTTGAATCCCTGTCATCTTAGCCTGACGGGTAGGGCGTAGTGTCCTTTTCGCTTGAACTTCGGTAGAACTTGTGATGGTGTGGGTTGCAGGAAGGTTAGCGAGATCACTAGGATCTATCCAACTTTACGGCAATGGATGGATTTCTATGGCGATGCATGTGGTCTTAGCACCGAATATTGTGTGGCAGCAATAATGCTTTTGAGAATGTGACATAGCCTATTTCAAGCACAACGACAGACAGAGCAGATTATCCGGCAAGACTGCGGCCGGCTTCCCTGATACTTGAAAATCAAGTAAGAATATATGTATTTTCCTTAAATGCATCTCCTCAAAATCAACTCGGGTTACGTTTTGTCTGGCTCTTTTTCTTTGTGGTATCTTAGTTGGCATTTTATAGGGTTCGTTCCCGGTGCCCATATTCAATACCTCTTGGACTTCGCTACCAGAGGCTGCCTATTGTCGGTTTCTACGTTGAATCCGGTCTATAAACAATTCGAGTTGACCCTTGATGCGCCACAATATATCCTCAAACTCTACTGATCAGCCAGCGAACAGCGACTTATGAGCATGTTTAGCTATCGGTTTGTTGCAATCGTGGTCAAACATGGAGTGAACGATTTTGAAACTGCCTGTAATGTGGAATGAAGGGCTCGGTTGGTTACGAAACCATAGTCTCACGATGACCGTCACTTTCAAACGCTTCAATCCAGGCAGTGTGTGTGGGCCTGTATCCTTACACTCTCTGCTTGGGTTAGGTACTTAGTGCCTCACGTCAGAGTTTCTGTTCCGGTGACCCATCATCGTATGCAATTTTCATGGACTCCAAATCCTTGCAAATCGACCTTGAATATGTCGAGAGTCTACGGACTAGTCTCTTTTGTGGCTCAGGTCCCCTAAGATTGGTAGAAAGAAAGGTTCATGCTGATTTCAAAGCATGGCTACGGAATGGTAGAATTCCATTGTGCTTGAAGCTGCTGCTGGATGGTCTAAGTACCAAGCCGAACTGATGCCGGTCCATTCCCCGTTGATCGGGTCTTTTTGTTTATGTAAGAGTCATGCATGCGCTTCTGTCTTTGTAAACTTAACACTAAGCTTCATCTTTGCGGTAAGTGCTCTTGGATCTATAATGTGAAATGTTCTGATCGCTTCTGTCGTCCTACTGTCATAATCACATATTCTCGTCCTCAACATGCCTCTTCGTTTTTGAAAAGAGATCAGAGGAGGAAAGCACAAGTTCAAGCTAAGGGGTATCATCTCGGCGAGGTACGGCCGGAGCACTTTGGCTGTCTAGATTTGTTTCCCGGTCATGAAGCAAGAATTGAATGCCGCTCGCCTCCTAGGGAAAAAAAAAAAAGGGGGGGGGAAAAAAAAGAAAAAAAAAAAAAAATTTTTTTCCCCCTTTTTTCCTTTCTTCAAACCCCCCCCTTTTTTCCCCCCGAAAAATTTTTTTTTTTTTTTTTTTTTTTTGTTTTTTTAATAAAAATATTTTTTTTAAAAAAAAAAAAAAAAACAATTCATTGCTATCCAAAAACCGGTCTGTCCAGCCTAAGCGCCGACTGCCTGCAGACTCTTCACCGCATCGACAATACTCTCCTTAAGGCTTATGAATTCAATGCCTAGAACTTCTTTGACCCTCGAGTTATCATACTGGTACAGACCACCCTCTGGGTATCCTCCACCTTTGGTGCCTTTTGCGGGCAATTGTTTCTTGAGCTCTGGGAAATTGTCCCTCATGATATCCGCAATCTCTTCATTGCTGAAATAACCTGTTGTGACGAAGAATCTCTTGTTCGCCGCTTCAGGCAACTCGGCAGCTTTGACGTGCGCAAGCGCCAAGTCACGGACATCAGTCCAAACAAATGTGCCTGTAGGCGGCAACTCCTCCTTGGCCTTTCCGGTCATCAGCGCAGCAATCCTTTGATTCGACGTGTTCAGGTTGTCCAAGCTTTGCAGATAGTGTACAATTGGTCCCAAGACTAGTGGAGGGCACATCGTCGAGATTGTGAAGTTTGGCTTCTCCTTTTCCAAAAATTCCCATGACGCTCTTTCGGCAAAAGTCTTGGAGGCGCGGTAGCCATTCGATGGATTTTGGACGGCTTCTTCTTCGGTGATCGGGTTCCAGTCTTTCTCGGAGTATGTGTAGCCGGGCCGGGTGCCCTTTGATGGGTCGATGATTGAGGCGAAAGAGGAGGTGATAACCTGGGACTGTGTTAGCTCTGGTTCATTACGGGGAGAGATTGTGAAGGCGTACCACGCGTTTGACCGTTGGAGCGTGGTTCTTTGTTGACTCCAGAATACCTGTCGTTCCGATGACTGCTGGATCCAGCAGCTCTTTCTTAGTATCCGTGGCGTTGAAATGGAACGGAGATGCTGTATGAATTATGACTTCGAAAGGAGGGTTCGATTGGACTGCCTTGTCGAATGCTCCTGGTTTGGCAATGTCCTCCACTATAACGAAATCGAGTTTGTCTTTGGAGACTTTGGGGTGATTGTCGAGGATCTTTTGTCCTTTCTCTGTAGATCGGACGGTTGTAACCACTGAGTGGCCGCGCTCGAGGAGGATGTCTAGGACATGGGCAGCTATGAAGCCTGAGCCACCTAGTTGTCTACTGTCAGTGACGGGATCTTGATGTTTGAGGAGCGGTCGTGGGCCTCGTACCTGTGAGAAGGACGCGAGACATGTTCTTGTGCTGTCGTGTGGTTCAACTGATCTTTCAACTGAATTGCTGTAGTTTTATGGTCTAGAGGTATTTTCAGGGGGTGTGTATGAGTGCATGAAATCAGTGATGGAAACTCGAGTACATATAGACTTGACTTCGAGGGTACGTCATAGTGTCGTTTACCGGGACTTTGCCCGACCCTAACATTAAGCCCTAAGTCCCCAATGTCCGCTTCTAAATTCAATGTCTCTGAAGACCATGCTAAAATTGGCACCTGCAGATACAGTTGAGCTAGTCGGAGTTTTGGGAGTGTCTATGCGTGAGCGGAGTCCAGAGATGCTGGAGCTGAGCATGGAATAAGGCCCCAACCGGGGCCGAAGCAGCTGCGGTTCATCCTCGAAAGTCGCGCAATTGAATACCGTGACTGCCCTTGTATGAGGATGCGGCAGGGGGTTCCCACCCTTTCAGGACCACTGGATCAGTGATTCTGTAAACTTCAACTCCAAGTGGACGACAGCATTCTAGCATAGGGTCCTCTCCGTCGTTCTTTGCCCAGCCCCATTTGGAGAGGTCCCCTCCTGGACAGGTCGACAAAGCACACAAAACATCGACCTCTGCAAAGAATTCGAAGAAGTCTCCTGATTTTGCTGGGCATGGTTGCATGAAGTATTCACCATTTCTATTCAAGCCAGTCACCTGAAAGACATTTAACACATCGTGAACATCGAATTCTGTTAAGCCATATGGCAGTATGGCACGAGTCAGATTGGAATGACAGTGGTAGTCAAAACCCTGTCCGGAAAGCATCTGGTTGACATATGGATCGCACCGTGTACCAAGTAGATCATGGACCCTACCGCCTGCCTCGTCAACTCCAAAGTGTTCCAAAGAATCGCCAGTGATAGTCACTAGTGGTCGGAGGTATGGAAGGCAGGACCATAAGCGATTGTATTTGGTAACGTGAGACGCGTGCAGCTGTCTCGTCCGAGAAGCCCAGAACCTTTCTCTGGGGTTGTGAAGGTTCCAGATGTTGAGGTCGCCGACCTGTGGACCTTCAGGTGTAGTGATCCGACAAACATGACCTTGTGAAACGATCCATGCGCGACCTGAACGGATTGGCAGTGTGAAGGACTCGATTAGTCCTTTCGACGTCGTTGCTCCAACTCTGGAGTAGAGATGCGGGTCAGCATCAAAAATAGAGCCTTTGAACGCCTGATATGCTGGCACAGGATTATCCCAGATTCAGGCATGATAGCAGATACTTGAGCGATGTAATTGAAATGGATAGCTGGGTTCGGCCACAGATAAGAAGGTCAGAGCGATCTTGGAATTTTGGGGGCGCCTAAAGTATATTGTATAAGATCCCGCTTGGCGCACGATCCGAGGATCCGACCCCGGAGGCGCCCCCCAAAAGCTTGGCTTGCTCTCCAAAGTGACATAAAGTAGGTACTACTTGTACCTTACGTAGAAACCTTCTCAACTAATCCCATCTTGGACTTGTTCCAAGATTCAGTTACTCCCTTATCATAGGCTAACAAGAAGCCAAGATGTCAATACATATCATTTATCATGGCCAGGCTGTCTCCAATTCGCCCAGCTTCCCTTCAGTATACTCACCTGATTCCCGCACGTCAGGCTTAAAATTCAGTATCTTGTTGACACCCACCGTCTATCGACAAGATGTTTTGGTCCAAGAACAGCGATGCCGTCGAAGAGATGGAGCTAGACGCGGAGCTCCAGGATACCCACCACGACGGCAATATTGGAACTCAGGTGCCTGTTGAAGGCAGTGGAGTCAGGCCTAGGGGTCGCATTCTGTACACATTTCAGACGCACAGAGGCCTAAAGAGTAGGCATATTCAGCTGATTGCTCTGGGAGGAAGCATCGGTACCGGACTCTTTGTCGGAACAGGCACAACGCTTTCCTTGGCTGGACCAGCACCCCTGTTCATGTGTACGTATCACTAATCTGGCTTGAAATTATGGTTACTAATGAGTATAGCTTTCATTGTCATATCAGCTATCGTTTGGATTGTGGTTCAAAGCCTGGCAGAGATGACAACGTATCTTCCGGTCGAAGGAGCTTCAGTGCCATTTTATGTCCACCGCTTCTTCGAACCTTCCTTGGCGTTTGCAGCAGGTTGGAATTACTTCTATTCGTATGCGATGCTGGTGGCTGCTGAGATATCCGCTGCAAGTGTTGTTATAGACTATTGGGACAATCCCGTGTACGTATTCGAGGCAACTGAGACAAAGATACTATACTGACAAGAGCATTCTTACAGACCGGTTGCAGCATGGATCACCATTATACTCATCACTGTTGTTCTTCTCAACGTCTTTGCAGTCCGCATCTACGGCGAGTCTGAGTTCTGGTTTGCCTCGATCAAGATCATCGCTATTTTAGGCCTCATCATCCTCGGCATCGTGCTCTTCTTCGGTGGTGGACCCAATCACGATCGACTCGGCTTTCGCTACTGGAATAATCCTGGAGCATTCAATAGCTACCCAAAGCCCGGACTCGGGAATACGGGCAAATTCCTCGCATTCTGGACTTCACTCATCCGCTCAGGCTTCGCGTTCATACTTTCGCCAGAAACCATCACCATTGCTGCCGGTGAAAGTGAGGCTCCAAGACGCAACATCCCCAAGGCGAGCAAGCGTTTCATTTACCGCTTGATAGTCTTCTACATCTTGGGCACACTAGTAGTATCTGTCATCATTGCCTCGAACGATGCAGATCTCCTGCAAGCAGTGAGCAGTGGCACAACGAATGCAGGTGCTAGCCCATTCGTCATTGGTATCAAAAGAGCCGGGATTCAGGGTTTGGATCATGTCGTCAATGCAGTAATCATAACCTCAGCCTGGAGTGCCGCAAACAGCTTTCTCTACGCAGGTAGCCGCTCGCTTTTTAGCCTTGCGATGACTGGTCAAGCCCCAAAGGTATTCACCAAGTGCTGTAATGGTGTCCCATATGTTGCTGTTTTTGCCACAGCCGCGCTGGGGAGTCTTGCGTACTTGAGTATTTCAAACGGATCGGCGACTGTGTTTGCTTGGTTCCTGAACCTGACGACGATTGGCGGCTACGTCGCATGGGTTGTGATGTTCATGACATACTTGGTACTCTCTTCTTTACCCCCCCAACCCTCTCAGGCTGAGCTGACAGAGACTTTTTAGCGCTTCCGGAAAGCGCTCGCCTACAACGGCATTCTTTCCTCAATTCCGTTCAAAAGTCCCTGGCAACCATACACAAGCTATTTCGCCATGATCATGCTCATTCTGCTGTGCCTAACCAACGGCTTCCAAGTGTTCTTCCCCAGCAACTTCTCAGCAGCATCTTTCCTAGCAGCATATATCACTCTGCCTGTGTTTTTTGCTCTATATTTGGGACATAAACTGTGGGCTCGAACCCCTTGGATACGGTCAATCGAGACGGTGGATGTATGGAGTGGAAAAGAAGAAGCGGATCGACAGGAAGAGGAGGACATGGGACCCTCCATACCTAGGAATCTGTTAGAGAGGATATGGTTTTGGATTGTTTGACGTTTTCTCTTCACGCCTCGTCTCGAGATATCTGTACACTGCTAAGTAGTGTAACTTTTTGCACATTATCTCGTCTATCGTTTCATTGGCACCATCAAATTCGGACGTCTATCCTTGGCCGTTCATTCCAATTGTTCCTCTCATCTGCCTTGAATTTGAGAACGCAGAATGTCATGGTCAGGGAACGAGTCAAAACTCAACAGATCTCAAGCTGAGAAAGACCACAAACTTCTAGTGTAAAGTTGTTTCATTGCTAATGAGTGACGGGGCTCGCGAGTATCCTTCAGATCAGTAAGGGCGGGGCACTTCTAAAGGCAAACTAAAACCATCGTCAAACTCCGGCAAACACCAGATCTATTTCAGAGCACTCAGCATCTCATAGAACCTCCATCAGTTTTCCCGGATGTTGCTTCCAGTTTCCCAGCTACCTGGGCCTCACCTCGCCGTCTTCAGAGCCCACCGGCTTTTCGAGATCTTCCCTAACCTTTCCAGTCGCCTTCCTAGGCCTCACTTCGCCATTCGTCCCCGGTACAAATTGCACCTTCACAACATCGTAGATGCTCCTATTGGTCATGAGCTCTAAGGTGCTCTGCAGATTCTCATCCGTAAGCTCCCTTTCCCTGCAAAATCCGGGTGTATCGACCGTCTTCTCGGTCAAGACGGCTATTAGACGAGAGATCTGCGCGTCAGCGTGAATGGGGTGCGGATTTTTGAATTCTCCGTGCTGACGAAGAGCGTCCAAGATTACTTGTTCGAGAGACCGGTAGGTAATGGTAGAAGGGACGGAGATGCATATACTGGCTTTGCAACGTTTGGAGCGTTCGACGAGATATTGGATCCTGAGATGAACGGTCTCCGCGTCCCTGTCGCGTACGTCTGTAATTGGTTGGTCTTGGTCGGTGGGGTTTGGATCTCGGGACGCTCCTTGGTCGGCTTCGTTGTCGCCGACATCCTCAGTAGTTCCACCAATGTGGCGTTCTGTGTTGTCACCAGCATTGAGGCCCCTTCCTTCTGGTCTCCGATATCCGGTGAGCATGGACACTCGAGCCACAGGGTTAGGTGCTGCCTCTCCCTCGTCAAGATCGGAATCATTGGGATCTTCACCGAGCGGCGATGATGGCCGCAAAGGAGATTCGGGGATCTCAGAGGCATGCAGGAGGACCTCCTCTTGGCTATGATCGAATTCCAGATCAGCTTGGCTTGCGGTTTCGTCTTCAAGCTCTTGGGTCGGCGCGGTTGCGGGTTCTTGGACCTCTCCCTCTCCAATGTCAAAGAGATTGGAACCTCCACCGAGCGGCAGTGTTGGGTGTAAAGGAGATTCAGGGATCTTCGGGGCAAGCAAGTCGACCTCATGGCCATGATCGGTCTCCGTATCAGCTTGGCTTGCGATTTCTCCAACGTCATGGGCTGGTGTGGCTGCGGTTTCTTGGTTCTCTCCTTCCTCAGTGGTCTTACTTGGAGTTGCTTCCATTGGCGAGCTTGATTCGTCTGGGATATCATTCTCCTGGCTGGGAGCTGGGGTACCTTCGGAAGCGGCACTAGAATATATTGAACCGTCATTCATTTCACCAGCTTGCTCAGAGCCCACTAGCATGGCCATTTCCGGTTCTCTGCTCTCCACATCACCATGGTCAGGGCTAGCTGAAGCGGGTATCACTGAGCTGCTACTGTCTCCATTACCATCGTCAGCACCAGCTGAAGTAGCCGTCACTGAGCCCCTAGTCTCTTCCTCGCCATGGTCAGAGCCAGTTGGCCTGGCTACCTCTGAGGTGCCATATTCTCCATCGTCGTGGCAAAATCCAGTTGCAGTGGGTGTTATGGGCCTATGATTGTCACACACACTGCGTTCAGAAGAAGTCAAAGCTGGTGTCCTTCGGTCGTCTTCTGAATCTTCGATTAACACACCCTCGATGATTGTTGGGCCATCGATGACGTATTCTTCCATATTGTCAACAATGCTGGTGCTTCCCTCTCGGATCATGGAACTGGGAGCCTCTCCATGGCCAGCGATAGAGTTCCCGGCTTGCTCACCCGTGGGAGCCGTTGGTCCTAGATCAATCGCATCCCAGGTTCCATCCTGATCAGTATCAGAGCCTTCTTCGTCATTAAAGTCTGATTGTTCTGCATCATCGGCACCTAGGTCATCTGAAGTACTCGAAATCAAATGAGGGGGGACCGCTTCGGCAGCCTCCGTAAGAGTCCGCTGCTGTGGATTGATGGCTCCAGCTGATATGACCATCACTGCGGTGTCAGAGACCAATCGATTGGAGTCGCCTTGAACCTGCTCAGAATGGCGGTTCTCCATGTCAGAAGCATCTGCCACCGGAATCAGGACTGCTGCCTCATCTTCCTCTTGAGCTTCGTTCCCAGCGATCTCTGCGCTTGGAAACTCCACCGTCGCGGGAGAGGTTGGCGTTGTAGGGTTGCTGTTGCTAGACTGCTGCTCTGAGAGCTTCACCTCATTTGGAGACGCCATTGTTGTGGTGATTGTGTGAGGAGGCTATGATATTGGTTTATCGCTGGGGAATGGGAGCATATTTATGCGGCGTATTTGGTTACATACAAGACAACTCTGAAAAACTACCGCTTTGTCCTCAGAATGCAGTTGGGTGTCTCTGGAAGTATCTGCTTGTCATTGGTGGATGTTGCCTGTGCCGCTTCCTTCATTCCTGGGTCATGTTTGACGATGCCACGCCAGATTTGGCTTTTGCATGAAAGAGCCTTATGCAGCTTGAAGATTGTTGGTAGGCCCTAGCGCTCTCGCGTCGTGGGGACATTCTGGCTTCACAAAATCTCTGGGGCGGCCTAGCTGTCGCTACCCGCTGTTTCCATTTGTGTTCTTTATCCTCGTACTGCATACCGGGCGATCGTGCTCGATCGATCTCTGGCGTGGTCGCGTGGAGACTTCATGCAGCTGCCCGATCCCGACGGTGCCGAATCTTCAAGACGGAACCGCGGCTCCATAGAGGGTATCGTGTCAGACCCTAGGTGCCGCCGAACCTTTATCGTGACTGTCTTGGCCCAGACTAGCGATCTCATCGGCTGAGCTGTAAACTGCAAGACTCACTACTTCCAGGTTGATGCCCAGATGAGGAAATCTACTATTCATCTCCTGCCGTTGAGTCGTGAGCTTTGCTTCAACTGCCCGTGTAGCCCCTCAAGCTTGCGCTGCTCCTGGTCCAGAAGCATATCACATTGGTGCAGGTCTCGCGCATGCTTGGTCCGAGCAATGTGATCTGTTTTGTCCGCGGCGTGCTTTTGGTATTCGAGGTTACTATTGACTACCTCTATACACGAAAATACTAAATCATAACTTGTCGTCTTACAACTTTGCAGCTCTTTTGCATAAGGTTCGTACTCATTCGCAGAATGGATTTCCGGCGGCAGCTTCTGTTTTCCCAAAGTTCTCCTGTATGTGTCACGAGAGCAACAGAAGTAGACTACCAGTGCAGAGACCAGCATGATAACCAAACAAAGGCGCCAGACGGGCAGCTCTCGCCATTCTCTCTGAGCGCATGGTTTCTGATCTTCGGGGCTGGTTGGTTTCTTGCTCACGGTCGCCACTCTAGACCTTTGATGCCCTATCCTCTGCTCGTTGCTGATCTGCTTGTAAGACTGTGGAGGCCACGATGGACCCGTGGGCTCCGACTCCTCCATGGGGAGCGAAGACGACGGACGGTGGATGGTCATGTCGAAGAGGGGATGTCGCAACGGTCCAGAGCGGCGACAGATCTTGCAGAGAATGGCGGGCCACGAAGGCGAGATTGGCGAGCGTCCAGAAGAGAAGGATCCCGTAGAAATAACGACAGCGGTAACAAAGATAAAGACGTAGACAGACTGTCTTTGTTTTTTGAGGGGAAGGGGAGTTTCGTCGGCAATCAGCAGAGGTCCACCAGCGATTGTCTAAGGGGCATATCCGCAAATTAGAGTGCAGAAAAAAGGGGTGGCGACGCAAAGCAGATGAGAGCTCTTAAGTATCACGCAAGGGTGCATGCCAGCTAGGCAGCAAGGTAGCTTCATGCTCCCCCAATCCAATAGTCACCACCGTTGACGTTTGTCTTTCCTTACCCTTTGGCATCTTGAAGAAGGATAACAGGGGGGCTATTGGAGACGTTGTACCCAGGTGTCTAAGAGATGGCTGATGATGCCATGCGCGTGATGGAAAAAACCCTGCAAGATCTTGCGGTTGGCCTCGGTATCTTAGCATTGTTCCGCGGAGATATGCCGAGCATATCATCCTGCGACAGGCTGTAAGCCTCGAAAGAATCGGGACTGCCGTCTTCCAGCTTCGTTCGACCGACATCTTTGTCCCTGTTGATCGTAACGTTATAATTCACCGTCTCGCCCATTTGGCACGGGGGTATATACATGCTGAATCTAACAGAAGTGGTTCTGGAAGAACGTACCCGAAAAGACTTCCAGTAGGGTTGAAGGCATGCTTCACCACTTCTCCTTTATCAATCTCGTAAATCTTTTCACTCAGGTCAAACGTAGCCTCAGCATCTTTGAGCATGGTTTCACCCTCGCGTGGACCTCTCAAATTGACGAGGAAGAAACGAATTTCTCTACAAGCTTGAAAGAGTTGCTCCGATTCGGTGTCATTATTAGCCAAAAGCTTACCGAGCGAGACCCATGGAAGATCGCCTACGGGGACTTCGTTGGGGAAAGGAGAGTATATGGTGAAGTACTTGGCCGTCGGCATGTTTCCAAAAGACGCTAGGCAAGAGTGGTACTAATGCCACGAGGAGGAACTATGATGGAATCCTAAGAAAGAGATGATTGGGAAGGGAGCCAACGTGGAACGAACGGTGTTTTTCGACTTTAGGTGTCATGGTCTTCCAGACTGCTCCGGTGAAGGAGTGGTTATGGTCATGGATTGTACACTTCCAACCTCGATAAGCGACTGCGGCAGACGTGCAAGCTCGACATGAAAACCTAAGACACTTACATTGACACGCTCTAAGCTGTGTTTTCACTCCGAGCTATCGCTCCTGTCCCTCGAGCCCGTGATCTTGCGTGAAGGTCTGTTTGCGTAGACCAGCTCTATGATCAGCGCGGTGATGGCAAGTCAAGTGGCAATGCCCTTTAAAGAAAGATTCAGTTAATCAAGGTTACTCATAAGGGTGGATTCTTGCATGCAAGGGGACTTGATACCACGCTACCGGATATGTAAGGCAGGGACCTTCGGATCGTCATGATTGCTGGGCTGTTGGGTGAGAGAAGGCGGAGCATCGACCTTGAAACCTTGAATGCCGTGCATGCGAAGAGGTCTGGATCCACGATTGGCTTTGATGAGCGAAGATAACCACCAGTCGGATTCAAAAATACAGATCTCTGGCCCTTTCGTCAAAGTCTGCAAGAATCTGCACCTTCCCACACCTCCTTACTTATATAAACTCCTTCGTTCAGTCAGACCGTTGACAGGAACCGAATCAGCCTCGAATCATATCTTGTATCATGTCTAAAGATCAAATTCTTTTCCTCTCTGGATGTGAGATCTGACCTGACATCTCGAACGCTAATGATCCGATACAGTTATATACTCCGTGGGAATCCAAGCATTCAATGAGGCGTCCCACTGCTCCTCAGCAAACGTCGTGCCGTTCATTTGATGGTATAGGAAAGTGGTCGATTGGTCAGCCGAGGTTACACTAGCAAGCCTTGCGAAAGGAAACGCGTTGTTTGGTGCGAAAGGAAACCCGTTGACTGGCATTCCATCTACAAGTATGTCTGAATTGCCATTCGCGATATCAATTATCGCTGGCTGCGTGCCGTTGATCCAGATACCAAAGTACGAGCCAAACACTGCAACATCTGACTGGTGGATCGAAGTATAATCTTGTGTGTCGTTCCAATCATCATCATTACCTTCGCTGAAATTCCCGGGGCCGTTGGGGCCGATCGTGTAAAGACTCGACAGAATAGCGGCGCTAGAGACGACACGTCCGCCATTTACTAGCGAAGCGGCAGGCGGCGAGTAGAACAGCGCTCCTATGGTACATCCAAAGAAGTTTGCTCCACTAGTGAAGGGAGTGCTGAATGTAGCATTGATGACTGACTTTTTGACTGACTCATACAAGGTATTGCTGTATTCGGAATCAGGAACGTTACGGAATTCATTCGGTAGAGATTTGCTTTGTTGACTGGTGATGTCGACCCATTGAGTGGACCGCCCAAACTGCCCATCCTGATTAACTGTGTCTGTTATACGCTGCAACAGCGCTGCAACTTTGCCATCCGCATTCTCATAATATAGAAGAGCTGAGTTTGTGGTAGCATTTGTATCAGATGATCCGCTTCTTATCGTGGTAGTGGACAGTGACCGCGTATCTACCGCGGTGCTGTAGTTTCCCAATGTTGGATCTTGAGTCCAACCTAAACCATCAAATAACGTTCCACTCAAAAAATAATTTTCTGAGACGTAGTATACCGTAACCTACATAAACGTTAACTTGCAAAAGGACTGTGCATTGTTTAGAATCTGATTAGTACCTGCGTCTCCGAGTCGTTCAAGGGGTCAGTGACAGTGACTGCCAGCGGCGTGCGGTTCTTCGCGTCTGATGCCCAGTCGACGCCCAGATTTGAGCTCGTGTTCCATTGGCTGTTTGATGCAGTACGAATCGCACGTCTGATGAGACCAGTATTGTCCTGGAAAAATAATTGCCGATCGCCATTGGCGAGAGAAAAAGCTGCCAAAGAGGTATCATTCAGTATGAGTTGTATAGTAGGTGTGATGTTAAGATTTGGCGACGCCAGCGGGCTATAAAAGTGAGCCAAGAAAAACCACATCTGTACGAACTTCGCACCTGATTATCGTAGATGACTTATGCGATGAACGGTGACGCCAGATGCCAACCCCCACCCCAATTCCAATAGCAATGGCCGCAGCAACAACTAACGCCACCACTACAACTGGCCACTTGAGCACAGGCTTGGTGATATGATGGCTGGGAGTGCGCTCCTTAGTAGACTCCTCGATGTGGGCTTCAGGAAATGAGGTATCGTAGAACACTTGTGGTGTTGTATCAGGTACAGCCTATATCCTTAGTCAGTATGACTTCTTGCCACGTACTCTTTCTTGCGTACCTGAGGCGCCAAAGCGCCTGCATCGAGCTCAAAGGCTGTCGCATCGTGGTCACGTTCTGGAGCATTAGCAGTCTCATCGTGTTTTACGAGTTCTGGAGCTCCAGCAGCCTCATGATGTCTGACGAGCTCCAGGGTTGAATAGTGTCGGTCCATGCTTTGAGCATTGGTAAAAGCACAACTTAATAGTAAATGCGGGTATAAAGGAAAGTCAACGAGTTGAGGAGACAGCAGCCTTCTTTTCTGCACAGCCTTAATTCCCTCATAATCTGCAGCAGAGAGGGGGTGCTGCGTTGAAATGGAATCCTTCGAGATACTTTATGCAAGAACGGTTCATCTTCAAAAATGGAAAGAGAATTGATTGGTGGAATTATGCCTGCGTGCAGTATAATGTACTGCCGAATGACCCTTTCGTGCATGATCTGCGACCCGCTTGAATTCACTGAGTGAGGTTGCTTCGTGAACCTGGGCGTGCGTGCTCGAGTTTCTCATTCTCGGTATCAAAATCTCCATACGGAATCCAGCAATAGAGATGATAGTTTGCTAAGACGTTGATCTTCCGCAGTAAGCAAGTTTGCTGAAAGTTGATCGGCTGCACATTGAAATATGGGCAAATATCAGTAGTACCACCCATTCGATGCCACATCTCTCGTACTTCGAATCCCAACCGCTTAAAGGAGTGTCTTGGGCGGCTGAAATAGGGCTGAAATATCTATATGACTGTAGTGGCCTTAAATAGCTGAAATGGCTGAATAGCTTTATAGCCGTATGACTGAAATAGCCGAAATATCCTTTCGTAATAATTGATAAAAAGAATAATGATATGGCTTTGAAAGAGAATAATTCGAATAAAGAGCCTACCTACCACCATCTACCACCACCATCTTCTACCGTCACACCGAATGCCATCCCTTCCACATCCCCCAAAACCCCATCCTCCACCCTCACCCTCACCCATTCCCTTACGTAGCAGTCCCATTCCCCACCGCAGCCACGCACGCCAGCGGCCCCTTCACGGTCTGCGCCGTCTCAATCAACATTCGTAATAAGAAATAGTCGACGATACCCTGCAAGATGAAGAATGCAACCAAAAGCGAACCGACGCTCTGAACAGCCCTGACAGAAGGGGGAGGCACGGGAGGGCTCTGTTCCTCCATTTGGTCATTAAGGATAATGTTCGTGGGCGCGGACATGGTTTGGATTTCGGGGGATGATGTATTGTTGGAACCGGGTTGAAGTATGGAGGAAGCTGGGTCTGTTCTTTCATAGAAGGGGACTTCGAAGGGACGTTCTATTGTGGTCTGAGGATGGAGCGAGGGGATCAGTGTGTAGTCAAACAGAAGTATGGATGGCCAGGGCTGCTGAGCGTAGACATCGATTCATGAGAGGAGTTTGGTGGCTTTTGTAGATGAATGGCAGGCCCGAAGCCGAGACTGAGAGCTTAGCCTACCCCGAAGCAAGGGGTCAAGAATCTCAATATCCCTCACTACTCCGCCCTACCACCTTGCAGGAGGAAGGTAAACAACAATGTGAATTAGAGTAGCAAGGAAGGAGGCTGAGCGAAATCACGGGTTTTCTGAGCCCCATACGATTTGTATAGCGGACACAGAGACAGAGAAATTTGAAGGCAAGGGATCAAGAAAAATATTGTATCTCAATGCCGCGCATGAAGGGCAAGGGCAGATCATTCAGGACTGGGCAAGAGCATAAATAATGCCTTGAGGCCAGTAGCCAAGCTCGATCGAAGACTCTGACCAGGTTCAAGACTTACGCCTCAATGAAAGTCTCTTACGTGAGCTCGCCCCAATACCCGATCCTACACTACCAACTGATCCAAGCCGAGCATTAGCATGTGGACTGGAGCTCCATCTCCTGCCACCAGCAATGTCGAGCAACTGTGAAGGCCGTCTTTCCTTGCCCCCTACGAAACTTTTTTGAGTGCTCTTCTGGATCTGGAACTGAGTCACTCGGCCGGCGAGTGGGTCATTCAGATCTGCAAGAGGTGCTCTTTGCCATTCAGCAGTGGAACTGCGTGGGCGCAGGGGGGGGAAGGATTGGACGCTCGGTAGCTGAGAGAATGAGGGCTTATGGGATCTTGAAAGTTGTTGGTCAGAGGACTGTGGCAGACTGGCAAAGCCAGGATCAGAGGTGCTAATTACCAGTACTTGTTCCACAGGATCGTCTTGTGTATAGGCGGCTCGGGGACTAGGTTCAGCTACGTGACCCAGAGGATCGCTCTTGGGATCAACTGCACGGGGTGTACCCTCGGACGAAGCTGAGGACGGCCCCCAAGTCCATCGGAAAAGATTATCTGGTATTTTCATGAACACTGACACCGAGTCCGAACCCATGGGAAGAGCAGCTTTTGTTTCTTCTTGTTCAATGGCCGGTTCTTGCGCTGGACTACCCTCGCTCTCTGGACTAGGAGTGGACCGAAATGAGTGCCCCACGTGCTGGGAAGCTCTAGAACTGGCTGTGAGGCTACTTTCGCTCCTTGTCTCGTCCTCTCTCCATATCACCTCGTGAACGCTGTTACGAGACCAAAATTGGACAGTACTGATTCGGCGACTGAACTCTGTAGGTACGAGGGACTGTTTCCTGGACTTTGGCCTGGCAATGAATGATCCTGGCACAACGTGAACATCTGCAAAGGTGAGGGCAGCTTCGGCTGGCATGCTACACCGCCGAACGTTGGAGATGTCACTGAACTGAGAGACAGATTTAGACCCTCTCCGGACAGACCGGGACTTCGTTTCGAGTGTAAACGTTGGCTGTTCCTTCAGGCGCCTCGGCGCCTCGGCGCTTTCTGGGGAGGGTAGATCCGTGACTGTTGGTCTCTTCTCCAATGTTGGTGACGAATAAAATGCTAGCAGCTCAGACGCTGGAGCATCTGCTGCGCGCTTGTGTTCGCGAATTAACGATGCGCTTATTGAGGTTGTGATAGGACTGATTGAGTAAACGTTGCTTGCTTTTCTTACAGTTATCGTGGCTGGAGTCCCAAGTGTTCGGAAAACATCCTTGCCATCTTTGAGCGGTGGACAGCGACGGTTGATGTTTCGAGATGCAAGACTTCTGCTATGCGCGCTACTTCTCCGTGAAACTTCCTCAGCTTTCTTGCTTGCCTTGTGAGAAGGAACAGCGTCAAACGAAATCGCGGTGTTAGGCCTAAAAATGTTGAGAGTATTTGCGAGCGCAGTCGACACACGCTGCAAACCATGAGAACTTGAGCGTATTGGTACCTGCAGGCTAAGTGACCGCAGTGCATTGACCGCTGGGGATTCAGGTTCGTCAACGGCGACGATTGAAGAGCTCAGTGTTGGCCATGTCTGAATGTGGAATCCGTCAACCTCTGTAGTATCCTGGGACCCGTGGAGGCGGCTACGAAGATTAGGTCGACCTAATCTCTTGATCAGAGGAGCGTTGGAACCGCTGTCTTCGCCGTCATCGGAAATGCCAGCGGCACAAAGTTCACAATCACTCCCATTTGAGGCTGCAGTCTGCGGTCCCGACCTTAGTGAGCGCTGCGGAAGTCTTGACCCTTCGCTCCCTTCTCTGATATTATGAAGTTTCCTGGTTTTGTTTCTAGAGTGCTTCCTCGTATGATGGTGATGGTCAGGAATGTGAACGTTCATATAGTCGTCTGCTTCGTGCCGCGGCGGAGGACTCATATTGGGTGTGCCAGACACCGGAGGCGTGAGAAGGCTGGGAGTTGGGGTGCTAGCATTGCTGTGTGGCAGACTCCGAGCGAATGCAAGGTGTTGAGGTGACAGGACTGGGGCTGGCGCGCGACGGTGTTTCAATATCTGTCATATGAGCAAATTGTCAGTCGTATCCCATCAATGTTGACAGCCACGCAATGAGCAAGCCTTACTGGGGAAGGCCCCTCCGGCCCTGTAGCCGACGGACCTCTTCTCGCCATTGCATAAGCTGGAGTCACTGTAAGGCGAGGCGTGAGCTCAGTAACAACGGATCACTGAAGAGCAGACCAACAGAAATGCTTTCGGTAAGGGTAACAATAGAGATAAAATACTAGGACAGTTCAGGTGAAGCGATGTTGGGATGAAGACGGCAGAGGCGAACCGTGTAGGTTCATCGATTTAATGCCGCGGATTGATTCGTGCCTTCCTGTTCGACCGATTGCCCTTCTGTGTCTTAATCACCCAAAGGAACGAGCGCTCTTCCATCGTCATACCCCAAAGGGCTTCTGGAAGAAAGAAAACACAACACACGCAGGAAGTATTCTGATCGGGTTTCAAGGGATTACAGCATCTTAGAAGCTTTCTAAATAGACTTGATCGCCAGGATCACGAATGTTTGCCAAAGGGAAGGAGACTTAGTACTTAGCCACGGGCAAATCATCCCTTCGATCACATTGCTCCTCTATTGGATCTGGCTGATGGATGTCACGCAATATCAAGATTCAACAGTCAAAATCCAGCCATCTCCCGCTCTCGAATTGTCACTCAGCACGCCACCCCACAACATAACACTGCCGGGGTCAAGATCCTGGGCCGGCGCGCTCGCGAACCATCCTCTCTGGCCGGGATGTTCCTTGTTGCCTGACATCGAAGACTCTGCAACATCGACTCTGGCCCATGTTCCTTCAGCAGTCTTGGCTCCAAAGAGCTGTCTTGTGGCATCTTTGAAGCTTGCAGCAGTCATGCCTTCTGGCCGTAGTTGGAATGACCAGACATCGTCCCAGAACCTTCCAGCAGCCTCATGACCCGAAGAGCTAGGATCCCGCTCCCCGAGCAATAGCAGCAAGTAGTGACGTCCCTGGCCCGTGGTGACCGGTTGTAGACCCGCCACACTGCGATCCCCAGGCATGGGCGTGCCATTTGGAGGCTCCACACTTTCCCATTGTCCAGTCAGAGGAGCAACAGCCAGCTCTCCTTTGCCACCCTTGACATCGAACGTAGACTTTGTGAGACGCAGGAACTGTATTGTGCCCCCGAGCTCTTTCTCTCCATCAAAACCCCCAAAGCGATACAATCGTTCCCAACTCAAGGTCAGACTGGGACCGCCCCGCGCAGGACCTGGGGCGTCGGGGAATTGTGACCACAGTCTCGAAGCTATGTCGAAAGCCCACACATCAGACACACGGCCTGAGGTTGGACATCCTCCGTGGATAAGTATAGTGCCATGGTCGTCAAACCCCGAAGCTCTGGTACCGAAAGGGTTCACGGTCTGATCGATATTGGTATGCTCTTGTGCAGCGTTGAATGGGGGCGGATCTTGCACTGTATTCGCTTGGAAAGGGCTTACCGGATGTTCAGTGGATGTGGATGCGTGATAGGATCTCGCAGCAGGATAAGGAGAGCCCTTAGCTGGATCGAGATAGCTCCACTGGTTCATCTTGGTATCGAAAACCCAGACCCGTCCGTTCTCTTCGAGTGGCTTCATCGCCTTGCCGCCCCTACCTCCGAACACATATATCCGATCATCCACCACACTGGCAGTGTGCCCAACCCGTGGACACGGTACGGCTCCCTCATCTGTAGTGGCTTTTGCTCGGATAACTTGGTAGTCCACGTCGTCGTTGTTGGCGGACTGGAGAGTGAAGACATGGACATGGTTGTCAACGGGCTCTCGAGGCTGCTGTTCGCCGCCAAAGATGTATGCTTTACTCTTGATGATCGATAGTGAATGAGAGGAGCGAGGCAGGATTGTGTCGGTAGGGATCCGTTTCCAGGTAGCTTTCAATGGCATTGTGGACTTGGCAATGGCCACCGCGGCGCCAGCAGCACCCTCGACGGCTGTCTCTACGCCATAAGCTGCTGCTGCTATTCCAGGTTCCATGTTGGAGTAAGCAGTCGAAGTGATACGGAGTAGTGAAAGGCGGATTTGTCCCACCCAAGCCAGGTAAGTTACGGATAGTAACCCGTTGACATATGTGTTCAGTGGGTAGAAGTAGTCTTAGCAAAGGGCTTTTGAACACAACAGCTTGCCTTAGTAATGATATTTGGATTTGTGCTGCTACAATTGCGACTTATTTTAACGCGGACTCTACGTACGAGTATCCCAAGACCAGAAATGTCTGAGGTTATCATACCGCGCTAGTGGTAAAACTGTTACTAGTTGTAATTTTGCAACGCAAATCAGCCGATCATACTTTTACTTTAAGACAGCCATTGAGATAGCTACACAACCTAAGTCGTTTCTAAATGCATCATGCTCTATGTGCCCGTACTCCAGGTACATGATCCTGGATGATTGTGCCTCGTTGGGTTTACCATGATAGATGTACAGCCTCAATGCTTGCTAAAGCTTGGTGCTTTCATGAGGCGAGAGTCGAAGGCGTACTTGGGGAAAATAGCTCCAGAGAAAGGGAGTTGTGAGGACGACGATTGACAAAAAGGCGCTGGAGAGAAGACCCGCAGGGAATAGAGGTCACGAAAAGTGATGGGCGCAGAAGTAGTAGATGCTTTGTGGCCAGCGTATCAGCATATCGTTAGGTCAGCTGAATCTACAAAAACTCTCGTCTAAAAGAATGGTGTAAACTTATGAGATGTAGCTCCAGTATCGCCGAAAAATTGAAATGTTTGGGCGCCCCCTGGAACAAGAAGAGAGGATTGTTCACATACTATGAAGTTCGGACTAAGGTCCTTCATCACTGTTGGGGTTACTCTGGAATTAGGTTCTGATAAGTAACAGTATCAATGATCCTCATTCACTTCGCTCACCGGAACAAAAGGATCGCGATTAATATTGAACTTGTCTATATGTAGTAGGCCTGACTGCACGACGTTTTCTAGCTGAAGCCCACCTCCTGTGAGACGACACCAGGTCATCGCGCTGGTAGGACTTCACAGCTATCTGCATTCGAAAGCGTAAGGGTAAGATGCTGCCGCTCCGCGCCTGGCTCCTCCCAAGTTTCTCCCGGAGCAAGCTCGATTTTTGAATAGGCTTGAATCATCCTCGCAATTCCGTATGAAGCAAGCATGAGCCCAAAGTCCTCTAGCACCCGAACATTAGCTTTTGCCTTGATCTAGGAAGCAATCCTGAGTGACTCACTGCCTAGGCAGAGTCGCGGACCTCCGTTAAACGGCAGAAAACCCCATTTGATATCCGCGAGTTCTGAGCCTTCCCATCTTTCGGGTCGAAAAGATCCAGCATCGGAGCCATATATATCCTTGCGCCGATGCATATGGTACACTGAATATGCAACAGGCATTCCTTCTCGAACTAAGACTGGAGAACGGCCGTCTGGACCGCCACCTAGAGGTAGGGTACTTGCTTGCTTACAAAAACGAGTGTTTATTGGCACCGGCGGAGATAGCCGCAGTGCTAGATTTTCACCTTAGCCTGGCGTGGAGACAATCTGCTTGAGCTACTTACTTTCTTTGATGACGTGCTGAAGGTAAGGCATGCGCTGAATATACGCTCTGGTAATATTGTTGTCTTGTCCAAGGACGGACTCAATTTCGCCCCGAAGTTTCTGGAGCACATGCGGGTGTCTCACAAGAAGGCGGCTTAATGTTCATTATTAGCTGCGACACTGGCAGTATAGTATCCAGACTCACAAGACATAGGACATTGTTGCCACTGTGGTATCCCGACCTGCAATGAGCACGTTGATAACTTGGTCCCGAACGAGACCTACATCTTGATGCTCGTTTTGGAGATCGTTGATGAATGTATATTTATCGGATATCTCTGCGTTGCCACGGTCTTGCCGCAGGGCGTCTCTTTCAAATTGGTCCGTGTAATCTTTGACTGTCTTGCAAGCTCAAAAAACCCCTTTGGGGCATACAAGAAGTATAGGTCACCGAGTCGAACGCGCGTAGCGGTGACTAGTGAGGCCTTGTTGAAGGCTTTCGAGAACAGGTCGCCTATTTCGTGATTGAAGCTCTCGACAGATTGACCAAGTATCATAGCAATAGTGGTGTTGAGAGTCAAGCGGTAGAAGAATGGCTGAAGGAATGCCGCCGAGTATCGTTAGCTCCACAGTCGGTCCCAATTGATCGAAGTATTCTGTAAAGAGGGAAAGCAGCTTCTTCTGGCGTCCGGCTTTGAATCCTCGTTTGACAATATCCAACGCCAGAGGCCATTTGTACGAAAGAATGAAAGCTGGCGGCTGGCAGTCATTCAGTCTTCCGAATTCGATATCGGCCTGGAATTAACGCATCAGTGCTCTCTCGAAGTGTAGGCATGCTTGATGTCTTGGATGACTGTACCGGATATTTGGCAGCTCTGAGGACATATCTATATATTCAGAACGAGCAGAAAGCGAGAAGGACGAAAAGCCGTACGGACGTGATATTAGTGAGTCCGTACGTATATGTACCTTGCTCAACAGAAGCACTGAAAGACATAGCACTCTACTCAGCTACGCGATCGCAAGGCGGAATCTTGGCGAAACTCATCTCGGCGTTCTTTTTGCGAAGGTGCACCGTGGCCGTATTCTCATCTACGCAAAGAAGTATAAAGAAGCGGAGGTCTTACTATCGGAAGTCATCGAATCGCACCGAGGGCCACGCAAAGGGCATCCTGATCGATTGCCTGCCATCTTTTCTCTGATAAAGTGCCGCAACCTGTTGGGTAAATAAGCGGAGACTACGGTCCTTCTTGAAGAGCTTACGAAATCCACTAAAGCGCTCTTTGGTGATGATCATGCCTGGGTCAAATATCTCCTCGACCCGCATAATCTGTCGAAAGAGCCGGATGAGGATAATTCCTCCCCAATAGACCCAATCAACACGGCCCCCGGAAGCATCGGTCCAATTGCAAATTTAGTCCCAGTAGCCATGATCGCTAAATATGGGCACATATAGCGCGGTTCGTAACACATTTGCTAAATCGCGATCGTGGTTGCCTACTCGCTGCATGAGCGTGTAACTCCACCACAACATTAAATGTTCCCAGGTGGATTACAACAAAGGAGAATGTAAAGCCTAGTCTGATGGCTCAAGTTACTACGAGGTGAGCATTCATGATCCCTCCACGCTCATGACTGCCGAGAAAGATGATAAAGGTGATGATTGATCAGGCGAAGACCTCGCAGAAGAGCTGAAAGAGAACGATAGCTTGAAGACGAAGGCTTCAAGTTAGCTCGAGGACAGAGGAGCACGCTCGGAAATGCCTGGGTACTCACGCGATACTCGGGGTAATCGCGCGCACATGGGCGTAGCCTGGAATGATCAGGTACGCCGAAGCTTTGGAAAGATAGAACCTAGATGATTGCATTCTTCAGCACTATATAACCAATCAGTGCATTTCTAGCCCACACTGCCTAAACACCAACATCGATACTTTGACCTCTACCAGCACCGTCTCTCGACCAACTACTGTGAAAAGCGTAGTCGCTCGTGAACACAAAACCTTGTCTCAGTGCTGATTGTTGTCAACCTCGTGGTTTTTAACAGCAGACTCTACGTACGCGAAGACCAGAGATGTGTGAGGATTGGGAGACCGCCGCCTTGCCGCGGGCGAGAGACATCGTACCGGGTTACAGTACCTCAGTGATAACCCTGTGACAAGTCGTAATCTTGCATCCTGCAAACCCGCCGGCCATAACCCATTGTCTCTTATGCTCCACGTGGCCGTACTGCAGCGGCATGATCCTGGGTGATTGCGCCCCGTTGAGTTTGCGACGATAGATGTACAGCCTAAATGGTTGTTTGAGCTTGCTTAGGACTTCCACCCGAAAGCTTCTGGTTGTGTCCATCTTATGTTGTATCCTTGTCAGAACTGGCCTCGGATATCATGATAGCGGAGTGAGGGCAAGCGCTGGCTCCCGCGGGCGTTGGTGAATAACCAATGCTGGATGGTTTCCCGAACAAGCATCCTGGCGCTGGCTTCATTCCGGGTGCATGTTGTCCACTATCAAATATTTGGATCACGCCGATGACCAGTGTCAACGTTTCTCAAAGTTAGATCAATTGGAGCCGGAGAAAAAGTGTAGGTAGATAAATATAAGAATATGCGCTTAGGGATGATTCGGAAATGTAAAGTATTTGGCCCGAGCCTAGCTTGGGCTCAAGCCCCTGCCGGACCCCAAAAGAGGTCCGAGGGAGTCCCTAAGTTGACTCCAACGAAGTTCTTCTGGGGTCTCTCACTACGGGGCCGCCTTCCGGAGGTAGGGTTAGGGCTAGAACTAGTGCTGTCCAGGACCCTTGATGTCAACCTCCGTACCTACCATGGGCTTTCCGCGTTTCGAAATGAAAACTCCGTCAAAATTTAGCAGGGCCTAGGGATTCTTTCCCCGCCCCTGCCATACCATTGCATACTTGCCACCTTATGCACGGCCCATCAATTCTGCTCGTTGTCAAAAATCTTCTCTCATTCTGCCTAGTGATTCTACCTTCCCAAGATACAGCATCACCCATGCCCACAACCACTCTAAAAGCAGCGACCTCGGCGGAAACACCACGCTAGTGCTAGCGGTCAGGGTTACGTCAAAGTCACTCCACCTGTCTGCCTACAGTAAGATAGCTTGGATAAATTGAACGGCCGCCTTTCTCGACCCTGGAGGTAACGGTTCTCTCCTCCCACTTCATAGCAACGCACTTCGATACACGTAAAAAAAAGCCTAGGCTTGATTGACCCCTCACACCCCTCCCATCCCCGTCATGTCCGAAGCCAAAGACATCCACACCGTACACTTCTCCTGCGCCTGCCGGCAAGTAACCGGCTCCTTCAAAGCCCACGACCGCGCCTTGCCGTTACCTTTGACCCTCTGCCACTGCACCACCTGCCGTCATCAGTCGGGCCTACTGTGTAACTCCTACGCTACTCTCCCCCAAGGCGCCGAGTTCCAAGTCAACGGCCCTCTCGAATTCTATAAAGCGTCCAAGACCGTGTTCCGCTTCTTCTGTAGCAACTGCGGCGCCAATGTCTACGTCGAGGATACGGACACCGAAGACCGGGATCTCTGCACCGGGGTCCTCGAGGAAGCGGAGGGTGTGGTCCGGTTGGAGAATCATATTTTCGTGGCGGATTCCAAGGACGGCGGACTGAGCGATTGGGTCCCCGACGTCGATGCTTGGGAGGGATTTTCGAAAGGTGGCCGGAAGTTGGACGCGGAGTGGAAAGAGGGCTTCCAGGCACGCGGTGAGAGAGCTGGAGAGCTGCAAGCCTATTGCCATTGCAAGGGTGTGAGGTTCAAGATCACGCGCCCAGACGAATCTTCCGCCGATCTAAGTGCGCCTCGGGGTGACATTGTCGGACCTTCGGCAACGGAACAAGACAGTTCGAGAGACGATGCGATTTGGTGGCTTCGCGAAAACGGCACGAAATACCTGGGCGGCACGTGTGCCTGTAACGAATGCCGCCTCGCATCCGGCTTCGACATCCAAGCTTGGGCCTTCGTACCCAAGGCCAACATCCGGCAACCCGGCGGCAAAAGTCTCGACTTCGGCGCCGGCACCCTTAAACGGTACGATAGCTCCGAAGGGGTCTATCGCGAATTCTGCGGCAAATGCGGCGCCACGGTGTTCTGGCATTCCGACAGCAGGCCCGATCTCATTGATGTCAGTGCCGGTCTGCTGGACGCAGAGGAGGGAGCGCGAGCGGAGTCGTGGTTGGGTTGGAAGACGGAGAGGGTTAGTTTTGAGGAGGAAGCGCAAAACAAGGATCTAATTGCCAGATTGAGTGCCGGGCTGAAGCATTGGGGGGAGGAGAAGGCATCCTCGTCGGCAGCAGAAAAGCACGACTTTGGAGATGAAGAGACTGAGTCGGACTCGAAGAAAACGCCAAAGACAGGTAGTTTGGATTGAGGGAATGCAAGATCATCATAGTCAATTGAAAATGCTCACCCTATTGCAAAACGTGTTGCTGTAAGGCACGGAAAGCTCAAGATATGTGGGGTTGTAGGTATAGATAGGGGATGAAAAAGTAAGACTGACACTCAAAACCCCTGCAGGCAGCGGAATGCGTGGAAACACTTGCTTGCAGCAGAACCTATAGACCGAGATTGAATTCAACGCCAACTGCAAGTAAGCTTGTTAGCAAATGACCTATCGTAGATGATGTTGATTAACGAAGGATGCTTACCATCGATATCCCTCGCCATCTTCACCACCTTCGAAAACTGCACGCTCTTCTCCGCCGCCGACTGCAGATCCTCAATCGAGAAAATCTTCAGTCCGCTCTCATTGATCAATTTCGCCGCCAACTCCATATTCGTTCCTTGCAACCTCGCCACTATCGGCGTCCGTAGATTCATACTTTCCACCACGCTAATCAAGCCTTGAGCAATGGCATCACATCTGACGATTCCGCCGAAGATGTTGACGAAGATGGCTGTAACTTTGGGATCGCTGGTGATGAGGTCGAAAGCTTGCTTAATTGCTTGAGGCGTTGCGCCTCCACCAACGTCGAGGAAGTTGGCTGGGGAGCCGCCGTTCAGCTTGATGATGTCCATTGTGGCCATTGCAAGGCCAGCGCCATTGACTGAATTTTATCAGTAGGGGCGCAAAAGTTGAGGTGGGGACATGTACCTAGGCATCCAATATCTCCATCCAGCTTGATGAAGTTGAGTCCAGACTCAGCGGCCTTCACCTCATCCGCATCCTCCTGCGTCTTATCCCTCCACGAAAAGACTTCTTTCTGCCTAAAATCGGCATTGTCATCAAAGGTCAACTTCGCATCCATAGCCAACACCTGATGATCACTCGTCTCGCTCAGCGGATTGATCTCGATCTGCGTCGCATCCTTCTCCATAAACACCTTGTAAAGCTTCTGGATCGTACTCTTAGCATCTTCAATGCACTGTTCCGAGAATCCCAAATCGGAGGCGATATTGCGGGCAATATCATCCGTGACCCCCTCGTGTATATTGATGTTTGTAGTGATGATTGCGTCTGGAGATTCTTTGGCGACGGTCTCGATATCCATGCCACCTTGAGAGGAGGCGATTATGACAGGGGCTTGTGATTGGCGGTCCATGAGGATGGCCAGGTAGAACTCTCGGCGGGCGAATTTCCGTTCGCATATGTAGACGGCGTTGCAGAGGCGGCCTGCAGCGCCGGTTTGCTTGGTCATGAGCTTGTGGCCGATCATTTGGTCGGCAAACATTTTGGCCTCGGTTGGTCTATAGATGGTGGGCAAAGTCGGTCAGAAAGAGCGTACATCCGGTAGGGATGGGGGAGAAAGTGTGTCGTACGAGTAGATGACCCTCACACCACCCTTCAATCCATTATCGAAGGTGCCCTTTCCGCGCCCACCAGCCAGGACTTGTGCCTTTATGACCATGTCATCTCCGCCTGTAATTGTCTCAGCCAGGCTCCTTATACTTCTTTTTATAGCTCGCTCATACCAATCTTCTTAGCAATCGACTCTGCCTCCGCCGCCGAGCGGGCAACCTCTCCCTTTGGTACCCCAATGCCATACGTCTTCAGGAGGTTTGCGGAGAGGTATTCATGGATCGAAAGCAATCGTTTCTGCTGCATAGCTGAGCTCCTGGCAGGCGTGTTCTGCTGTTGATTGTTTAGTTGAAGCTTTCATCGCGGAGATGGCTTTGAGGACTGCATACCTTAGTAGCAGCTCTCAAAGCAGCAGCCAACGGCCTACTGCGAGCGAGCTTGAACATCCTGACAAGCGCCTAGGGAGCAGGTGCTTCTATACAGTCGTGAATTGAGAGGGATTTAAAAGCCCTTTCGAAGTTGGAGGTCAAGGTAGCTCCTATGCTCCGGGCTTGGCACGACGGCTGCCGCTTTTAGGGTTGTCTGGGGTGCTTGAACCCCCCACCCACGCGGGTGACAGAAAAGCCTGCACACACCAAGAAATCTTTTCACCTTGTCAGCTGGAATAACTTAACGAATACCCTCTTTATGAATTAGATTTTGCGGAACAATATAATAGTGTTATCGAGATTTTCAATTTACTACGCAAGAACTTTCTGTTAGGGTTCTTCGTTGTGAAAGCATCATCAAATTTCTAATTCCAAGGTGTGCAGGTTATCACCTTGGGTTCTATTGCTATACACTGCCGAACTGTGGTCGCTTGAGCTACGTGCGACTGGTAGAGTAGAGTATGGCTTTATCTTTTTGACTTCACCATCGGCTTTTCTATCTCCTCACTGAAAGATATCTCCTAGAAACTGTTTATCATATTCTATGGTTCGGCGCTGCCATCTAAGCGTCCCTGACTTATCCCGAGCATCGATGAAATGGAGTTGCTCTTCGGCAAAGGCGCTAGTCTATGTCACGGTGGAAGACCAAACCCTGTTGAATACGAAAGTTGAGAAAGTCAAGGCTCAGCACAAAGGCCTTGGAGAAGCGGTGGGAGAGAAAGTTGGCAAAGTCTCTAGAATCTCGGGAAAGGAGGAGACTCACGGGGTTCGAACCGAGGTTGTTTGAATGCTCGATACTTCTTTCCACTCCGATTGTGGGATTGGTTCATGATTTGGCTGCCGATATGCCTTCAGTCCCTCATTTTCATCTTTTCCTTCAACTCACTTACTCGTTTATGCGGTCCAGTCGCTGACATCGGGTGGTCGAGAGCCGTTTTAACCAGCTGGTTGGTCTCCGTGTTCGATGGTGGGTTTGGAGGTTGCAATGCAAGCCTGCTGGGCTTGAGGCGGATCAGTCGTGGTGGCGCATATGGTGATTCCAGTGTCCTCGGATTTTCAGTCGTAAAGGCCGTGGGTCTCACTGCTAGTACTCCAGGAGTAGAACGAATCGATGGATGTCATTGTCTTTGTTATTGCAGGCGAGAAATAGAACCTCTTAAGATGACCTTGTAAAGAGCTTGCATTAGCAATGGTGCCCCTTTGGCGGGAAGGCAATGAGTGAAAAAGCCTTCATCTTGCCTATAGCCGCTCCTTATCTATATCGTACCGAGAGGTTGTGCTGGGAAATCGCTGGAGGACGTATGGAGCATGGCAACCGAAATATAACCCAGCTTCTGCCGTGTACTCGGCTCCTTTGGCACAACAATCAACTGGTGGTCTTTGCCGCAAAGCCCCCCCAGGTTGGGAAAAACAAAACGGGCCATCGAAGACGCCTTGAAGATTAGCTTGAGCCTTTTCCAGCCGATGCGCGCTCAAGTGCACACCCGCAAGTATTCCAGATGACGCCAGCTCAACATAGGTTTATCTTGGGGCATGATGCGCATTTTCCGGGCTGTTCTCTGGCATACGGGATAAAGCCTCACGGGCCGAGGGAGAAAACAGTCCGTAAGGATATTCGAGCTTCGGTTCGGGTTGCCGGAAGCGATGTTTCAGACGGGACAGGGACAAGGTCTTTACATACATGGTTGAGGGAAAAGGGGGTCTGCACATCGAGAGCAGAGAAAACAAGACCGTTCGTTGGAGTGGAACCACCATTCTGAAACCTGGTTACGTGTTGGCGGGAAGCCGGACTGGATTTGGCAGTATGCCAGGGCTTTGCAGAGCAGCAGCGCATGCCTACCCCCATTACTGGCCGTTGCCTTTGTTTCATACGGCCCACGGCGCACACCGGACGTATGTCCACGGGGTCTTCCTGACTTAGGCGTCAGGCTGCAACTACCTCTCCCTCCTCGACGCTCCTTGCTCATAACTCGGGATCTAGAAGTCGCTCTTCGATCTGCCATGCCGGTCTGGGATACATGACCATCTCACATCCCGCCGATTGCCGATTTCAAGGGTCTTGCCGCCGTCCTGTCTGATTATTCGTACGAATTGTATATAGAGATCAAATAGTGCGGCCACTCATTTGGACTATTACCATGGTTGTAAGGATATTTTATTGCAAAAACACTCTAGTTTGGCTTGATATCTATAAAACTTCCCAATCCTACCGCAGCGCCGCCTTGACCTTGCTCCCAGTGGGCTGGCTGACGAGATAAAGCTAAGTCTGTATGAGACACTGAACAGAATTCGAATCATACTTGGAATTGCCAAGAGAGCAGGGGAATGCCTTGCAGGCAGGAGGAGGAGTTCCCCAGTGAAACTGTGGGTAGCGTTGTGGGCAGTAATAGTCACCGTTCTCGTAGTAGGTATTGGCAAGCGTCGGCCAATCTGTCTTGTATTGGTCCCAATTTGCTGCTACGAACGAGACATCGCTCGAGCCAGCATTCACGGAGATCGAAGGTCTGTTCTTGCTGGGGATCACGTCATAGATGAGGCATCCGATTTGATTCCAACCTCCTACTCCTGAGTTGCTGGCGCCAGGGTAAAGATTTCCGGGGGCGGGAAGGCTCGAGACTTTGTATCCCTGGCCTGCGCTTCCGGGGACCATGTCAATCGCTTTTGCATTGGGGTCGTACGACGCGATCATGTTCAGGCCTGCTAAGTGGTTAGCTTAAGACGGGTAAGGGACCTTTGATAACTCACAGCCGTAATAATTTCCTCTCAGTACATCCAAGCCGTTAATCGAACCATCACCAACTGGATCCGAGATGTTACTTTTGCCGCTATAGGCCCGTGAGATGCAGCCAGGCGCGTAGGCGACATTGATAACGAAATCCACCGTGTTTTTATTAGTCGGACATATCATGGTCACGTTCAATGACCCTGGTCCCATCATCAGATCCGTGGGCATAGTCGGATTCGGGAGTTGTTTGGGATTAATGGCATGCGGATTGCCTGGGGTTGAAAAGCTTGTCAGACACCTCTCGAAATCCAGATTTGCTCCAAATGCGGAGCCGGTATGTGTGTTCGGATATTGGCAAGTTGAGTACCAGGAGTTATCAGGTCTACACGTCACCCCTAACATATAAGGGAACGATGGGCTGGACGACCACGATGGGAGTGAATTCCATATCTGAAGAGCGTGCAGGTTGAAGGCAAGATCCTGGAAATTGGAATTCTGCGTCGTGTCAACGTAGCAGGAGCAGCCCGGCTGTTCTCAAACGTTATCTCATTGCCCCCTTATTGCGAGGTATCGTACTCACATTTACCGTTGCGCACTTGCCGGTATAAGGGTTAGCACTGTTACAATCATAGCAAGATGGCTAGTATGCAGTCAGCATGGATTTTCTGCGAGCAAAGAGGATGGTAAGACTTCACCATATCCTGTCCGGATGGGCATGTGACACACGGACAGGTATCCAACCAGGGACCGGTGCAGATATTGTGGGCGTTGCCAGCGCACAGAACAGATGCGCAGTCGTAAGGCTGTTCGCTGGGGGGGCAGATCGGCTGAGATTTGAATTTCCCCTTGGTGACTTGGAGAACGATTTGAGTAATACCGCTCTCTGTTCGAAGCTTACCTTGGGTGTTTGAAGCAAATGGTAGCATGGTGAGACCGAAAGCAATGAACGCGGCCACGAGCCATCCTGCTTGATGTAGACCAGGGAACAGTATGGGAAGGAGTGTGTCGCTCGCGGCCAGGAACAATGCGAACGCTCCTGCCACTCTCAGGTCTTGGAAAATGGGGTTGAAGTCTGGCTCCAACTGGCCGGCGATTTCTACAATCTGCGTCCGGAAAGTACTTATAAGGCCATTTGGGTTCATGAGACCATCAGCGTTGTACATAAGCTCATTGGCCAGACACAAAGTCTCGTTGTACACATCAGTATCGTCTCTCTCAATCAACGGTGATGTACCGGTGGTGCAAGCGGGTGCCGAGCTTGCCGTGGCGGTCGCGGTCTCGGCACTCTGAAGAGCCGGCATGTCTGTGCTTTGAATCTGGAGCACGAAATGATTGGAGGAGTCGGAGGTCAGTAACGCAGTCCCGCTAGCCACCCAGTCAGCTGTGTTATCATTACACACATTGGAGGAGGATCTGTCTCTCTCGACGTTAAGGTTACATACGCAGAAGAAGCGGAGGCTGTAGGGGACGGGTTGAATGAGGTTAGCTCGGTCGTGCTGATGATTATGGCGTGTTTGTCATCCGTGGCGGTTTCTACTAAGATAACGGATGCGCCGATCGCCGATGATACGGCTGCCACGCTGGCCAGCACAGTTGATACGTAGTGTACCTGGCCTACGGGCATGGGATTCGGTCCTGAATCGAGGAACAACTCTGCGAGTACGGCTGACACCAAAGCTTCGGAAGCAAGTATTACTGCAATTACAGGTATTGCAGGCAGGAAGCGTTTTTTTAGATCAGGCGCTTCTTGATCGAGAATTTCTGCGAGACTTTCGATACATGCCGGATCACTGGGATTGCTCGGGTTGCATACATCCTGGAACTTTGCCAACAGATGTTGTTGCGTTAATTCACCGAAGACGACGCGAATCCCATCTGGTGGTATTGCTGAAAGCTGATTATAATCGGTTGGATAGATGAAATAGCCAATACCAGTAGGGGTCGCTAGGCCAGTCTATTGCCGGTTAGACGGAGGCGATACCAGGCTTTGCTTGCTTACTGTTGTCTGCGTGAAAACTGAGAGCGGTCCCAGATCCATAGTGATAGTTCCCCCTCCAGCTTCCGCTTTGATCCCGAATTTACTCTCACTCGTAGTACTATTTCCGAGGCCATGGGCAGTGGCATTCGCGAGGGTATTGGCCCGAACGGTTGAGTTCCCAATGCCTCTTTTCTGCGGCAATGGCGTGGCTTGTGGCAATGGCGTGGCTTGTGGCAATGGCGTGGCTTGTGGCAATGGCGTGGCTTGTGGCAATGCCAAGGCGGGGGAGAATGCCAAGGCATAGCAGGAAAGCACGAGGTAACTCGTGCAACGCATTATGGTGAATGGCAGAAGCAACTGCGAGAACTCTGTAACGAGAAGTGGTAAGTGGTAGGAGAAGAGGATATGGGAGGAGGCAACGGGTGTACCGAGACGGAGCAGGAATTGCAGTAATAATGTCTGCGTGCTGAACAGATGGACCCAAAAAGCTCCATGGAAAGATAATATTCATACTGGAAAGAGCCTGAAACAAGGCTCGAGGAGATTGCAAATGAAGTTCGTGATGAATACCAGGCTCTGCCTTGGGAATACGAACATCATCTGAGTTTTCCATCGTATTCTTCCCCGCGGCCACTCATTTCCACTCGCAAAGCTGGGCAGCATTGTTGTTGCTTCATGTTAGAGGGGAACAGGGGAGAAAGAGGCCGTGTCATACTAGGTTTAGAGGGACGCTGGGGGCAAAGGACCGCTCAGCCATAAGTGCCTTACGCTGTAGTATTAGCATACCGCCACGAACCTTGGAAGTCTAACAACAGGATTTCTACCTTACATTAAAGATACTATGCTTTATCTATCTGTAGATAATTAAACATAATCCTATATTTAAGATCCTTTAAAAGCGTTGCAGATTGAATATTGATAATTATATTACTTTACTTCATCAAGCCTTAGCTGATAATCAATGGGAAGTCAAGACCGAGGATGAGAAATTTAGGGGTCAACTGTACAGTAGATAAGAGTAAATATCTTAGATATAGGAAATTCGTGCGAGTTTCTTGGCGCCAACAATTATAACGTTTTCTGGTGCTTGTTGGATGGATTAAAGTACGGATTAGGTACGAATGAACGAATCAAAGCAACATACTGTTGTAAAGTACTTTACTGCGCGTGTTTCAAAACAAGCCGCAATTTTACCTCACGCGCTCGCGAAATTGAGGGGTATGTGTCGCGCATAGGCCCCCCCCCATTGATTGGCCCGACCGTACACCAACCCAGCGAAAAACAATCGTATACTCGGGCCAACCTTGGTACTTTGTATTTTGCCTCGTGTTGGGCCTCGTGTCGGCATCCACCAGCATTACGGGCGACGGCGTAAAATCTCCTGCGTCAATTTCAGACGTTCAATCCGAGAGTGCGCTTTCAATCAAGTTCATAAAGGAAGCAGGCTGATCCTCACCATGACTTCAATCAAAAGCAAATCTATCTCTTCTCCCTCCACATCCTCCAACTCCTTCTCCTTCTACAGCTTTATCCTCGTGAGCGTCGACACTCGATATGATGATGTTGCTGTATTGTACACTAAGTCTTTTCTTGGTGCTCCGCCTATCGGAGTGCGCCTTGATTATTCATCGCGACTGTGACTATGTTGCAGGAACACTTGCCAACGGTCATTCCTTCACCATGTCTGACATTGTTCAGTTCAAGATCGGGAAAACTAGGGCCAGACTTGTTGCTCAGTGGCAGGAAATGATTGTGCTCTCGTCAGTCAATAATCCTGCACATGGAAACGAGGGGCTGCGAAGGACGGCTTCCCTCCTTTTTAACCCCCTCCTCAATTTTTATACCGCTGCCGGATCCACTCGGGACGTCGCAGCAAGCATTTCAAGCGTTCTAAATACAGGAGGATATGTAGCTGGCTTGAGTAATACTGACACGGTGAGTTTGCTTCAAGGCTTGCTCTACAAATCGACTTTGCACTGACTTCGGGCTCAATAAGTCAGATCGTGCACTGCTCCAGTTATGGCATACTCCAGATGGAAAAGAAAAATACATACATCGACAACGAGTCTTTGGAGGTCAGTTTGGTTCAGGATCCAGACATCGTTAGAGGTTGTTTCGACCAGGGGACTTTGAAAACATACGTGACTCTACCGCCCGTTGCGCTGAACATGCCTTCCATTGTTCGTTTATGCCCTGGGTAGGATGCTTCTCCTATGTTCGCCTATACTCTTGTTATCGAAATGCCCTAAAGACGTACTAGATTCCTACTACAAGAAGCGTTCGATTGGAAGCTCGCACCAACAACCCCTGTCAGAAAGTGTCAACGACTTTGGGATGACCCTAAAGGTTGGCTGAGTTCCTCGAAGGCGAAGACAGTCGTCGATCTTGCTGTGGCAAAGGACCCGTATTATGAGTATGAGCGCGCGGTAAGTGCTCCTATCTCACTTTTCGAGTGTCGGCTAATCTGTGAAACGCAGTTGCTACAGACCCGCCCGAGCAACTTGAACAATGGCGGAGTAACCCGGGTCCCCTTTTTTCAGAAAATAGTGGAAGTCATCAAGACCCCAGATACGGATGGTTGGAAGGCTTGGCGCAAGAATCTAGGCTCGGATCTTGTCGTCCCTGCCGCGTAGGGCAACCCCATCTAGAAGACAAACCCCGTGTTGACATTTCTGCAGGGTTGCAGCCCTTAGCACCTTGATGGAACAGCAGAGATATTGTCGACAGACACCAGAAGCAGGTACGTTTTGTCCATCGCTTCATGGAGGTCCACTAACCGTTACTCTTAGACGGCACGTTTCAGCCATCCCCAGGCACTCAACAAGGGTGGATTACTTGGGTCTCTGACGCAGATCCAGATTGGGTCTAAGTTGGTAGTAGATGAACCTGAGCGTGAGGCTGTATTGCCAAGTGAGGTCTTCAAGAAGGTGCGGGCTGGAGTGGGAGCAGGCCGAGTGTATTCGCAACTTTAGCCAGCATTGACAGGAGGCGACAATCTCTCCTTTCCCGGCTTAATGTCTCGAGCTTGATACCTAATCGGAAGTTTTTTCCTAGTCTCATGCCTTGAGTGAGGTCTTGTTGTTCATTGTCGATAGCAGAGCTCTGGACGAATCAAGAGATTAGTTTCTTATCAAGGTGTTGCTATAGTAGGAGTTGGTCACTTTCCCAGCAAGACCGCGTCAGGCGTAGGCTTCCACAAGATGCCTGTAGGGACCTCAGGCAACGTGAAAAGAATGTCCTCCAGAATCCGACGCCAGGGTCAGGAGCGAGACAAGATACAGTAGAGTGTGTGACGAAGGTTGCACCTTGTATCGATGCGAAATTCAAGGTATGCCCGCACTTCAACTCGCCCAACTCAGGTTTGATAACCAAGCATTCTTCATGTCATGGGTTAAAGGGTAAATCTTTTTCTTTCACGAGATCACATGCGTAGGAACGAGATTGAATGCTTTCATCCTTGTGATATTCAATCCGTACAGTCTGTTCATTAATCAGCGCAGCTTCATCAAGCTCGCTGTCCAGTTGCTCTACAGGCGTGCTGGAAACTTGGCTTGGCAAACCATTCCACCTTTCGCCACCAACGGGAGACTCCACCACAAGTGGTCGGGACAAGGGGATCTCCGTGTTCTCTGTCGTCTCTACAGTCTGGTCGAGACTGAGACTAAGCATCTTTCCCCGCGGGAACATCCGCAAGTAATGGACGTGGACTTGAGGTAGATCAGCCAGATGGAACTTGCTCGGCGTCTTGAGCACGAGCTTGGTCTCGTTGCGGAGCTCTGGCGTATGTTCAAGCCTGCCAAGCTTCTCGGAGCCCACGAACTGTCCTCGCTCTCCCTTGCCAAGTTCTCCTTTGGACCTTTGTCCCGGCAGTCCTCCCCCAGCTCGAGACCGGGGCTGCAACCTTCATTTCCGTCTCATTGGGGTGGTCGGAGGCATACACGCTTGGTACTAGTACGATTCCCCGAACGCCTGAGGAGATCTGAGGAACTCTTCTCTCGAAGACCTGCCCATACCATATTGGGGCATACCTGAGTTCGGAACGTAAAGACGCAGGAAGGGGAGAATGAGAGAAGAATAATCGGAAAAAGAGGGGGCGATGACGGCGAGTTTTCGAGTCTATGTGATTGCGGGGAAGACAGAAGCCAGAGATAAAGGGAAATCGTAATAGTCAAGAATCTTTCGAGGCGCTGAAGCTGAATGCGGTCGTTGAATGTAGATTACAAAACAAATCTGAAGTCTGAAAGGGTGTCGCGCCCTAGTGGTGAGCTACCCAGCATCACCTTCGTTAAGGCGGCGGCGTGTACAGTAGATCTCGTGTCTTCTTCTTGGCAGGATCTGCCGAGACCGCTGCATCTCCCCTTCCCCCACCTCCCCCACGATACCAAACATCTCCAGCGCCTCAATGGCTCCCATCTCCCCCCCCGAAAGCGACATAATCTACAACCGCGTCAACGTCACCGTCGCCCAAAAAATCCGGTCCATCGCATCATGGAACCCCCCCCGCGCGGCAAACGGGTCCGTCAACACGACAAACCCAGGAGAGGAAACGAAGAGCGACGAGCTGGAGAGTGGCACCGCCCTGCCCGAACTCACGGGTTTCGGCGCCACGATGCGGGAGGACGGGGTGGTGGAGAGAGGGGGGATGTCCGGGAACGATAGGCTGCGGAAACAGTTGCTCGGGAAGGATCATATCAAGAAGCTGGCACGAGGCAAGAGGGCGCATGGGCCGGGTGCCGTGGGCATGGCAAACCAACCACGTCCTGCTGCGCCAGCGAGGCGCGAGGAGCATGATTGGGACAGTGGGGACGAAGGGGGGCGCTCGTCGTTGGGGAAGTCGAAGCTCGGCGCAAGGAAGCATCGTCTCAAGGAGGAGGAGGAGGAATCTGGTCGTGTCGACGATGAGACGGAGGAGCTGGCGGTGCACGGGTCGAATGTGAGGGCTAAAAAGGTGCCGAAGAGAGGGAGTAATTACCTAGATGAGGTGCTGGCGGATCGATCGCTGAGGAGGCGGAAGAAGAGTCGGAAGAAAGATAGGGCTATGGAGAACTAGGATGCTGGCGCCAGCTGGAGCTTGGGAATAGAAGGAAAGCTCATGCTTCAGCGTCTTAGCTCAAGCTGTTCTTCTTGAGGACCTTGCTACCGTCAATAAGGGCAACGACGGGCGACTCGACTACGAGTCACAGACAAGGGCTCAATCATGTCATATTCTAGATTTCCAACGCTGCGTAAGTACGTCCTCATCAAGCCTCACCACCAAATCTGCTCTAAACAATGGTAGATATCCTCATCTTCACATATAAGCCTTCATCCCCTAACGTATTATGGATATCCATCATCCAGAATCGAATCCTACCCATGTTCATCCAGAACCTCCAGCCGTCATAAAAAGCTCAACCACGTAACATATATACAGAAATCAACAACTACTGCATCCTCTTCCTCTTCCGATCGTCCAGTCCCATTCCCTCATCCTCGTCCCTCTCCGCGGTTTCTGCTGGGTTTAGTAAACTATGCACATTGCTCGCCATACTGCTTCTTCTCGTCTGGGGTGCCGAGTCCAACTGATGTCTGGGCTGGAACTTCGACCCACCGAATGGATTTTGGTTCGATGCGAAAGGGTTGGGATTGGAGGCGAATGGGTTAGAGTTCGACCAATGACTTTCCATGCTGACTGTCGAGTTGGTCGTATCACTGCTTGTCAATGGTGGTGTGGTTTGATGCGAGCTGAAGGATTTCCGAGGTGCACCCAGCTCATAGGATGCGAGCGTATCTCGTATATGTTGGTCGCTGGTCATCGGTACTTGCGTGGGCGATGAAGGCCAATGTGTGGATGATTGGCCTGATGCTAAAGGGGAATCGGTGCCATGACCCGGCCACCCAGGTACCCTAATATCTGCGGAGGTGTGCCGACGTCCCATATTAGGACCTGGAGGTTCTGAGACCATGGAGAGAGGATGCTGAGAGGATGGTTGATGTATCTGTGTTTGAGGCTGCAAGGGTCGGACGTAATTGGGCAACGCGCCTGTGGTTCCGATCGAACCGTATCGCCGTTGTGGCACAGGCACAGGCACAGGCAAGGGATGTGGAGGAGGAGCTTGGGGCTGGTAGGTTTTGAACGCATGTGGGCGAGGAGGAACTGCGTGTAGTGAGGGGCGTCGCTCATCTGAGGCGACTTGGCGTGGTGACAAGGGCTCCGCGTTGAGAGCCATGTTTGAGAAGTAGGGCTGTCTGCCCGAGAGTAATGACTCGTGTGGGTCTTCGTAGCTGCGTACCATGTCAAGTTGCCTCAGGATGTCCCTTTCCATGATAGTTGCTGAGACAGATCAGTATGAGGAGTGAGCTTGAAGACCCATTGAGACCTACCGTCACGCCGGACAGGATTGTCTGTATCTGGGATCATAGATGTAATGAGATGACACAGGTCAAGGCTCCACTGCGAAGGTTCAGTATAGTCAATTCCTTCCTGTTATGACCTACTTACCTGATGGCACTTCACCAGGCTTTCATTCAAGACGTGACATTTGGCGCTAAGAGCGGTATTGCTCTCCTCGGTTCGCGAGAGCCTCGCATGCAAATCGAATATGCTATGTTCAAGACCTTGCAATCGAAGCTCCGCCGGATCCACGACGGGCTCAGCAGGCGTCCCAGGCTGAGAAACGCTTGCCTTGTGGGGCGACGAGAAGGAATCTCGATGGATCAAGGCGTGTCTCGATGCTCGCCTCTTTATCTCCCGTAGACCTGCGAGATCCCCTCTTTTGAAGTTCCCATTGCCATGCTTGAACTCCCACAGCGTAGATTCGGGTGATCCTGTGTGAAATACGTCGCTCACTGCGCGCAACCTATCAGCAATGACACTGCCATTGGTTCATTGTCTTTGAAGACCTACCCTTGTGAAAGCCGTACATATTGAGCTGCCGGACAAATGATGAGACGTTGGTATGCTTAAAGTATTGTCTCAAGCTTGTCAGCCTTTGATGTACCGTTTTGTGGCAATTCGATACTCACGAAAGAACTTTTGAGAAGTCGGCAGAGGGTGACATGACAAAGCTCTCGTTATTAGGCGCCCAAGATATCAAGTTCGCTATGGTTGTGTCCTCCAGCATACTATGTCCGCGTCAGCAGGTAGACCGTCGGTAACGGCTTAGGTTATATACCTGTATAATTTATGTATGAAAGCAGTCTGGACCACTTTCGGCTGTTGAGACGATGTTGCTGCGGCAGCACTCATTCCATTGCCACTCGTTCCATTCTGCATGTGTGTAGCCTCCCCGTGATTGCCGTTGCTCAAGGGTCCCGCAGTATCCATTTCAGGGCTGCTGTGCCCAGGCGGCCCCATTACGGCAGATGCAGTGGGCGTCATGTCCATTGGGTCTTCATGGGCAGGCTCCACCGGCTTTATAGAAGATGGTAGTATAAGTGCGTTTCTGTGGCCACCGTTCTGCTGCGGATCGCTGGGAAAGGGACTCCGGCCCATCACATCCGCTGCATGCAGCGACGATTGGATGTGATTTCCTGTAAAAGAGAGGTATTAAGATTATATACTATCCTTGCTCCTTCGCAATTCATCCGGCCTGGAGGAGTCCTTTTGGCGTGTGACATGAGACTGACGACGGTATGGAAGAAGTGTAGCTAGATATGTTGGAAACCCTCAAAACTGGTATTTCATCGATCCTTGGTTGTAGTGGGAAAGTATTAGACAGGTTTGCTACCCAGCGGCAGTGGGGCAGCTGGTAAGATTGGAGGAGGGGAGATGTTTCGAGCGATGAGACCTAAAACGCGGTTTTGCTGGGGAGGTTTGCTGAAAAGAAAGCGCGTCGAAGCCTAGGCGCCGAACGTGTCTAAGGATGATGGTTGTCAGTCAAGATGTTGCAGCAGGAGTGCAACTGGCTATCATCGGATGGGAGTAGTTCTCCGTACCTGGGCTCCGGCTTCGGAAGGTCGCAGAAACCAAGGCGCCTGTGTCGAGATGCAGGCTGGATCACCAGAGTCGCAATTGCTGATTCGGTCCAAGATAGAATTTTACCGAGACGGCGAACGAGTGATATGTTCCAAAATCCGACAATTCGGCTTACTCGTCCAAAGTTTAGGGGATGGTTCGCTCGCCGAGAAGGGGGGTTGCCAATTAGAGACAGCAGGTGCGAAATACAGGTCTCAAGTGGCTGTATATGGTAGATGGAGGAGTCGTTGAAGGGACAGATAAGCAATTGAAAGATAATGAGAGGAGCTGGCCGGCGCGGCAGCCTTCAGGATGCAACAACGGGGGCATCTATCTTCGAAGGGAAGCTGGAAAGCTGGAGAGATGCCGCCAAGGCATGCTAGCGCCCCCCAACCGAAGCTCAAAAACGTGGTTGACAGGGATGCTGGAAGTGCACGGATGTTTTAAGGTTCTTGGGACCTTTATGATCCTCATCCCACTGCGCGGTGTTTACATTATCTACAAAATTCTGCTCATAGCTTCCATGTCTATCTCATTCATATCCCAAAAGGGCTGTCTCGGCAACGAAGGTTGCTGTTTTTACCATCGGTACTGGTACCAGCAACTCTATAGGTTACATGCAGTCATCATATTCTGACTATTCTGACATGGCCGTCATATCTTGCTGTGACCACATGTCTTGCATTGTGAAACATGTCCCCTGACCCAGACATCCTTGATGAAACCATTCGAAATTTTCTTGTTCAGTGTCTCCCCTCACGAATCCTTTCAACCTCATCCCTTCTACAAGATGCCTCAGGGAGTCTCGGCAGGGCCCGTCACCCCAAGTTTGCATTCGAATATGAGCTTCAAAGTTCCGATATGGAATTATGAGTGCTTACTATCTACCGGAGAGTGAAAAGGGGTTTTTGAGGCCCCAAGCTTTGATGTTGCAAATGACGACGGCCGTTTGGCCAGAAGGTAAGCCGCAAAGAGTCTTACAGCTCAGTGTTGACTGCCCGCTTGAAGGCTTCACCTTCGGAGAGGTCCATACCGCAAGTGTCGAGCCCTTGGTAAGATGTCTTCTTTGAAAGCGCGTGAACCATGTGCTAGTCCATCAGCCACGCGGCCATTCACATTTCAATCTGTGCTCCTAAGAGGTGGCATGCTTTCCAATCTTGTAGCGATGACAGATTTGCTTGCAATTGGTAAGTCTGATTCTTTATCAATATTAGAACTTTTGGTGAAATTGCACGTGTTGGCCGTATGTTGTTCCAAAACCGCAACAAACAAGACTGCTTTCGCGTCCCTCAGCAGCCCTCTCGTTCACGACTCAGCCCCTTCAACTACACCATCGAGGCAGCAACACCTACGCTCTTGGACCAGGAAGGCCTCGCGAGCGTTTCGGGTGCCAACATCAAAGACTCAAACCCAGTTGCTATCAACTACGACGAGATGGCCACAAAACATTGGCGCAAGATGCTTCTTAATGAAGGTACAAAACATTCCTCCAGTGAACTATTTTGCTCTCCTGATATCCACTTAGTACTGTAGTCCGGGATGCTAAAAGGCTCACTGGGCTCTGCACCGCCTGAATTGCGCTTAGGATTGAGAAACCCTGACCAGCAGCCTCGGTCGGTTCGGGAGAAGCGCCATCCAAACTTCATCATCAGCAATTGACATCAAGGAATAATGTGTTCAGCGGGTTGGATTCTGTTTGGAGGGCCTTTTCAGCATTGAAAAGTCCAGGAATTTCGCTAAAGAAGTGGGTGAAATGTGTCCGGACCTCTGAGGCAACTCGATCAAAGAGACCGTGGTCACTATACTATATCCATAGCCAGAAACAGCTCCTCCAGCTTACTCGATTTATTCGCGAGAGACCGGGACTGCTTGCAATATACCTCCAACATTCATCATGTCGTACAGTTTGCTACTAGCCTCTTGAGATGTGAGGCAGGTTTTACAGGCAACGGCCAACAAATAAGATGCAACACACGAAATTGAACTCCTCAATTCGCGAGCGGCACCGATGTTGTTCATTTTGACTGTGATCATCAGTTTGCTTGATATTCTGTTCTCACCATCTTTGAGAGCGTCGACGCACTCATCCTGGTGAACAAGCAAATTGGCTCCAAGTCCCTTCATCGCAATGATGGTTTCAGGTTGGTTGTCATCTTCAGACCCGGCACTGATTGAAGCGATTTTTGCAGCACCAACGAGGAGAATCGACTGACACTTCTGCAGAGACAATTTCACGTACTAGGAAGTCATTCTTTCCTCACAACAGCTGAGCAATTTAAGCAAAGTGTTGGCACTACCTGCCATCTCGAAAATTAGCAAAGGCGGATCTGTACGAGGCAGATGCAGGCGACCTTTGCTCGACGCCCCAAGTACTCGTTGATCTACAGATTGCGGGCGATCTTTTTGTCTTGGCGAATAAGTCAATAAGCGCTGCCGCTAAAAACCGGCTCCGCGTTCCGAGCTTGTGCTCAGCGGGTTTAGCGCCACGTCGCCTTTGTGCCCACCCTCAGACTTTGACTCTCAGTCTGCACGTTTGTAATTGTAATTGAGCGGGACGAGCTTTACTGTGCGACTTAATTGTGTACCGCAATCTCGAGATGTGCTTGAGCTGTAGAAAAGCTGAAACAAACTTTAGCCAATGTAGAGAATCCTGCAGACGTCTCAACTTCATTTGACCGATGGTGACTTGACCCCCCCGGGCAGTCACTGCCTCAATACCTGCTACCCGGCATGTGCACTGTCTTGAGGGTATACTCTCCGCATTCAACATACTTCGAGGGTACCTCCTGTCGCCATCGGTCAATCACAAAGCGATTGATCTGGTGATCTTGATTACCCCCCTCAAGCTTTCAGAAACGTGGCATTCTCGGATCTTGGCTTCCTTCGGATTTACCACACTCCTTGGTCTCAAGTCACATTACATTGATCGGCCGTGGACAAATGCAACGAGGCCGAGACGAGCACTCGCCAACGAAAAGTCCACTCCTCGAAATCGGAATTCAGCAACCTAAGGATCTGTATCCTTCAACTGTTACCTTTTTTTTGCCGAGCTGCCAGCCGCCGGCCGCCGGTATGGTTTACTGCGGACCACCCTCAAAAGGATGTCAGACTTGCCGAGAGAAGAAGGTCCGGTGTGACCAGCGTCCTGGCGGATGTATCAGATGCGCAAAAGCCAGGCGCGAGTGTCCAGGCTATCGAAACCAGTCAGACTTGATGTTCCGGAACGAGAGTACAGAAGTTGTTAGGAAGGCCAAGGCAAAGGCTGCCTCCAAGAGTAGATCGGCTTCCCCGGGCTTCAAATCTTCCACGCCACCACCACCACCACCACAATCACCATTTCCGGAGCACGACAGAGAGAGCTCCCTCATCCTCGGAAGGCGGAATGATAGTCCAAATCCAACACCCTCGAACTCATATTACTCGATGGCCCCCACAATCGACGAAAAGGCTACTGGCTTCTTCGTCACTAATTATATCATCAACATGGATAGGCGTCCAGGCAATTCTGCAGGCTACAGAATGGACGATAATCTTTCGAATTGCATGAAAGCTGTGGGACTCGCTGCGTTGGCAAGCGCCGCTCATGCTCCTGAACTCGTACAAGAGGTGCGTTGATTCTGAGTGGCTCCTTCAGATTCGGTCCTTTAGTCTAAGGTTCCACATATCTGAGACGGGAAGAAGGCTTCCACCCCCGTCGTGCTCAGTTGGACGTATCTTAATACTCACCTTGCATTACTCATAGCTTTTATGCTTCTTTCCGATCGTTGTACTTCCTAAATCTGTCTCATTTATTCCATTCCTGCCTCGAAAAGGCTTCTTCCATCTTGTTGCGCCCTTAGGTGCTGTTTTAAAGGAGAGGCTTATGCTGACTCCAATATTCTCAAAAGGCACATAAGCGGTACCTGTCTGCCATTAAACTTACCAATGCCGCTTTGGGATCTCCTGTTGATGTCAAGAAAGATAGTACCCTACTAGCCATCATGTTGCTAAGCGTTTTCGAAACCGTGACCAGTGGTCGCCAACGCTCACTGAGCGCTTGGACAAATCATATCAATGGCGCCGCCGCCGTCATCAAAGTACGAGGACCGGAGCAACTGGCTAGCATAGGAGGAGTTCGTATGTTCATGCAAGTGACGGCCAGTCTCACGGTCAGCTGCCTGGAAGTAGGAATGGCATTGCCAGAACATATCCTGGCGTTGAATGCCCAAATTACCAGGCATGCTGATCTTAGCGACCCAGCATGGCGCTATTACGAGACCATGATGATGCTCACTAATTTCCGAGGGCATGTGAGGTGTGGACTCATCTCTAACCCACAAGAGATACTCGCAAGGGCGCTCGAAATCGATAAGGCTGCTCTTGCGATCTGTGCCAATGCTTCATGTGTCTATGAGTATGAGACAGTTTATACGAATGCTGATCCTGGTGTCATCTTCGCCGGTTACTACCATATGTATCATGATTACATGTCGGCTTCGGTATGGAATGGAATGCGGGCCATCAGATTGATGTTGCAAGAAATCATACGAGACACACTCTTGAAGCTTCATTCCTCTAGGCCACCATTTTCCACCAACGAGCAGTATAGAGCACAATATCAGGCATCGACGAATACCTTGTACCAAGTGCAATCCAACATCATCGCCAGTGTGCCTCAGCATTTGGGCTATTCGCCCACGAAGTCAACATCTGGCGGGGTCTCAGGCCACAGTTTCCCCTGGTCACCTTTCAATAGTCGCGTAGCCACTCCCCTCCATTCGTTGAAGTCAAACTCAGCTGACCCTCCGATGATCCGTTCTCTCGGGGGTTACGGCCTGCCATGGGCAATCTATCTCGCGGGCTCCGTCGACATCGCCACCGAGCCTGTCCAAAAGTGGGCTATTGGGACTCTCCAGAGGATTGGTCGATCGATGGGGATACAGCAAGCTATTGTTCTTGCAGATAAATTGAATAAGAAGAATACTGGAGTATGAACACCGTACTTGCATTCGGCAGCATGGTCGCATTCATAGGGTCCTTCGGCGGGGAGTTTATCATGTGTGTCATGCGACAAATTTCTGTCTTTTTGCAGATCCAACATATTACCATCTTGGTGATAGCGAGAGTCCGCATAATAGCCGCGGGTACCCCTCTGGCGCTCACTTCTTGTGCCTGGAGGGGCTATTTGTCAAAACAGTGGGCAATTGATCGTTGAACACTGCCTACGATACCTCACTATTAAGAGCACCTGCAAACAAAAATTTTAATGTCTAAAGTTGTTCGAATCAACGGAATTGCAAGATTGTCCTGCAAATGCTGTGCCTTGAGTCTCATCATTGGTCAGATAGGAAAGTGAAAAGACTTTCGCCAACTGCCATGGATTTTGGCATTCGACGTGAATGGTTTACTCCATGGAGTGTGCCAAGAATGCCAAGCATTGATCGGCGCTGCAATAGCCCAGTTGAGAATGCTGTGCGAACCAATCAAGAAAGTGTTGATTAGTCAGCAGCTGTAGCCAATCTCAGTGAATGGTTCAGTATCTATCTCCTCAGCTCCTGTCAACAGGCTGTGCAGCGAGGCTGAAACATGCATGAACGCGTAAGCGCCCCCATCTCACATGTCAGACACAATGTCAAGTCCGTGTTGATGGACAGATGGATACCTATAAAGCATGCTGTCCTCATCTCTTCCCTCTATTATGATATTATCCCTTAGCCCCTAGAAACTTCTTCAACACATCAGCTCTTGTTATGACTGCTTATCATTGTATTCAAGCTTTGCACTTGCACTGAACGCCCCAACTGACCCAAAATCTCTTCACACGCCATCTTCCTTCTCCAACGCAACTGCTAGCGATGGGGAAGATTGTTAAACTTATCGGCTCTGGCGTGGGGCTTGCCGCGGAAGCCATCGCTGCTCGAAAACAGCTACAGAGGTCCCCATCCAGTCAAGGAAACGGCCAATTATCCAGTACACCGCGCAACATACCCATCGAAGGGCCGCCTGGCTATAATCAGGCAGTCTTCGAGGTATCTGACGAAAAAGCGAATGCCCTCATCGCCAGCGGCCAAGCAGTTCCTGTGGATGATCACAGGGATAGGAGCATCGCCGATGGACAGGCTGAGGATGACGATGATAGTTCAGATGAAGACGACGAACGAGACTGGGCACTTGATGAAGCTGCTGGCGAGGACGAGCCTCCAGTCGCGTCACTAAGTGGCCAAGAACCAAAGAAGAAGTATGCTCTTGACGCAACAGCTACCATCGAATCTCTTGGAGCGATCGTCTTATCCAAATTCCCCCCTCCACCACGAAGCACCCCTCAATTGCGATGTCCAGTTATCATTCCCCAAAGAAGGCCCGGAGCTAGTGGTCGAGGCTTCATTCGAGCCTACGCTCCTGATCTCGCCGAGTTCGGCATTCCCCAGGAAGGTTTCCTTTCATTTTTGAAGGTCCAGCAAGAAGCGTCAAAAGCGTCCCCACTTTTGAACGTCGTCTACGTTGGAGCTGGCATAATTGGCTGTGTACCACATGGAGCAGCCATGATCACTTCAGTGGTGGTCTCAATAGCTGTCGGCGCATGTATTAAACATCAGGAGTCACAAAGGACAAACAATTTCCTGGATGACATGAACGAGAGAATATACAAGCCGCGAGGTCTCTATGCGATGATCATGAAGTACAACCCGAACGCGAACACGACCCTGGATGTGCAACAGATGGATGCCTCTAGCCTAATCGTAAACCGCGGCGCTCACGAGAATGATTTCTTCAGAAAAACGGCCTCAGGTGAGACTCAAGGGGAGCTCGAGATGCCGGAGGCTGCACCACTGGTGTTCCCCGCACTGGATGATGTCGCCCAGTCAGGTGACATTGAGAAGAGGAACGCGTTCATGAGAAGCACGAAATTTGTCTCCAACTACTATGACAAGCGAACGCAATTGGAATATGTACGTCATCGTCTCTTCGTTCTGCGGTCGAAGGTCACTTGAGACAAACACTCCTCTTTCATGAGCTAACTTACAGCAGGCAACTCGAAATCCAAACTCAAGCCTAGCAGTCCCAGCAGACCAACGACCGAATTTCGCAACTAGAGTCGCCGACCCTAGCCATCCCGCCTTCCAAGGCTCCTGGCTCACGCTGTTCTCCGGAGGCAAGATCAAGCCATCCACTAAAGGCGAGAAAAACGGTGAGCCATCCGGAAGACGCGGAAAGCGAGGGAAGAAGGGCAAAGGACGAAAAAAGGGAAGGAAGATGAAGAGCGTATGTCTCTTCGTAGTCTCTCACATTTATCACAGTCTTGCTGATGTATGTTTTCAGAATCTGCTCTACTTGATGATCGTCAACTTGCCGTCGGACCAAGAGCTTGCGGCTGCGAAGCAGCAGCTGGAGATGACGCGGCGATAAGATTGACCTGCCACGGAAAACTATGGCGGAATTGAGGTGGCAGACAGTACCTTGACGAACGGTACCCATTGCGCATTCGGTTGGGCTTCAGCAGGCGTGAAAAGGGTATGGGAGGTGTTAATGACGAGCAAGCATAGCAATCATGACATGTCTTCATTAAGCGTGGACAGGGTGGTAAGAGCTTCACCGACAAGAACGCATAATAGATTTGACAGTTTGGGTCCTGCTTCTGGGTCCCCTTTGTTCTCTTGTGGGGATGATGTTGATTGCATCGTCTGGAGTCTTATTAACCAGAGTCTGGGTCGGGCTGAACTGCCCAGTCACGATTATCACCTTGTCGAAAAGCGTCTCAAAGGAACGCAAAGAAACGTCTGTTAGGAATGACGAGATACATGTCACCATAGAAAACGACAAGCTCTACCACCGCTGCGAATGCAAGAATCCTTATCCTCGTGATCAGCACTATTCACACCCCCTCAACCACCACCACCACCCCCCCCCTCCCCACATCCCTGTCACAACCACAATCATCACCAACATACATCACCCCACCCACCCACCCCTCCCAACCAACCCCTCCCTAAACTCCGCCCTCTCCATCCCCATCCGGCTCCCCGACCACCCCAACTCCTCCCCCCAGCGCCGAAACCTCGCTTCCTCGACCGCCATCTCGATCGCCTGCACCGTCCTCGCCTGCTCCGGTTGCCTGCAGGCGCTGTGGTGTTGCCTTGTCTGTGGGGTGGTCGCGGGTATGGGTTCGGAAGCACCGGGGACGCGGTGGGAGTGGGTGCGGAGTTGGGAGGTGGGGTGGAGGAGAAGGTGGTGGATTGTTGTGAGCAGGGTGGCGGTGGCGGCGGTGAGGGTGGTGAGTAGAAAGGCGGCGATCATTTTTGGGGGTGGAGTTGAGAGGGGATGGGGATGGGGAAAGGTTGGTGGGTGCAGTGGTTTTGGGATGAGTGGTTTGGGGATCTTATCGGCGGGTTCTTTGTGCGGGAGGATGAAGGCATTGTTGCGGGGTTGTCTTGTTGCTTGGTTTTGAATCAAAGGAGAGATTCGTGCTGGAACAAAGACTCGTTTTTTTTCTGGAAGGAATTGACAGATACATTGTCTTGAATCAGATAGTTAGATTCTGTCCAGCTGGTCGGAATAGGCAATCGCAGTCGGCCTTTGACAGTATTCAATGACCGCCAGTCCAGCCGGTTGTCCACAACCAAACCCAGCCACCATAGTTGCCTCGTCCCCAAGAACCAACGATTCCCACTGGAGTCATAATGCTGGCCCAATCCAATTTTGCAACGCCACCCGAATACACTTTCTTCTACATGACTTGCCCTGTCCCTGGTATACATCTACCGTCCAGATGAAATGCGCCTACACCGTCCGCCCGGGTGCTGTGCAGGTTTAGGGTGGTTGGGTTATCGCTGTCTGCAGTAGCGATAAACCGGATACCGTGCATTGGCGGATCGAAATCAAACGGAATCGTCCGGGCTGTAAGACATTGAGTAGAACCCGACCCACTCGCCGTCTTCAAGGAAGACTGCAGTCGTCATTATGGCCAAGTGGCATGATGCGGGTTCCACGGTAGCGCTGGGGAGAGAAAGGCAGTGGTAAGTCCATAATGGGTATGCTGGTCGAGGTCGGAACAGTCAGCGCCGGGATATGGCCTAACCCGCCTTGCGCGGGCCTGATACGTCCAAGCTCAATAGTCTCGCAAAGTGTTACAGAAACCAAGCCTACCGCACCAGTGCATGGACACGCTTCTGCCTGAGCATCCTAGGATTATCGACTGAGAAACTGCTAGAGTAATCGGCAGTCAAGTATAGCGGCTGCTTCAAGTAACGCGCCAGGTCTCTCCGCGTTCGTGCCCATGGTTCTGATGGGAGTTGTGTCGGCCGCTGAGGTCCGAGATAGCCAGCTGATTTTTCGGACATCAGTAGCAATGCGAGGCAGAAAGCTAACGCATGCATGCAGTCTGTGGCCTTCACTTCAGTGGGTTTGAAGGTGTCGGTAAAGGTCAACTTATATTCTGTGGCATTTGTTTTGGTGGGTTTGAAGAAGTCGATCAAGGTCAACATATTGGGCAGATTGAGAAAGGAAACTGAGAAGTTGAGTTTACTGATGACAGATTTGACTCCTGCTCTGGACCCTACGGTGATGCGCCATGAGCTTCGGCACCCATGACACCAGTTGTTCGGGCTCGAGGCTCAAAGCGTGGTCTAAGGCTGCTTTGGAGTCTGCCAGTGCATAGTGCGCCCACGTTGATGGTGGGTGTTCCAAGGACAGTGGGAGATGATGCCGCCATTTTGGACCCGTGTTCTCATTGTGCTGGTCTATGATGGCTTTGTAGATTACACGATCATTGCAAGCTGCACGGAGGGATTTGATGACCTTTGACAATGCCAATACAGTATCGCAGGCTCCGACCGAAGCCATAGGCGGAGGATCTCAACGGGCAGCCTATCGAGCCTGGAAGGTCGTGATATCATGATTAATCTGCTTTGACGGTTCGTACTGTTCAACTCCTCATCAAACAGCTCACAGAGGGACGGTGCGAGCGTGCCAAGACCAGCATCAGGACTGAGGTACTTTATTCTCGAGTTGTCCGTGCTGTTGGGGGTATTTAGTTCGTATTAGGTTCGATTCCTAATGGCGCTGGTACAATGGTGTTGCGTGCTTTTTATTTTCTGTCCGTACAGCCTCATTGTGCCAAGCCACTAGTTTCCAAACACTTATCACGTGATGTATGAATTGCAAATTAAATAAGAATGCTTGGCAAAAAAAATCGCGCCCCCCCTCCGGCTTTGCCACCAAAAATCCAAAAAATCCAAAAAAAAAATCATGTTTTTCTTATCTAAATTTATGAATATTAATTATTAAGAAGTCTTTTCTATATAAAATCTAGTTTATTTAACAAGTTCTATTAGTCTTTTTTTGTCAAGTTTTTTTAAATTGAATTTTTATTTTTATTAAGTAAAGTGACGAAGTGAACGTACTCTTCTATACAAAATCAAGGTTATCGAAAAGATTCTCTTAAAATTAATCTGAAAAAAAAAAGTAATAGAATTAATAAATCAGTATAACTTTAATATAAACAAGATTAATGAATAATAAAAATTCATGAATCTAGATAAGAAAAACATGGTTTCTCCTGAATTTTTATGTATTTTTGGTAGCAAAGCCGGAGGCTGGGCGCGATTTTTTTTGCCAAGCAATCTTATTTAATTTGCAATTCATAAATGCTGTGGCGCTGTTCACCGGCAGCCGCACCAATCAAAGTGTGGAAAGCGAAAGATCAACGACTGGAGCCTGCTGGAGTCGTATACTCCATGGCCATCTAATTCGGACCAATTGAAGCTTCTGCGAGAATGGTGCTACAGACGTCAGCGCATCGTGCCTACTTTGTGGGCTACCATTGAACTCGCTGCTACTCCTTCGGGACATGCGATCACTTGCATTCCTTCCGAATAAAGGCATACCTGCCACAGGAACACCGCATCTTTTGGAATCCCCCCTGGTCAGCCCTATGTCCTGTGCTGTGTACTAATGGTATGTTACTTCAACATGCCGGCTTTAATGCTCGCTGTCTGTGCTCACGAAGCCTCGATAGGACGGGAAGAGGATGCGGATGACAAGATCTTGTAGGTGATTAGAACCACGACTAGCATCTTTGTACTGTCTCAATTTGCCTTTTTGCATTCACTCTCTGTACTTGTCAAACCGAATTCTAACGTCAGATCTGACCAAGGGAGCGATTACCTGCTTTGCCAGCTTTCAGCTGACAAGAAGCTTTCGACTATTGAAAGCCTTCCAGCTGAAATACTTGAGCCCATTCTTGAAGAGGTAAGCCTGTTAGTGTAAATTCCTGAGCTATAGTAATTTTCCAAGATCCATTTGAATTCTATCTCCGGCGTCCGAGCTCTGGCCTGTGCATCTCGGACTTGCCGTGCCCTGGCTAGCCCCTACTTGTTCAAACCACTCAAGTGTGAGTTCATAGAGCTTGTACGAGGTGATGAATTAGGGGGCCTGGCCGTTATCGCCTTGAGTACAGCAGACAATTTCAAAACTCTCAAATGTCAAAGTGGACTGCGGGGACAAGATAGACTGCGGACATTCACTCAAGTCCTGAGTGTAGAACATTCCTACGAATGTTTCGAATACCTGCCTGATAGATCCTTATATCATTTCAACCTCTCAGCGCCCGCCCTCGACTTCTTGAGTCGCACCCTTCCTTTGCTATCGAGGTTGGTCATCGACCTCGGCGATTTCATCGGTTACAGCCCTAGCTGGGATCAAGCGTATAAGAAAGCTACGAAAAATAATGCACGGTATTCACATGCACCATTATCATGCGTAGACGGGCTGAACATCGTCTGCGCCATCGCTCGCTTCCAAAACCTCCGCCACCTCACTCTTCACTATAGGCTCCAACAAGACCAAATCGCCCTCATGCATCCAACGCCCGGATGCGAAGCCGTGCGCGAGCTATTTGAGTCGACCCAGAGACGGAAGCGAGGTCAAGCCATTGTCCGGTTAGACGTGATCTTCTACACTGACTCGATCAACGTTTTCGGGTGCGTTGACCGCTCATGGCAAATCGATCCACCTACAGTATCGACCACGATTACGATAGTATGCAATAACAATACCTCTTCCCAAGGTGACAAGCAATCTCAGTGCAGCTGCACTTGCGACAATACACACTATGGGAAGGTGATCGAGCGCCGGAAGAGGACTGAGAGGCTCTATGGAAGACAGGCATGGACACATCGTCTCGGAAGTGTTCAATGGAAGCTTTTGCAAGGCAGATATAGAACCTTGCCGTGGAGTATCGTGATGGAATCAGTTATGTGGTTGGCACTTTTACCGTCGAACATCGTTTTTGAGGAGGGCAAGCGCGTGCGGTATGAACCATCTCTGGCAGATGTGGAGGTGAGCTGCCGTAAGGATTACTCGGAACGACGAACCCGCTTCAAAGAGAGATTGTTCGAGAGGATATTACCATATTAGGTCATATAGGGAGATTGCTTTTCACAGCAAAGTCAAATGCGGCGTTTGCACTGCTTGATAGGACCATTCATGGTTTCTACCATGCAAACATCTAATCGCCATGAAGCTTCTCGAGCCTACAAACGGGGCATCTCTCCCTCCCCAATTCAAATACCACGAGATTCAGGCCTGCGAATCATTTGGATGTCGCAATTCTTCCCTGACCGACCCAAAGGTGACGAGAAGAGTAATACTTCTAGTGATCTCAAGAGCTTCGAAAACGTTCAAACCGTGGAGAGGTAAATATTTGAATTGCATTGGTACTTATTTTATATCATGGACCTTCACTTCGATTCCAGGAACTTCAGCCTTTTCTTCAATGCCGGGAACACTCCAACTTTGGTGGTGGTAAACCTATTGTCCGATTGGATATGTGGCCCTCCTCTCTCTATATTTCAACGGCGTGAAAAGCTGCTGAACGCACTACACCATATCGGAGTTAGCCTTCTTCTTTAGAACAGACTCTCGAATCTAAAAGACATGTTCGAGGAGCGAAATATGCGTCCCTACCTCAGACTTGGCTTCGGACTGAAAGTGGTTATGAAAGGGGCATGAATAATTGAGAAAAGCCACTTACATAGGGACAAGTGTTCTGATCTCCTTCGGTGGGGGAGATCCAGCGCTTGATGCATTTGCTGCCAAGGACATGCTGGCAGGGTAGTCGAACAGCGTGCTCGGTTTCGATTGGTTCTGGGTCTCGGCGAGCGGCCATCGAAAGGATGCGTTCGATGATCACAGGAGCTGGGGCTTTCGCGGATACGTACTCCTGCAGACATACTGGACATTCGTCGTGGTCGGGCAGATCTTGAGCCTCAGGTAGCTGACGGAGGAAGTCCGTTGGGGTCATCCTGGGTAACGCAGGAAACATGTTTGGGGTGGTAATTCTTGGTACGAAATTGAAGTTGGGGAATCTGATTGACAATGGGCTGTTGGAAGGATGAGGAAAGTATTAGAGGGACTTGAGAAGGTTATGAAGATAAGGCAGGTTCTTGACGGAAGGTCTTTGTTGTGATCGTTTGTTCTTGACGGAAGGTCTTTGTTGTGATCGTTTGTTCTTGACGGAAGGTCTTTGCTGTGATCGTTTGTTCTTGACGGAAGGTCTTTGTTGTGATCGTTTGTTGGAACAATGTCATTGCAAGATGTATGAAAAGACATGTCTTACGCTTTTATCACACAGACAAGGACTCCTATCAGGATAACACATTGCTTTGACAGAAAGCCATTGTTCATTGAATCATTTGTTGAGATGATGTCGTTGCAAACCAGATGTAGAAAAATGTCTGAGGCTTTCATCCCACGGACAGAGATTGGGTTCTGGACAATGAATGCAAATTGTTCGGCGATAGGCCCACATCTGCTTGTCAACGTATCTCTCCCCTCATGAGGAACACGTCAAATAGTTGAGCAGTGTTGGAAATCATATTGCAGCACCATAGTGTGTTATAGCTACCCCGCATGGTGGCAACCAGGTAACAAATTAGCATGGGCTTCACATGGTATATAAGTAGCCTACATACCACTCCATAGACAATCAATCCATAACCTCTCTTCAAATTCAACAAGCAGTCACATTGCCCCAAGAATACTGCTGTCATATAGACAGAATCTGTGGTAGTCGATGAGGGTGTACCTTAGCCAGTAGATGTCATGACCAATCGGATGTTAAGCTAATGACTAATGCTCGTTCAAAGCTCAAAGCGTTCTCTTACATTCTAGCTTTCACTCTTTTTCACCCGAGCCTGCCATCAAAACAACCTCTCGGTCTAGTTCAAAGTGCTAGGAAAGCGTGGGAGAGAATATCCTTTACCTAGCGGCACCAAGCTACGACATTTCAGCAAGCTGTGCTTGCTACCCCCGAGATCTCTCAGAATCAGTCTCTCACGCTCGACAAACATTGCAAAACACCCTTTTTCACAGCAGCCCATGTCTTCTCCAATGCCATCAAGAAGAAATAGCAAGCTAGTCTACTCTGAAGAAGAACTGTTGGGGGCACGTACTCATGTTGAAAGCTGGTGGGAACCAAGCCACTATAGCTCCGAAGACGAAGATCACCCATCCGATGAAGAAGTTAAGGAAAGTTGGGTGAGAAAACATGTCCGCAGGTCCAGGCGTAGGGCAAAATACGCACATATGCGTAGAGAATGCGGAGTTTACCAACCTATCGAGCATCTCTTCAAAAGTACAGATATTCTGTTGGGCATTTCCTCTTTGTACAGGTGCTAACCGATAAACTGCAACAGAGAGAGGTCATAATGGTAATTTCAGAGAATGGTACAATCGAATGCCTTCACGCCAACGGGGTGGACTCCTCCAGGAAGCTCGTGAAGTCTACAACAGAGACTTCGACGCACAATTCCCACTGTCTCCAAGCGTCCATGGTTCCTCGGGATCGTCTGAGGCTCCGTCATCCGAAGACACTGACGAGGAAAACGACCGCCAACAAGAAAATCAAGAACGGATCGGCATTCAGACTTGGCTTCGCTACCGACGTGATCATCCTCATGCCTGTGGCCACCGCCCACGACCGACACCAGCCCAGCCCTTTAACTTTATGGGCCTTCCCACGGAGACCCGCTGCGAGATTTTACGGTTGCTACTCGAACGAATCAAAGAAGTGACGGATGTGAGCCTCAAAAAATCGTTCGAATCATACAACATGGTACCCGTGGATACACGTCTCTTTGCTGTCAGTCGCCAGATGCAGGTAGATGCTGAAGTAGTCTTCTTCCGCTCGAACACAATCCATGTGCATGTTGAACACTACGACTTACCATTCTTCATCACAAATCCCCCGCCGTCTATTCGGGAATTAAGGAAGGTCCACCTGTCGATCAGCCACTATTCCAGCATGCCGACCCAGCCAGTGCTGGCTGAGAACTTGGAAAAGCTTGCTGATCTATTGAAAGATTGCAAGAAGCTTGTTCAACTAAAGATATCGCAACTCTGCCGGAGTGGTGAATTCCCGAAGGTTTCCACACATGTTTTAAGGGATTCCTTGGAGTACTTCACTCGGGTTCGAGGGGTTAGTGAGGTAGTTCTCACTGATCTCGAGCCTCCGAAAGATGATAACGCTGCTCTGATTTACGCTCCTGAGAAGGTAACAACTCGCCTGAAGGCGATTATGCAGAGTCCGAAAACCGAATAAGTCATTAGACGCTGTCTTGCGCTCCGTACGGCTTCATGTGCACGATTGTTAGGTGACATGACCTCTAGCATGTATCCTAAGATTTCAGATTGACTGGTAATTAGACTTGCTTTACCTTCAGCCGAAATAGCAACGGGATCTTCCAATTGCAAAGCAGCTCATTGTTTGACCGGTGTCTGTGTTCTCTTTCTAAAAGCGCTCCGCTTGATACATAGAACCCTTGCAGCTTGAGAGATGCTGGAAGAGCAGACGTCCAAAAAACAAGCCTGAGACCTACGCTATCGTTCCTTCGTTATCCTCCACTCCTTCTCCTACTCTCAGCAAGCTCGTCATGACCCTCTGATCATTCACCCCCACATAAACAAATTCCGGCCGACTTCCTTCCATCAAGAAGCAATAATACGGCTGCTCCCTTCCCAACGGTAGGCCTTTGGGCCACTTCACATCAACGGCCTCGTAAGGGCCCACGTATCCCGCTTTCTTGATCAAACTATCTGCGAATACGATATCCATCCCGAGCCGCGACGGCAGAACATTGTTTTCTGCAGGCCATGGCTGCACCGAGAAGCGAGGGCCGGCCCATTCGCCCCAGATACCTGTCATGTCTACGTACAGGGACCCGTGGCCAGTGCTGAAGAGCAATCGCACATCGAGTAGAAGTTCCGGGTTTGTCGTTGGCCCGATGGTTGAAGTGACTTGCAACTCACGGAAAGCGACTGAGGAGAAATCGGCCAAAGTCTCTCGAACCCGGGCGTAGACGGTATCATTCAGGGGAATGCGTGGCGAGTACAGCGAGACATCCGAATTTGATGAGAGGTTGGTACCGGTGCTATTCTCTAAAACAGCGTTGAGTGAGAGTAGAGAAGTGACATTGGTGAGGAGATGCATTGAACGGATGCCACGAGGCAACGACGACAAAGATCAAGGAAGGATATTCGCGATTTGTGTCCGTGGGGAGAGGCGGGAATCAAGAAGATATAGTGCGGGATATACGTCAGTCGATTAGCTTCGAGACGCTCAGCGCTTGACACGTCTGGAGGAGCTAGTTTAGCTAACTCAGCGGAATACGCGACATGCGAGCACCCTAGGAACCCTCGCAGGACAGCCCGATTTAAGTATGAGGAAGGAAACACTCATGCTTTGCTGCGCGCGTAATCTTGTCTAGGTAACGGACGATGCAATGTTCAGCGTGGCAGCAACTTGGGCCTTCTCCCTGTCCGTGACCTTTCATGTCCTAATTCCTCAACGCCCGCCGCTGCAGTACACCATAGCGTACGCCGTCACAATCGCAGCATGCCCAGCTCCCGTTTTCTCCGTCGTGACCAACACCAGAGGGGTAGGTGACGGAGGCATCCTCTGGACCCTTCCGTTTAGAAAAGGCCTATCGATTGCAGAATCATTGTCGGGTATGAGCTTGTAGGGTTTGACTCGTTGCAAAACGCCCTGTTACTCATAGCGCTTTTGTCGGCTGTCGACTGATACTTTCGAGAACTGTATTTTGAGGATCCATGTTTACTCTTGACCTCAATTTCTCGCCCATCTCCACGCACCTAGTAGGTGCACGGAGTACATCGCGGGTTTCGAACTCGATCAGCGCGTGCACTTGGTGTGTAAAGAGAGGAGTGTCATTCTTGGGATGTTTCAGGTTGGAGAGTTCTTTGCCAATCGATGAAGAAATTGCTGCCGCGGTCTTGGCGCAGCGAACTTAGTCATGCTCTTGATTGGCTCGCAGGTTTTCTTCACTACGACTGTCGTTTTATGGAGTGTCAATATATTGTTAAAACCAGAGCTCTTTGGAGGAATCAATGCACAATGCGACTGTTTCCTTGAACGTTAGCTTTGAAATCCTACTGGCTGTCGGCCGCCCTTCGAATTCGAAGATGCGCACGTACGACTCACATCACCGAAGGCGTAAGGCGATTCTTTGCCTGGAATCCCTAAACTTCCCTATGCTTCAGGTAGAGGGCAGCTCCAAGCATCTATGGATGCCATTTGCATTAACGTACCACTGTATCCCCTGACCCATAAAAAGCATGTCTCAGGACCACTCAAGTATCATATACGACCATATTTAATACTCGGACAGTGCCTTCTACTTCTTTCCACTTCTTGCAGCTTCGACAACTTGAGATTTGTGATTTACGGCTATCAAATTCTGTTAAGGCTGGATCCTTCTTTCACCCTCCTCATCATCTCATTGTCGTGCCTGGTGCAGACTTACGATCTTTCATTGTCAGGAACATTCGCCTCTCTAGACCATTGTTCACGTGGACCATTGTCATTGTTGTCTCAGGTACGACTCTGTTCCAATCGTGTCCCTCTATTCTCATTGTTCAGCGGCGAAATCATCGTGCCAGATTATTGTATTCTATTTGTTCCGTTGTTCACAACACAAACCTCATTGTGCAGAACATTCCCTATTCTCTTTCCTCAGGCACCCTACGCCTACAAATACCCTCTGCCTTCCTCTCAATTCTATTCCTCATCTCGCATCAACTCCAACAACTCACACAACAACAGCCTCAAGACCCGCAAACTCAACGCAACTCAAATCAAACCTCAGCAAGAAGCACGCAAGTCATCTCAGACATGTACTCAATCAACAACATCCTCGCCATTTCGGGCCTTGCTCTTTTCACCACCACAGCCCAGGGGCACATGGTGATGGCCTCGCCTCCACCATACGGCAGTCCCGACAACAGCCCACTCAACGCCGATGGTTCAAACTTCCCATGCAAAGCCACGAGCAATTCTGGTGGCACCGTCACCAACATGGCTATCGGCGCCCCGCAGACGCTCTCCTTCCTGGGCGAATCTGTGCATGGCGGTGGATCTTGTCAAGTCTCTCTTACTACCGATACACCTGCAACGAAGAGCTCTAAATGGATGGTCATTCACTCGATCGAGGGAGGTTGCCCGGCTAAGAACGTGGCAGGCAACCTTGGAGCAGACAACTCCGCCTCGGCTCCTGACCCGGATACCTACAGTTTTGCCATTCCTACAGGCATCGCTCCAGGAGCATACACCCTCGCGTGGACCTGGTTCAACAAGGTCGGCAACCGTGAGATGTACATGAACTGCGCATCGGTCAAAGTCACGGGCGGATCCAGCAAGAGAGACACTCCTCTCAACGAGACCGACTTCGCCATCCCGGACCTTTCCGGCCGAGAGACACCCTCCTTCCCCGCCATGTTCGTCGCCAACATCCCAACTTCCGACTGCCTGACCGCCGACTCCAAAGACGTCCAGTTCCCCACCCCGGGAACATCCGTCGAGAAGGACGGCGTCGCTTCTGACCTCGCGCCTCCCACCGGGCCCAACTGTGGCGCGTCGGGCGGCTCGGCCTCGAGCGGGGCCTCCAGCAGCTCGTCTTCGGGCGCTCAAGCAGCTTCCCCCGCTGATGGCTCATCGGCTGGTGCTTCGGCTGCCGCCCCCTCCGCTGCCTCCCCAGCGGCGGCCGCTCCCTCTGTTGCCCCAGCAGCAGCAGCAGCCCCAGCCCCCTCTGCTGCCTCCCCTGCTGCCGCCTCACCCTCCACCGACTTTACCTCTGGTTCCTCCGGTAGCACCGGCTCCTCAGGCAGCACCTGCTCCTCCTCCGGCACCATGGTGTGCAGCGCCGATGGCAAGCAATTCGCCATCTGCGGTGCCAGCGGAACGGCCCCCAGCTTCCAACCCGTGGCTGATGGGACTTCGTGCACCAATGGAGCGATCGCGGCCGCCAAGTCGAAGCGCTCGTCTGTGAAGTTTGCGGCGGGATACAAGAACTAGAAGGGGGTGGATGATGGAAGTGAGAGTAGCAGTGGTGCGATTGATTTGATTCAATTTGGTTGTAGTCAGCGAGCGTGTCTTTATAGAGATGGTTCTGTACAGCATGCATGAGTTTGTGTCTATTGAGGAAACGCAGGAGTGGGATGAAATCAAATGAAATACAGTCTTTACCAAAACCACTTATTCATGAGCAATGCGATGTTTGCCAACAAACCAATTACTCTGACTACCAAAACCACTTGGATATGTGTACCCCTCAAAATTCTCATCTCGACGATACACACCGGAGCCCCACAACGAACATCCGCAATCTGGCCCAACTCTTCCCATACGTCGACATCATAGCCTCCCTCCCATTCTCGATCCGTTCTTCCACGCACCCAGAACGCCAACTCTCCATCAACTGAGCTCTTACCCGGTCGGCATTGCGAGTAGCTGCGTGAGCGCACTGAGCTGGGCGGTAGTGTTTGAAAAGAAGAAACCCGCGATGATGTGATGTGATGAGAACGAGATTTATGGCAGAGCAGAGCAGGTAATGCTGGGCTTGGCTGGTTAAGATCCGGATATGGAGGTTTGTCGGTCGGTTCACCAGATAGGGTGATTTGTTCGGTGAAGGAAGGACGGGGTTCCCTTTGCATCCGCGAGGTCAACGCGTCCTGGTTAGAGCCTGGAGACTGCTGCGAAAGGGTAAGGGTGAGATATGAGGCCGGGGCTAGATGTTGGTCGGGCGGACGGAGGGGTGGAGTAAGCCGCTGGCTTACAGTCGAAGGGTGGTTGGGAGGTTCAGATGGCGCAGTTCTGCACTGGGGTAAGTCATTGTTTGTAACTCGATATATTGAGTCAGATGGCGCAGTTCTGTATAGTACTGGGGTATGTCATTGTTTGTCGACTTATCGAGTCTGTTAGGGCGACCAGTTGAAGCTCGATGCTAACAGACTTTTATCATCAATCTATCCAGCTCACAACTCATCATATTATCCATAACGCCAGTTCGCAGTATATCAACGCGGTGTATTAGTGTCTGAGGATCTATCCATCAACCTCTCGAGTGTACGCTCCTCGTCGTCTCAACGAGACCTCATGACCAGGAAACTCGAGATCTTCGGTGTCCACACTGGACCGCTCAGCATCATTGAGATGTTGCCGATCCCAGCGGTTGTCCCTCTCTGTCCTGAGAACATGTTCCACATCGAGACCGCAGCGCTCCAGAATCTTGCACCAATCATCCCATCGATCATGTTTCAGGACGAGCGAAGTCGGTGTGTTGCCACGGTCATCACAAGCCCAGATGTCCGCTCCAGTTTTAATGAGTAGATATGCCAGGTAGATAACGTGACAAGATGTCTCATCTGACCAAGGCTTTTGAAATAGGTAATGCAAAGGCTGTCTGCCGGAAGCGTCTCTTGCTCTGACATTAGCACCGAGACCACAGAGGTAGTATGTTCTTTGTGTTGCGTAGAAACCGTATCCGATTCCGGCAGATTTGAAGAAGGGTGTAACATTTAAGCAATGCCGCAACTGTTCTGCGAGCTCATCTGCTTTAACATCATCTATCTCTAGGACTTGACATCGGAGAAAGGTGATTAGTTCGTCAGAGTCTTCATAATTGAGATTCCTAATTTTCGTTAAGAGTCTGCGGTCCAATTGTGGGAGTCGTGTAGGCAACGGTGGCTCGGGAAACCAAAGGAGCCCACAAATATTGCCATCATTCAAGTCGCAACCAGCATTGTGTAGAAGCCGAGCAGCAGCACAATAGTCAGCCCTGTTGGGCATCCCACACGCTCTCACTGGAAACATTGAGCCGGTATGGGCTATCAGATCCAAACAGTTTCTACTCGAGCTGTCAAAGTGATCAGTTTGGATACACAAAACCGGAGACCAATCTCACCGTCCAGAAGTGGCTAGCGCGAGAGGATCCGCGCCCTCTGTCAGAAGGAATTTACAAATCTCATAGTTGCCAGCTCTTGCAGCATACTGCTCAGTGTGTTAGCGGTTTAATTATAACAGAGCTAATCCGAGGGTCCCTACGTGTAAAGGAGTCCACCCATCTTCATCTCGATCTGTGGGAGATCCTACTCGATTAAAAAACAGCTGTCGAAGTCCCTCTAAATCACCTTCCTTAGTGAATGAAAAGACATCAGAATTGTAAGGAATGACAGCAAATGACGAAAGTATAGGACATAGTTCAAGATATCCACGCTGATCTCTTTGGCTTCTGCAGGAGATCGAGATCCCTCTCAAGGTCAGGAGACTTTGTGCTGGTATGAAAGTCATTTGGAGTTTGTAACCAATCTTCGGCCCAATGTGGCTGATTTGATAGGCATTGCTGAATGTTTGGTAGCAACTATGCATTTGGAAGGCCGATGCTGTGACGTGCAAGGATCCTACCCTCCATCTAAAGCACCAAGTGTGGGTCCAGAGCCTCTTAGCAGGGTCAATCAGAGCGCTAGAAGGACAGATTTCTCTATAGGCTTCAGGGTATTGGCCGATGCTTAGGCTGGTAGCTGCTGAGCTCTGGATATGTTCTTGGGTTTCCCTTCCCAATCCTTCCTTTTCTGGCCCGGAATCCTGGTAAGCAGTGTTTGCGTCTGATCGAGAGACGCTTTGCAAAGACTGCTGGAATTCACTTGCCATCGAATCGATGCTCTCACGTATGGAGACGATCTGTGCCTCGGATGCAGACTTATTAGCCTTCAAGCGATCCTCTACAATGGGGATGACAACGTGTTTCAGCTCCTCCCTAAAGATCCTGGCCAGAACATCATTGGTGGACGGTCGAACAAAAATCTCTGATCGTATGGAGTCTCTCAGAAAGGGTGCTTGAGAGAGGCCTGACATCAAGTTGTCCAATTTGCCGTCTAGAGTGTTGTGAAGGTCAAGGTTTGTCTCTCGAAGCGCTTCAATTGATGTACTCAATGAGGCGTGTCCCATCGAGGCACTTGCTTCGTTTTGTGCGATGACGTCTAAACGCCGGCTGATGGGCTTCAGTGCATTCAAGACCTGTTCCGTCGAAATAGGATGGCTTTGCTTCAAGTTTGTTTCAATCCTGAACATGTCATGGTGCCGGGCGATCGAACTCCTCCTGACAGGGTTGTGTTCAGTAGATGTTATAATAGAACGGAAATACGGACGACAGGCATATACGATGTGTTCTTATGGAGATCAGACCTACTGTGCAACAGTCTGCAGGCTCAAAATGAGTGCCACTTGCTGTGTTTCTAGCCGCTGTACTATCTCTAGGGTTTTCTTCTCATCAATAGCCCATTTTGCCCTTCTGCGAACATTTTTCGTTTCGCCACTCGACGTCAAGATTCCATCCAGGAGACCTAGGGTCTCTCCAATGCTGATGATGTCTGCGTTCACGGAATCAGGTAAAACTTGGCGATGTTGCCGAAACGCGACCGAAGACTCGTATTCTGTCACAAAAGTTTTTAGACTGCGAAGAATCGATTCGATACCCTCGACCGTTTGCCGCAAACTTTTGACCGCACGGGGAGCATTCCTCCATGAGATGACAAGGCCGTAGATGCCTTCGCAGGCTCGGATCGTTACGTCTACCAGAGAGACGACGCTAGCAGCAGTCGATAGAGCAGTCAATGGGTCGGGCATGACGGAGAGGAATTAGCGACATTCTCGTGGAAAAGTTCTGGGCCTACCGAGCTATATAAAATTGACGGGGCCGTGGAGTGGCAGTGTAATATTTCCAGGAGTCTGGCAGCCTTGCTGGTAGGTATTGCACAGCATTTTGCGGGGCGGTGTAGCTGCATTGTCGATCTTTTTGGAGACCCAATAGGGGTAGCCCCTCCAAGGTCCATTAGATAAGGATGAGGCAACATGCATATATCCGCAGGGGAGAGGGGATTCTATTCACGAGTAGCGCACTATGTAGGTAGCAAGATGACTCTGAAGCGAATTCAGTTGTTTTTTACGGGCTCTTTCTGTTCCGAAAGGCTGACGCTAAGCCCAATTCGGGGACGGGGGGTCGATGTACTCCTCGTACATACGTCTTCTCCACTATTGTACAACGAGGTTCTAGGACGTAACATACCTTTTGAAAATGCACCGTTTCCGTAAATAGGCATCACTGCCCTTGCCCGACGCGAATCCCCCTTCGCTCGCACAATATTCAAGCTGCCCGCGGCTCAGTGCTAACGGGGATACTGGAATAGGATGGTAACCGGCTCAGTCGCTTGGTGTGTTTGCCAAAATGAGCGCTCAATTGCACAACCTGGCCAAAGGGCGGAGCACCTGAATCTGCTCAACAGATCCATGTCCGGCCATTATATATTCTAGATCGATCTCCCAGATACTCGGGCACCTCGTGCTTTGATTCAAATATTCATTTACCTTGGGTCCCACTGTCAATCTTAGACTACAGTACAAGCCTCTGCCTCTGCTCTGTGCCGCTCGAGTACCCTCAGCCTGGCTTTCGGCACTACTCACCCTCAGCCCAGGTCAAAGCGGTAGTGCTGGCGATGATGTTTAGGGATCTGATATAAGTCTCATAGCCCAGAAGCGGCAGTATCGAATCAGCCCAATTGCCGGTATTCGCAAGCGCTCATCCGTACAGCAGCTTGACGAAATTGGTGGAGGCACACTGGTGTAGGGTAGAAAACTTCATTATTTTGCCCAGTACCGGGCTCTTTGCCATTCACTAAATCTGAGATATATCGCGCCAATCTTTAGCTGTGAATATGGAGTCGTGAAGATTTTGCAGATGATCATTGGGGCAAATACTTTTCTATATAGGAAGAGTAATACTGTTGTAAACTCTTTCTAAGTCGAGTACGCATTGAAGGTGCAAAGACAAGAAAGTAAAACGCAGCAAGGTGCAGCCAAAAACAGAAACAACCCCATGGACCCACAGAGATACGACCACCCGTGGTCCTGTACAATCCTCACACTCTATGCACCCACCGGCCCCTCGCTCGCAGCCATGTTACACTGCCTAAAAAGTCTAACCTCGTCCTCTCGGAAAGCCCCAACAACCGAATGCAACACTCCCTGATTGTTGAACAGCACCATATCGCCCTCCTCCCAGTCATGCGCATACACCAATTTCGGGCTGATTCCGGGCCTCTGCAGCTTATGCACAATCTCTCGCACCCTCTTCAGATCTTCGATGACCTCGCCGGTGGCCAGGTGTATCTTGCGCACAGCGGAAGGGTGCATTTGAAGGGCGAATTGGCCAGTGACCGGGTTCTTCCAGACCATGGGTAGAATTTGCACTTTTGAAAGATCGATAAGCGGGAGTTCTGAGGAGGGAAGCTCGAGGTTATCGGAGACTAGGCCGAGCCCGTCAGAGCGCGATTTGGCTGCACTCATCCAGATGTACGGATGCGCGGCGTACTCGATGCGGCTGGTTCGCACGAACTCTTTGTCCGCGTCGGACAGGATGTCGTACATCTTGTATCCGCTCACGAATGCCGTAGTACCTAGCGGAACATCCAACTCATCGCCCGTCCCGTCATCATAGCGCAACGTCTGCCGTCTCCCTTTTGGCACCGATACCGCCAGCAGCGATGTCACCTTTGGCGGATTGAGATCATAAAGCGCAGCATCGATGTGCCAGCGGTAGAAGCGCGTGTGCGTAAGATCATCCTCTTCGGGGATAGGGTGCTTATGAAACTTCTTGTGGTGAGGGTGAACGAGCTTGATCTTGGACAGACCTTCATACTCAGGCACGAGGCCGTTGCCAATGATTTGCACTTCGGGTTGGTGTGGTACGGTTTTAAGATCCGGGTGCAGGATGCTGCGTTTGGCGTCGAGGGTCTTGCCGTGACCGTATCCGATGGCGGAGGGGTCGAAGCGGTGGGTTAGTTCGTATTGGGCTTTGGGTGAGCTAGAAGCTTGGTTCTTGAGGACGACTACGTGATTTTTGTAGAGTGTGTCGCGGATGATGGAGAAGTCGTTGTCTGCGATGCATCTGTCAGTACTGTTGAAGCTAATGTCGAGGTCCAGGATACTTACTTAGGAGGTTACCGTTCCACGGAGTGCTCCCTATTGTGCGCGCATACTCTGCTACTACATAGACCCTGTGGTGTTTCACTTACCTGTCAAGTTTTCGAGATCAACATTTTCAATGACTGCGCCAAAATCTACATCAGACGAAGGGACCGAAATGGGGTGGATAGAAATTTGTTGAGGGCTGAGAGTCATGGTTGATGAGGGCATCTTGATTTGAGTGAGTTGCAAGTGTGGTAGTTTGTTCTCGGTAGTGATTGTCAGATTGATATGAAATTTGATGATTGTGGGAAAGATCGTGGTATAAATATTTGGATGGGAGAGAAGAAATCTCGGAGGGCGCCGGAGGCCACTTGTAGCCCGGAAGTCGCCTATTCTCGGTACGAGTAATACGGAGAGCGGCGCCGAAAGTCCCGGGGCTGTCGTACCTTAAGTAGCAGAAAGTATAGGGCTAAGTACATGCGCAACGTTACATCCTCAAGATTACCAAAACTGAATAAGAGAAAGGATAATGATGACTGGGCGACATTTGAAGTATTGGATGTTTCATCGATTACCCAATCTGTGGTAGAACAAGATACAACACCTGAACGCCGTTTCTCCATTTCTTATCCCGCAGAGATTCGTGAAGACTCCGGAATCAGTCGTCTCCAGGAACCGATCGAGAATTCCATCCATTCCAGATCGAGGATACGAAGCCCGCAAGACACGGTCCTTCCGTATCCCCCACCCGACCCCTCGCACAGACATTTTGAGCTCGTGAATTTATACTCGTGGCTTGTGCTGTCGATGAGGCAGTAGCTGCAAGCAGGTCCGGAGGTCTCGAGGTCTTTGGAAGTGGAGTTGCTTGGATCTCGAAAAAGGTAGCGGTGGAGAATAGATGTGCTTCAAGTTCAAAGCTGGTACCGAGCGACTCTATGCGGTGATGACTTAGCGTCCTGAGTGTGATCAACCATGCAGGATATTGTCACCTGTCTGGATGTCTGACTCGGTGGTCCACTCGCCACTGTGCTGTTCATACACTCTGCGCCAGGCTCTAGGACCTTGCTATACGGTGAAGGCACTTATGGGTGTAGCAAAAATGCGAAAAGAGGTGGTGGCGATGGTCTGAATGGCTGCTAATGCTATTATCGCCAGCATTTTTGATCAGCAGCGTTGACCGATTTGAACGGGAGCTTTCTGAGAGCGATGGTCAACTGAGCATCAGCAGGGGTCTCTTTGGAGACCTGAACGAAATCTTATGTTTTTAGCAAGTACAAACTCATGGCCGTACGGTGATATCATCGATTCCCACTTTTGAAGTCACATTTCGAGAGATAGGTTTACACGAAAAACAAGATATATCATAGTGAGTGTCGGAATACGCATCCTTCTGCTTATGCTGAGAAATCGCTGCAAGATCATTGCGTTGTGTCGGTCAACAGCTGATAGCCTCTATGCCTCCTTACTAGGCTTCCTCGCCATTCCTCTATTCCCCACGAAACCAGACTCTGTGAGTAAACCGAGTCTAACGTCTTATCAAAGCAAGTATACACCGCTTTTCAGCCTGGGAGCCCGAAGATTGCGGAGTCCAGTCTGTACAGGCAGGAAAGGCTAAGCTGGCGACACTGTAATGGTGGTTGGTACTATCGATGGAGCTGAAGTTATAGCGGGGGCAAAGGCTGCAGTCTCTAGAGACAGATCCAACTCCGAGACCGCCGCAGCTATCGTACTGGCCACGGCTGGTGAATTGGTCGCAGATAGCTCGAAAACACTATGAACGGCGAGATCGGCTTCGATTTCTGGTGACCCGATTAGTAAGGGCCCGTCTCGACTAATCAGAAAAGAGATGGTCACGTGATTCGAGATCGCGTTCAATATTTGCGTGGTCCCTCTGCTGGTGCAATTTTCTCCACGCCCTACGACCCTGCCATACGGTGATAATGCTTATCAATGTAGCGACGACCCCAAAAACGATGGTACTGATTGTCTGAGATGCATTTGATGCCATTGGTGGAGCTATGTTTGTCAGCATTTCTTGCGGCTTTGGGGAATAATATGCTGAAAAGGCTCCATAACCCGAAAGTCGCGTGCTGTTTTATCAAAGGATACTTTAGTCGAACGGCTCCGCGCACCAGCAGTAAGCACAAGTAAACAATGCGCGAACCAACAGCAGTAGGCAACAAGGAGCAAAAAAGGCAAAGAAGGCAAAGAAGGCACACCACCCTTACCCTTTTTGAGCCCGGTGGGGCTGGGCAGTGCACCTTTGATTGGTAGAAGACGTCATGCTATGCTGCAGAAAGAAACGACACACCCCCAAGACACAATGATGGCAATCGTGCAAGGTGGTAGATGCAATCCTTTCCGGCCTCACATATCTCCACTGGGAGGCAGACTGACCCCTGCATCTGCTGCAAGGCCTGCACCGTATACGGTAAGGACTCCTTTGGCATCAAGAGGGCTCTCAGTCACACGGCTCGAGCCCTTGTAGCTCCCTCGCCCCGTTGTCCATAAGACATCTTACCAAACCGGTCCGTCCAGTGGACTGTTTTTTGGAGCTCACGCAGCCTCCAGCAAATTAATGCCGAGATCTTGAAGTGTACAGGGAGCCTGACTGTCCAAATCTGCATCCATGCACGGAATTGAGGACGGTTTATGCTTAGGCAAATCCCTTCCCTCGAGCGTGAGCTTGTCCCGCTTCTAGGACCGAAATAGCATGCTTCATCCAACTTCTACTCATGGACAGATCTCCCGGGAGTTTTGTCTATTTCCGCTTTTTACATTTACTGTTGTAGGCATATGAGGCTAAGATTGCTGTATGAGACTGTACAACAAACCTTTCTGTCTGACTTGCTAGAAGATCTAGAGGGTTCGGAAAGGTGCTCTACTTCAGGTGCAGCTTCCGCACGTAGAGTAGGGCTAGCACTGAAGACCTTTCAGTACCTTCCTCAGCACAACCTGGATGGGTTGATCCTTTGAGATTCTCTTGGCCTTATTAACCCGCCTGGGCGAGGTTGCCTATAACGATCATAGCTACAAAGTCAAAGGATGGAACGTGGTGGGCCATAACCTGCGAACCTGGAGTACGAAATTGGTACCGTAAATGTCGTATGCACGACAAGAGAGGCATGGTCATAAAATTCACCTCATTCAGGACGGACATGCTTCTTAGATCTATACAAATATTCTATCATGAAGCTTGCCAATCCTCTGCCTGTCCCAAATACAACCTATCCAAGAGAAAACAAAAACCCGAGCGACCCAGTCTCGAGGTGAACTGAGAAGATTAGACGCGAATGTCCTTCAAAAACTCCGGTACCGCCGTCATGAGATCTTGCAAACACGGATGGTTCTCAAAATCTCTCCGTTTACAAATCGCAACCTGAGCCGCTCGATCGCGTAGACGGCGGTCTCCGTCCGGTGTTGAATCGTAGATATGGGGGATCGCTTCGACGATCTCGTCGACGAGGCTGACGCCAACGTATGGATTCATCATCTCGTGTGCGTGTATCTCCCGTATCGCAGCATCGAATTTCTCGGCCGCTTTCTGCTTCAAGCTGGGTATGTCATACTTGTCGGCTGTGCTGTACATTTGGGCATTCAAGTACAGCCGGTTGACGTAGGTCGGGGCCACGATGTGCGGAGGTGGGTCTTTCTCATCGTCGTAAGATTCGTCATTGTATCCGGTTGTGGAGCGGTAACACAAGAGGCGACGTATCAAGAACTCTTCTTCTGCGGGGAGCTCAAGTTTTTGCGTTTGCTCTTCCTGGAAAGACGTTAGCAAATCGACTCATCTCAACACAGCATGGTTGGGAACATACCAAGAAGCCGCCCTTGCACACTACTTTGAAATAAGACGAGTCTTGGCAGAGCACATGGCTGTGCGCTTCGACTTTGAGGGAACCGCAGATGATGGTCAAGTCAGCGGGGTACTGTTCAGAATCGTCGGGATCGATGGGTTTGACCAGACTACAGACCACATGGTTAGTCTGGAACTTACCCAGCACGCACAACGATGGAGGCCTTACCGCGCCATAGCTTTCGAAACGAAATCTGAAGAGTATCCCTGTGAAGGTATGTCTTTTCCGGGAGGATCGAACTTGAGATACGAGAAAGACATGGGAGCTTGTTCAGCAAGTCTGTTCAAGGAAGTCGTGCTAATGTTTGAAGTTGAATTCAAAGTCCAAGGCAGAGTAGGCTCTTGAAGAAAGGCAAGCGGCTCTCAATTACGGGCCGATCCTTCATGTTCAACACGTACAGGGCTCATTGTATGACGCTCTGTCCGTGTGAAAGTGGTGTGTTGAGATCGCAGAGCCAGAGTGTGTTGTTAGCGGTAGGTGCACATCGCACACAACCCAAGGAGAACGTACCAAAAGCTAATGGTATTGACACTGCATCTCTAAAGTCATTGTACTCCTTTCAAAATGGCGTTGTTGTTGGAGACGTTGATGTGGTGGAAATCTATCTACTTACGCGGTGTTGCTTGTCAAAGCAACATTCACAGAAGAAGCTGAAAGCGATGCATCTTCCCATCCCCTCTCTTTCTATAAGTCGTAAGCTCAACCTTGAGGATGAATCCAGGTACCTCCACGTATATGATCCTCCTATTCAGGCATCTCCTACCAATAAAAAGCGAAGCCATGAACAACCCCACACGTCTCTAGTCCCCACTCGAAGTCATTAATACACAGTATCAATTCCACCTCCGACGATAGTTGGACAGACGGTAACAGACGATCTGAAGCCTCAGACCGCGTTCTTATACTCGAGCGACCAGTAAAGCACTCGGATGCTATGCCTAGGAGAGGACTCCAGAAGTCTGGTTGGCCGAGCACTCTGAGCCGGCGCTAGGCGATCCTCTATGGAGAAGTATACGTAATCCCTGGCGTGTGGGTTGCATCCGCGAGGTCCAGGTTCTGAGACGCTGGTTTCGGAGCTGAGGGAGGTAGAACCTGCACGCTGACAATCGCTTTCGTCGCCGAGGTCCGCGATATCCCCAAGAAGTCACCCTAGCCGCATGGAGCGGATATCCACAAGGCACTGATCACGTGTCTCTGTGTCTATGTGGCGGCAGCGAACTTTTTTGAAACAGTGTCACGCCAGGAGGTCGAAGCTCGGGTGGTCTAATGAACAGCTCTTGAATTATTATCGTACAGCCTTCGCAATGCCAATATAGTATAAGATGTAGCTTTTTGTGAGAGTGGAGAAGCAATGCCACGCAATATCGTATCGCCTGTACCGCCCATGCAAAATAAAATGCAACAGCTGAGCCGGTAGGAGACCATTGATGCCCTGCAATAAGCTACGTCATTGCTTATCTCAGTCTTCCCCCGGCATTCAATTACCAGCTCTTAGGCCTTGTCACCTGCATTTTTCGCCGCCTGGCTCTGGGCCTGACTTGCGATCCCCCCCTTCTTGGTAGCCCCAAATGCCTTCGTCTCCCTCGAATGCAACAGATCACCATCCTCCTTTGTCACAGTCTCAGGCTCCGTCGCCAACTTCGTGCCGACTTTATCCGCTGCCTCCCCATAGTTGGCCTCACGGTCCAACTGGCTCTGCTGGGCAGGCTCGAGGTTGGCGTTCGTACCACTGCTCTGAGTGGGGTTGGTTTGGATGGTAGCACCCTGCTCGTTGGCGGCAGCGACGGATTGGGCTTGGGAGGCAAGGTCACCCTTGGTGGGACCGCCCATGACACGGGCCTCGCGGCTGTGGAGGAGGGAGGCATCTTCGGAGGTCACTGCCTCGGGAGCGGTGTCAAGCTTGGAGCCGACTTTGGCGGCGGCATCTTCGAGGTTGCGTTGCTTGGTGGTTTGGGATTGCATTTGAGCAGCGGTGGAGCCTAGTTGATGTTACACTGATGGTACTCAGGATGAGGAGGATGGTGGGGAATTGTACCTTTGTAAGTTCCTCCTTCCTGCTGGGAGACTTCAGAGATCACCTGACCCGCGTCTGAAGTTCTATTGGTAGCCATTTTGCTGGAGGATGTATTGAGTGTTCTTCGTGAGGTGCTGTTAGCGTTGGTGAGGATGGCTGTTCGCGTCGTTATTGGAGGGATGGTGTGGACTCTGGAGAGAATGGACAATCGAGAGAAAGTGCGGAGTGACATGATGACGATTAGCAATGGAATTTCAATCCGATTCTGCGATTGATTTTTTAGGAAGCGACGATGCAAATGCTGTAAAAAAAATTAAATGACCTCATTGACATCATCATCCAGATATTTAGTCTCAGTATTCAGACTCGCTTAGCGGGGTACCCTATGGCCAGCCCTACACTCGTTCCTCGCTTCGGGGGCCAATCATATCGCAAGCTTATTACGGCATATCCCCCCTTAGAGTCTGAGTAGGAAACCATGGAATCGCTACATTGACCGTTATTTTGTATGAGGCACCCGCAATAATTGACCGAAATGCGAAATCCGCGACTTTCAACGATTTTTCCACGACTATTATTGTCATGGTTTCAACCGGCATTCCTTCTCCAGACTTGCGCTAGGCTCCATTTAGGCTAGCTCCTTGGCGGCTTAACACTCTAATGACTTCGGTATATATGTTACTTAGTAACCTTTATAGTTAATATTTTATTCATATAACACTACTAATATTATTATTCGATATACGATTTATTTCCTGATATAATATTAACTATTTAATATAGCCGTGAGCTAAGCTATTATTACCTGCCTGCTTCTACCTACTTATTTGCCCTGCCTTGCGGAGATCTCTCGAATATTGATTACTTAATCGCCTTGTTGTAGAGGAGATATCCGGATGATTTCCTATCTATCTACTTGCCTGCCTGCCTGTCTATCCTACCTCTGCGGGGATCTCTCAAATATCGACTATTTAATCGCCTTATTATAGAGGAGATATTCGGATGATTCCCTGTCTGCCTGTCTACCCTGTCTCTATGGGGAGATATTTCGATTATCTCTCGCTTGTCTTATTTATTACCTGCCTGTATTAGTGGAAAGATCTTTATCTGATTCGTTATGGACTCGAATTAAGAAGAAACTTGTTCTGAATTGTTATTAACGATTTAGTATTACTAGGCCTAGATTTATAATTTTAACACTACTATTCAGAATCTTAACACAATCGTAATACGACTTCGAGAATTATAAGACCTTCATCGTTTCAATACAAAGACTCTTACTACTACGAACACGGAATTATAGACTAAAATTTAGGCCTTAATTATTAAAGAAGAAATAGTTACTCTAACAGAGCCTCTGGATTTCGATATAGATAAATAACTAATTAAATTGAAAGTTACTAAGACTAAAATATCTATCTCTACTATTCTTATTGTCGGGAATAATAAGAAATACTCTGATATACCTTATTTCTATGGTGAAAAAGAGAAATAAAATAAGTGGCGATTTTATTTGAATTTCAAGTTTCGGTAAAGTATCGTATTATTTTCTAGTAAAAAAGATAAAATGAATTATATTCGAGATTACTGTAAGTTAATTATATTCGATATACTTAAGATACGAGTAGATTTACTAAGCGAGAATCTCTATAATATCACGAAAGAGATGATTTTAAAGCTTTATAATATATTTAATAATTACGATAAGCTAGTAAAGAATAATACTCTACTCTATAACTCGGCGTTTACTATAAAAAAGAAGAAAGTATTTAACGAGTTCTATACTCGATTTTTAGCTATCATTACGTTATTAGACTATAGCGAAAGTTATAAGATCGCTATACTACGAAGACTTATTACTCTTAAGCTTCGATTACGAATCGCCGATATCTTATCGTCTTTCTTTCGCTTAGTTATTAAGCATTTGCGGAAGACTAATTAAGATCTTCGTTAATTAAAGGCTATATATATAGATATAAAAGAGATTAATAAATAGAAGTTTAAATTAGGTCTATAGCGATTACTCTATTCGAAATAGCTAAAGAATTAGCTAAAGAAAGAAGATTAATATTTTAAATATCTTAATTATAGTTATTAGCTTAATTAGATTAAGATATATATAGCCTTAAAGATATTATCGTTTAAAGAGGTAAAGGCTATTATAGCTAAGGAAAAGGCTATAGAGAAGGTTGTGGAGAAGTAATGACGGCATAGGCCTTGCCTGCAGTAGCAGTAATGGATTTCTCCTCTTTTCTCTGATTAGTAATAATCGTTCCGTCTAGCCGTATACGGCTAGCGTATTTAAATTAGTTTCGATTCGGCAAATTATCGGACTTTGCGTTTTTGAACGAATTAGCCTTATTCGATTTCGATTTTTTTTTTTTTTTCGCTTTTTTCGGCAATGCGCCAAAACTACGAATCTATTATACTATCTCTCAGCACCCCACATTATTACTTTAAGCACCTTCCCGGGCTATTGCCTTATATTGATACCTCTGTTACCTGCGTCCGCAGGCCTGCTATATGAGATTTAGCTTAATGCCACGATCGGATACTGAGAGTGTCTGCGAGAAAAAGTTTAAAGTTGTTGTTTTAGGGGGTAGCAAATATGCTTTAGGTTATAAAGGCTAGTGTACTATGGATTATAACGATCGTCTCGCTATTACTATCTCGCCGTCGCTATAATTTAAATTATAGAGATCTAGTTATTTAAGAAAGAAGGTAATATTATAATTTTAATCGATATTCCTTCTTTAGACTTACGCTAGGCTTTATTCGGGCTAGCTTCTTAGCGGCTTAGCACTCTAATAACTTCGGTATATATATTACTTAGTAACCTTTATAGTTAATATTTCATTCATATGACACTACTAATATCATTATTCGATACACGGTTTATTCCCTAACAATTATATAATTCTTTAAAGTTAATCGCGAGGCGAATAGATCTATCGAGGTCGCTAATTAAGTATTTAAACCTTTTATTAAGATCGAATAACTTATTATTATCACACAAGCTAATCCGAGATCGCGATCTTCGTTAACGCTTATAACATCTATCTCTAGCTAATTAACCTTTATTAGAAAAATTCTAGATAATAATATATCGTCTTTAGCATTATTAAAAGATTATATAACGAATCGGGTTAAGGAATTATTTAAGTAGATTTATTATATTACCCTTAATTAGAGAGTCGAGTACTCGAGATACGCCCTCTATAGAAATATATATTAATTTAAATACGCTTCGCTTAAGAGATAAAGAAATTATAGTATATATATCTTAAATAATATTAACGCGGTTGACACGCCTAGAACGAGCTCGTGTGAGTATAAAATATATTGAAGATACTTAGATACCCAAATTTCTTTATAACGACGATAACGAGATATCTTCGAACTTTAGATATTAACCTCTCTATGCCTTATAGTAATATCCTTCCTCTACATGATAGCGAAGTCTAAAAACTTTTGATGGTTCGGATCGAAAGAAATTCAAAAATTCATATATTTAGTTTCCGAGTATAAAAGTAGGGAGGAGATGATTAAGCGATATTCGATTAGGTCGTTTATAACGATAACGTAGACCTTCCTACATTCAAAGACGTCTTTTTCTATATTTCATATACCCATAAGAGACTCCGACATCGTACGAGATATTCTCATTCATCGATATCGCCGCCACCAATATCTGACTTCACACCAAAAGGATGAATTATCTCCGCTTCGCTCTCCGCTCTGCTCTCCGCAAGTTCGGTAGCTATACAATTGCTTGCATGCATGCATACATGCTTGCTTGTTTACACGCATCGCCGCGGCGACTCTCGTAAGCCTGGCCGTCCAAAAAATGGGGGGAGACTGCGGCGTCTGACCGAAGTAATGAACTGACTAGCGAGGCCACGGCATTTTCCCCGACACGTCGTGCCGTCGGTCCGGCGAGTACCATAGCGGTTACCCCGAGGATTATGTACTATAGGGGAATTCCTGTATGGTGCTACGCGTCTGTTGAGATGTACGGCGTTCTTAAGTACTGGTGCCGCTGCTATGGCTGAGTTAGCTAAGTTTTGTAGTGGAATGGAATTGAAAGCCTACTTCTTAACCACTGCACCACAACTCCTAATTTGACGAGGGCCTATTTAACTATTTATTCGACTTTTTTCAGGGAATTCCAAGAAAGGCCATATCACGTAGTTGCGCATTTTTGTTAAGGATCATATATACGCAGGGTGTAAATATTACATATCGGGCAATACACCAAAAAAATAAGTCTTGGCAGGGTTTCCTGCTCAGACCCACTGCGTGGGGCCACTGAGACTACAGATATTTTACCCGGGTGCTTCTAAACCTCAGCCAACGCTAGTGTACAGTACCGGAGAGCCATTAGGCCGACCCAGCCACATTCCCCTGATTAGTAAGAGATTGCAGTAGTAAATAGGGGACACGTCCTGGCTGATCTTACCGTCTTCCCCATACCTCGCTGTCGCCACCCTCTGCCCTCCCACCCCTCCCACACCTCGCTATCGTCAAATCTTCGCGTCAAATCTTCGCGTATACCATTCCCAATAGCCTCAATGTCGTACCCCCGCCTCGTGCGCCAGCCCCCACAGTATGGGGGCTTTGAGGATACCCAGGAGGAGCTCGATTAATAGAATAGCAACCCCGAGGGCATTGATCGAGACCGCACCCCGGAAGCAGAGTACTTAGACGAATTTTTGCCACTTAAGGAAGAAGATAGTAATCCCAGCGATGGCGAATGAAGCAGGCTCACCTATTCTGACGCGTTTAGATCATCATCGCCCCCCTCGAAGCCCTCTACCTCCCCCTCCTCCCACAAACACAAGGCGTCTACCTCCCTAGACGAACGGAAAGAATACCCCCGAAAGGGTAGCAAGCGTAGCAAGCCCGCCCCAGTGATACCCCCGGAGCTAACGTCAACAATGCTGAAGCTACCCCTTTATACCCTAGAGACGCGTTAAGCTACTTTCTCGTTAGGTACATCTATTTGCTGGACAGCTGAAGAATTCGACGCGTACTGGCCTTTGGTAGACAATTTCTGGGTATGCAATAAGCCTATGATGGGCATGATATAGCCAGATTAGAGGTGCCTCCGAGGTGGTATCGTATGGAGGATGCGGAGTAGATAGCCCCCCAATGAAATCCCTCCCTCTATGGCGACAGCGAGGTGTCCCTGAACCCCCCATAGTAGATTGCCAACTCCGCTGTATCTCTTATACAAATTCCGCCCTAAGCGGCAGTAAGGCCTGCGGGCCTCGGTGGCTATCTAGAAGCCTTCTTCATCTTATGAGAGGCGACAGCGAGGTCTTCCGAAACCTCCATAGTAGGCCGCCAACTCCGCTATATCCCCCATACAAATTCCGCCCTGACAGGTAGCAATGCAGGCGGACTGCTGAAAGCCTTCCCCGCCCTATTCCTCGTCTTATTGCAAGTGACAGCGAGGTCGCTGACGACGACAACGATGTCTCGGCGACGTCGCGCCTTATTTTGGTGTGGCGCCCATACAAATATGGCGCAGCCACCCTGAAACTATGCTAACGGTATTTTATTTAGCATTGGCTGAGGTATAGAAGCATCCATTTTACCCTTGCTGTACTCGTAGGGCTGACGGAACCCAGCCCCGAGAAATTGCAATCGACACCACGTATACTGTCCCTGCCGTCGCCGTCCTTAGTAGCGATGCTGACTATCAGTGGCCATCAAGCTAAAGTACTTTAGCATCGAGAATCATAGATTCAACTTGCTGAACCCGTTGTATCTGTCCGGCGTTAAAAAATAGGCGAGAAGCGCCATCTTGTCCCGGTCAAAAGGGACCAACACACTGGATCACTTCTACTTAGCCAGTCGTCGGTGTCTACCCCTAGCTAGCCCGTGGGAACCGCGCGTGCATCGGCAACAGCATCGATCTGATGGAACTAAAAGGTTGGTCGTGGAATTTGTATTGAGATTTGACATCAGCCTCGTTGACCCGAAATCATGACTTGACGGTACACGACAACGGGTTCAGGCCACAAAGCTTTCAGGTGAGGATGAAAGAAGGGAGATGTGGAGTCAGTGATGATGGAGGGCAGGTTACTGGTCCATTTCACAAAGTGTGGATTGGGTTCACTGAGGATACTGCTATAAGAATGCAATTTTGTCCAAAGGATGCAATTCCTCACAATTCGATGTCTATCCCTCGTCTGGACGCGCGAAACCTGCACGATTTCATCATTGCCTACATCTCCGCTTCAGCCCCACCTCCGCGTTGACGTGAATTTGCACCTTCGATTCAAGAAGTACAGATTTGCACTGCCGACTGGTTTCGGTCACAGCCACACGAAGAAATCTAAGATGCCAAAATGTCCTCATTGAACATTGAAAACAAGAAAGCTCATAAAAATTCATACCAAATACCTCCCAAGTATAGCCTCTTCTATCCTTCCATCCCCACATAACAGCTAATAGAAGTCAGCGCAAGCGAACATCAGCGACTCAATCGACAGCATGAACTCATACAAGAGATGATGTTCGGCGAAGTCTTCCATTCCCCTATAAAACACCCAATCCGAATTCTCGATGTGGGCTGCGGCACCGGCGCCGTCACCTACCATCTTGGCACCAGATTCCCCTCCGCCCAAATCTACGGCGTGGACCTTGCCACTATTCCTCTTGACCCGAAAAAACCAGATAATGTAACTTTCGTGCAAGGAGACTACCATGACCTCCTCGGCTCCGAAGAACCGCACATCATTCCAGGCAGCATGGACTTTGTCTTCAGCCGTCTGCTAATCTCCGGCATGACAAGCTGGCCCTCATACATCCTTACCTGTCACACCCTCCTCAAACCCAATGGCTGGCTCGAGATCCAAGAAACAGAATTCCCTTACTACGACGACTCTGGCATCATAAGCAGCGATTGGAAATGGTGCCAGGCTTACCAGGCCGGCGCGAGAGCTAAAGGCCTCGATCTATCCTGCGCTATCAAAGCGGCGGCCTGGATGCGCGAGTCGGGGTTCGATGATGTGCATGTCATCATGTATTGCTGGCCGCACGGGGAGTGGATGGCTGACAGGGGCCATGAGGAGTATCGGAATCTTGGGGTTTTTTTGAGAACGGAGCAGCCGAAGCTGTATCAGGCTATTTTGCCGAATATGGTGAGTGGAATGGGTTATAGTGAGGAGGAGATAAGGGAGTTGCAGAGGGATGTGCTGGAAACGTTGAAGGTGGAGGAGGGGAAGCATAAGAACTATTGGGTTACGTTTGGGAGGAAGCCGAATTGAGTGCGGTTATTGGAGCAACATTCGAATCCACCTGCTTATCCTGCGATCTGAGGACCTCACATACAGACTTCGAGGCTCGTCTTGGGGGTTTGTGCAAGAGTTCTGGTACCTTTGCGACAATATCGCTAAAGCGCCGTCGACAGCTCTGCGAAGGGAATTTGTGCTACTCAAGCCCCAATAGAGCAAATGACTTTCAGACCGCAAGGTCTATTGATCGAAGTCAAATAGACGGGGAACATCCTTCCCTATTACATGCAACGCTTTATGTGGCACGCTTCGACGACAAGGTAACGGCAAATGAACGCTCATGTTCGAACAGCCGACGCTGACCTAGTGCTCTCCAATTCAATTCACCCGGAATGACAGCTGACAGCAGACATACTTCACCCGAACATCCCCTTCAATGGTTTCATAGCTTTGGCTAGACCTTCGGACGGAACGCCTACTCGCACATGCCAGAAACAGATCGCCACTCGTCTCCAAACACAGGGTTTCCCTTTTGTCGAATGTTTATGCTCAGTCTGCCCTCGCACGAGAACCAGGGCAAGATCCATACTTTCAATATATTGACTCCGCCCAAGGTAGAATACCCTAATTTCCTCGTCGCCATACCTGTCTATCAAGGCTTTTCCAAGGGCCTGCTGCTTATCAGCAGCTTGAGTCATCTCAGGGATCCTGCACTCCACTATGGGGTCTCCTATATCATCAATGACAGCTGTGTCTGGAGGCCATTCGAACGACATGGCTGCAAAATCATACTTCTCGTTATAGTCAACTATCATGCCTTGCTTCCACCGCATGAGGTCCCACCGATTTGGAAAAAAAGCACTTCGTTCCTCCAAATCAATGGGAGCTTCGGTTGCTTTTTCCATGGCTGAGATCTTTTCTTGGCACCTTGACTGCCAGAGGTCCAAGAGCTCGCGCAAGGTACAAGCCATACCATCAAAGTACGCTTCATTTTTCTGGCGAATAGTGATTGTGCATGCAGCAGACTGGAATTGTTCGCGCAAAATCATCCTGTGAAACCGCTCGGGTACACGAATGGAGTTGGTGATGCACCAAGTCTGTCCTGGCTCGGGAACCTTTAGATGCTGGAACGCTTGACCTAGCACGACAGAAGTGCCATTCAACGCCTTCAGGAACTGCAATTCGAGCTCTGCAAGGCTGAAGTTCTTCATCTTCGATTTCGGGAGCGCCGAATTCCCAAGTTTGAAGCCATAAATTTGCATGATGGCGTAGATGCGATCCTCGGGGCGCGTGGTCTGTCTGAACCTCGCTGCGGAATATTGGATGTTCGGGTTCGGGCCAAATCCGAAATCTATGCCAGATTCGTCTATTGTGCGATGAAGCCTTTGCAATATTCCTATCTGTGGAGGTACTTGGTCGCCCCCTTCCGCTCGTGCCGCCAACATCGCCTGGCCTAGTATTTGTCTAGCCATAACGCAAGCGCCGGATAAGTCAAGCAGTTGCGTATTGGGATTGGTGCCTGTCCATGGACCGCTTGTTGTAATGGGATGCCCTGATCTGTTCAGCAAGATGGCATGCCTCTGCAGAATTGACTCTTGCAACGTCCACAACGAAGAAAACCACGGATCCTGGAGGATGCGAGAGAGGCTATCGACGATCTCCGCGATTTTTACTGATGCATCACCTTTTGCCTCCACGAGTTCGTGGGAACAGCTCAGCAGCGTCTGTATATGATGTTGAATTGTCTTCGGTTCGTACTTATTCAACCAAACATAAGCCTGTCGCGCAGTTTTAAAGATGGTGGCCTGCCTTCCGATCTCTTCCATCTTTACTTCTTCACGTCTTTGATCGATGCAAGCGATATCGATCCAGACATACTCGTGCTTGGAGCAGATCTGTTTGAGGAGAGACGACAGGTCTTCGACTGTAAAATGATCTTCCTTGATGGATGGAATCTTCCAATCGATCCCTTTGATCTCAATGTGCGGGCCTTCAGGTATCTCATATCGGCCCCACGTATACGAGAGAATGCTGTATATTGGCTCTCTGTCCTCTCCGTAGAGGTTACCTAGGCGCCGTTCCCGGGATGTCATCGAGGGGATGTGAAGGAGACGGCGGGGCCACTCACGTGGTACGGGGTTGAACAGGCTATATGACATCGTATGAAGGTGGCTCAATGTAGACCCAGAGCGCAACGAGAAAATATCCGCAAGGACTATCAGCCCTCCCGCTTGGGGATTCCCTCTTTCCTTTACCACTCTGAAAGTCCTTCTGAGGAATTCCTCGCCTGCATGCTGTCCTAAGATTTGCGAATCGGAATATCGAGTCGGCTCAGGCTCAATAGCTGGCCAATGAGGTTTGGTTTTAGACGAGTGTTTTCACCGACTTTGGTTGCCTTGCCATCGTTTCTAATTCTAGCAGTACGTTTTCTCTCGATGCCCCAGAAGACTTCTCATGCACGGCGTCTGACGTCAGCAGACGCCTTTTCCTTGGCCGAACATTTATACCAGTCGCCAGCAGCCAGCCTCACCGACCTGCATATGCACGTTCCAGGATATTCCGGCAACTCTGGCTTAGGTCAGTCCGAGTGGGAGGGACCTAAGTTGCAGCGAGACTGAAGATACTTGTGAGAATGCTGATTCGTTCGATTACGTACAACGATTAGTGGTCGCACGTATCAGGAAGTGGGATTTTCTTAGGCCCATATAAGGATCATTTAAGATCGACCAATCAATTTCGAGGACACGCTTCCTCTGAATGCTATACCAGGTCTGCTTCCATGGGGTCCCTCAAAGTTCGATGCTTGGATAGTAAAGCGTTAAGGTATACTGTAGGCTGGAAAAGCTGGGCGCTCAATCTTTGCTGTTTGAACACTTTGAGACCTCCCAGCGAGCTGAGTGAGGCTACATTTGAAGAAGGCAAGCTCGGCATGGCTGTAGGCCCATGAGTTCCTCGTAGAGGAGCACTGTCAACCTCTATTCTGTTATCGAAAGACAACAGATCTTTCTTGGGGCCGAGTCTCCGCATCAGGGCAGGTGTTAGTGAGGCCTCAGCTATTGTGGGGCTCATTGCGACAGCTGTCCAGTTATCGAAAGCAATTGTTGGTGTTGCGGGCAAGTCCAAGGATGCCAGAAACAGATCGAGTCGTTCGGACGCGAAATCGCTATCTCAGGCAGCATCCTGGACCAAATATATTGCCTCCTAGGTAGAGATCATCTCGAGCGGAACATCAAGGTCTAGTCATGGTAATTATCATCGAATAGTGCAGCGAAATTTTATCCGAATTAGTCGTCTACATAAATACGCACAAAGTAGGTAAAGCGCGGTGCGAAGTCTTACATTACGCGGAGAAACGAAATGCGTCTTCGAGGCGACGGAACCAGAACGTTCACGTGCGAGGTTGGAGAGCATGAAGACTAAGATGTTGCTCATGATGACTATGCAATGTGCGTAGCTCGAACAGGTAATCCTTTCAGTCAAGTCCTGTTAGTTGGAGACATTGGAGGAGATGACCATCCCAGCGAGTACTCATGGTAAACCGTCCATTGATCAGATTCCCATTATGCCGACGGACATGGCGATCAATGTCTACACACCTGGCTGTCATTTACTATGTCACGAGGACGTCATTGGGAGTCGAAGACTTAGCTATATACTCTACCTGACGGATCATACAGCGGTGTCCTCGCGGTCGATGAGAGAGTCCATCATGAGCTTGTATGGTTATCCATCGTACTACCAAACCACATGGGATCCGAGCGAAGGAGAGTCTGATACGGCTGCAGAGATGCTGGTTGACCACTCCAGGATATCAATAATCATTGAAAATCATCTCCAGCTGGAGAACACAAAGCAATCTTCAGGGTTTCTTCGTCTTGGGAAAAAGGATGGCGACGCTTGGGCGCTACGCGTAGGAGTGGTAGCAGGAGTGTCATGCTTGCTTGATACCTACATAAGTACTTACCATTGAACTAAGTCTTGACAAGCGGCTTCAGAAGTAGCTACAACTCCTCAGTAGATCCCCAACGAGCTTAGGGTCAAATGTCAAACAGCATGAAGCCCTTGGAGTTTCAGATGTGAGCGGAAAATGGTGGCTGGCGAGGAACAAGGCGGGCGAGAGAGGAATGGTACCGAGTAATCACATGAGTCGAGCAGTATGCTCTGACACGAATAGCAACAACATCGCTGGTAAGGAGAAGTGGAAGCTTTACATTGTTCGTAGATCCGAATTGTCTTTGTACATCAGAAATCAGTACTCGTAGACCAAGCCAATGGGAAAGGATTATGGGAGGCTGCAAGAGGCTGTTACCAAAACCTACCACAGACTCGGCATCGGATGCAAAAAGAGAGTTTTGAGCTGCCATGCATGACGACGAGAACTCGGTTGCATTAAATAGGTAGCATCAGTCAAAAGCAGCCAGTATTCAAATCAAGTAGTACTTGTCGGTCGAGGGGAAAGTTTTCCATGCCGCGTGGCGAGACGGGCGCCCCAAGGGTGACTTTCCGGGCGCTTAGACTGGGGGAAAGCCGCCGGAAGGAACCCTCTTGCCCCTGGAGAACCAAACCCCACTGAGCAACGGTTTCATCCCAGTCCATCCTCCATTTTCATCGACTTCTACCAGATCTATCGAAACAAATTCATCACTACGAGAGCATCCAATCAGCTCTTGGGCATCACTCAGGCAGTACCGCCCAGAGCAAGAAAATCTAGATGACTGGGCGAAAGCGTCTGCACATTTCTCCCTTGAACGCGCAACTCCTCCCAACAGTGCTCCCACCATCTCTCCTCCTGCAAGCCTCCAATATCTCCTACCATACCATTCAGACATTTCCGGAAAAGGACTACGGCTACGTCGATCTTCCAGAAATAGAAGCTGACAAGCTCAAGAAGAAGCTGAACGGTTCTGTGCTGAAGGGGTCAAAAATGCGCGTTGAATTAGCACGACACGAGAAGGATACGACCGAGGGTAGAAATGGACTTCCTGTAAATTCAGAGCTCACTCTCAGCAACGCATCTCGGAGGGGGAAGACCAAGACGAGGGAGGAGGGTGTCATACCGGGCTACGAGCTGCCTACGGAGCGCAAGGTCAAGCGAGGTTGGACAGAGCCGACCTCCAGTGACGCCAAACCTACGAAGCTGCGTAAAGACAGGGTGGTTAAGAAATCGAGACCGAAAACAACATCTTTGACTGGACAAGCCGAATGTTTGTTTAAGACTACCCTGCCACCAAATGCATCGGGCGCCGACGCTGCAAAGGAGGGCAAGGCGAAGAAGAGAAAGAGAGGTGATTCGAATCGGGATGTCGTGGTACATGAATACTCCAATACTACAAAGCATGCGAGCTTCTTGAGGGATGAATTGGGTGCGGAGGGCAAGAAGATTGCATCCGAATACATCGAGGGTAAAGGGTGGGTTGATGAGGATGGCAGTACTGTTGAAGCGGAGCCAGAGAAGCGACGAAGCAAACTCAAGATCGAGGAAGCTAACGAAGAATTGACGGTATCGAAGCCCAGACGATCCAGGAGGTCGAGCAAGCTGGAAGTGCCTTTGGTGGAGGTTACAGCTCCTAAAATCCAGGGCGTAAAGGGCGAACCTGTCGATGACGAGACTTCCTCTAGTGGCACATCATCCGACTCGGAGAGTGATAGCGAAGTTGAGAGGTCTGAAAACCCGCCTCCAGCTCGTATGTCAACCAGAGCGTCCGCTCGCAAACCAAAGGCCAAGAGCAAGGGGCTTGGAATCAGCGAAGCTGGAGATGGCGAGGTCGAGGTGGACCGGGTAGAGAGGCTTTCGATTACGAGATCATCTGCAACACCTCCACCAGTCCAGGAACCACAGTCAATATCAGCTCCAGCCACCGACGAAGTACACCCCCTAGAGGCTCTCTTCAAGCGACCAAACAACGCGGCATCCCATACTCCCAAGAAACCAAATCTTGAAGTCTCCACATCATTTAACTTCTTCGACCCGGACGTGGACGAAGGAGAGAGCCAAACCCTTCTCATACCCCAAACACCCTTCACGCAGCAAGATATACGACAGCGGAGGCAACGGAGTGCGGCGCCCACTCCCGATACAGCTGCCCCAGGGAAGACCTTTGGTGATATTTGGGTTGGTACATCGGATGTTAGTGAGGTGGATGGGGACGATGAAGAAGAGGATACAGCTGCAGGCAAGACGGAGGGGGTGTCGACGGGCTCAAAGGATGAGAAGCCAGAAACTGAGTTCTCAAAGTGGTTCTGGGAACATCGCGGCGAGACAAATCGGGCTTGGAAAAGGAGGCGCAGAGAGGCTGCGAAGGAGAAAAGGCAGAAGGACAACAAGGAGCGCAGAGGGTGACAGCTCGAAATTTGAATACGAAGGTGGCATATTTGATCTGTCATCGTGCCCTTGAATGCGCATTTCCAAGTCGAAAGGATTGAGACGTGAACGGGACATGATATAACCCATGCCTTACGGTTCGCACGAATACTGCATATGCCTCACATTTTCCGCATGCTTGTTATTGCACAACTTCGAAGATAGCTCTCGTTTTCTTGTTGTTCCGGTTTGGTCTTATGTGGAGTTGCTGCTGTTATTGGTCTACATTTACCGCCGTCGCCACCACGGAGTTCAAGCCCTATTGGGCACACCACACTTGTCAGATGTCACCGTTGCATTCATGCTACCCATCACTCCCATCACTCCCAATATCCCGTATTTTTTCACTCTATAATTCTTAACTCTTGAAGTCTTCCGAGTGTTCATCGCCTACCCTTCAGCACTTCACTTTATCCTCTCCTCGTCTCACAAGACACTTGTCGCACGCTTGCCACGGTCATCGACCAGCCATGATCTCTGTAAAGTCGATTCCGCCCTCTCGATAACAGTCTCAAGCCATGCCACCCTCCTCAGATTCAGTATCATCTACATCCCTCCCCTTCGGCGCCGACGTCCATACCCACGCCACCTGGCGCCGCTCAGGTTCGGTCCCGCGCTCTGTGCACCATAAGCATCAATCGGCCATCGACGATCAGGGTCCGCAGACATACTCCGACCTCATCGCCGACGCCCAGGCCTCCAATGATGAGTTGTCTCGCATCCCCAATGTAC